CGCCGGCTGGGCCGCCTAAGCACTTCGCCGAGTGGGGCACCCTGGTTAAGGCCTACAACGACCGCCTCGTGGACGGGCGACCGAGGGCCTTTCCTACCCGCCGCCTGGCTGGGGCGGAGGAGGTGCTCGCCAGGATCCACTGGGAGCACACCGTCAGCTTTGCATACTCGCCGTTGGGGTTGGGCGAGATCCTGTCTCAGAGGACGTGCGCCAACGAGCTGAACCCCCTCGCCGCCGGGCGCCGCGACTCGGCTGCTTCCGCTGCCCTCCACCTCGTGGGCGGCAGCCTGGTGGCGGAAGAGAAGCGGCCGTGGCAGCCCAAGTCCGTCATCGCCATTTGCGACGGGCTAGAGGCCGTCAAGTGGGCCTGGATACTCGTCCAACTGGGCGCCGAAGAGGACATTGAGTCTTATATCGCCTGGTGGGATTGCCGGGCGAGAGGCAGAAATGCTAACCTTCTCGCCCTGGTGTCCTATTGGGACTCCATGGCGATGCGCCTCGCCATGGATCTCCGCCAGCGGAGGACTTTCAAAGACGCCACCGCCGACATCATGGCGGACGTCTCCTCCTATGTCGAGGCTGTGACCGCCGCGCCGTCCCGCCCAGATGGGCGAACCAAGGGCAGGCAGCAGCCTACCCAGACTAGCCCTGATGCCGACGACTCTTGGGTGGAGCCCCCCCCCAAGCGCATCCGCCCGGGCCGCAAGGGCAAGAAGGGGGCCAAGGGCGGCAAGAAAGGCGCCAAGGGCGGCCGCCAGCAGGAGCACAAGGGCGGCAAAGGGACCAAGCAGGGGCAATGGTCCACAGCTGACGCCTGGCAGGAGACGCCCTCCGGCCACTCGGGCTCGGACGGTTGGGCATCCCATTCGTGGTCCGCCTCGTCCTGGGAGCAGCCCGACTCGGCGAAGGGCCAACAGCAGCAGGCGTGGCGTTGGGCCGCCCCCCAGGGCGGAAAGAAACGGCGCTAGGGACAACACGGGGCCGCGTCAACTGGGGGCTCTGACGCGGCACCCGACCCTAGCCCCGCAAAGCGGGTCCGCCTCACGCCGGGTAAGCCCCAGGGCGGTCGGATCATCGTCCTATCCGCCTTCGATGGCATTGGGGCAGCGCCTTGGCTGGTGTCGTCCTCCTTCGGGCGACCACTGCTGGCCGTTTCTTGGGAGATCGATCGGGCGTGTTGCTCGGTCGCCTCCGCCGCCATGCCCTGGCTTCTGCACCGGGGCAGCCTCCTGGACGACTCCCCGGAGGAGGTGGCGAAGCTGATCAGGGAGGCCGACCCTAACGGCGAGGCCATGATCCTTTGGGTGGCCGCCCCCCCTTGTCAGGATTTCTCTCGCGTCGGAGCCCGCGCCGGGCACGAAGGCGATGGGGGGCGCCTTTTCCAGGACGCCATCGTCTTCATGGATGAGCTTCGCGCCCTCCTCGCCGGGCGCCGCTTCTCCTTCGTGTTGGAGAACGTCGTCATGTCAGTGCCGGATGCGGCAGTGATTTCCGACGCCCTCGGTGTGGAGCCGGTCTTCGTCTGTTCGTCCGACTTCGGATGGGTGTCCAGGCCCCGCCTGTGGTGGCTCAGTGTCGACTGGGCGCTCGTCCCTAAGGACCCCGTGGCGGACTCGCCCCTGGAGTGGAGCAGCCAGGGCCGCTGGTCTCGTTTGCGGAACTCCTTCGACCTGCGCAGCCTCACCTTCGACCCTTCCGTGGCTCGGGGGCAGGTGCTCGTCCCCTGCGCCACCACGCCAGCCCCGACGGAAGACGGCCGCCCGACGCCGGAGATCAAGGAGCAGCTTCACGACGTCCCCAAGGGCTACACCGTCAAGGGGGGGGCGGATGCCAAGGCCAGACATCGCGTCGACTCCTCGCCATCGTCATCTGGGCTTCCTGGCGAGCCGTGGGGACTATACAGTGGCTTCTGGACCACTGGTGCGCCCACGGCTGGGACTTCGCCCCGCCTCCTCGGCCCGATCCCCCTTTTCTGGGCGACGGCCTATCTGAGGAGGAGCACTGGGCGGCGGCGCCTCAATTTCGACACTCTCTGACTTCACCGCCGGCCCTCGAGCCGGCCCTGGAGGGTGTGCTCCAATTCCGCGCCCACTGGCGCCACGACATGGTGCGCATTCGCCATTTGGTGATCCAGGAGTTGGAGGTCATGGTGCACGACGCCCAGGACTCCACGGCATCCTGGCTCGCGGCTCGGCCCCACCACGTCCGGGCGACCTATTGCACAGAGGACCGCCCTCGCCCTTTTCAGGGCCCCGTCCTCCTGGATCTACTCCAGAGGGCGAACTACCCTGCGGTCCAAGACCTGAGGGCCGACCTCGAGGACGGCTTCGACATGCTGGGTGAGGTCCGTCGGGCGCCGGGCTGGAAGAGCAGGGAGGACGGGCGGTACTCCAACCCCGCTCCCATGGATCGCCTTCGCCGGGAAAACCCATCCTATGTGGCGGCTAAGACGCGCCGCCCCCAGGACTCTGAGCACACCCGGGCCCTCAGGGATGAGCTCGTCAAGGAGGCTCGGCTGGGGCGCGTCATGGGCCCGTGTCGAGCGCCGGATGGATGGGGTGTCACCATGGCGTCCTTGCCGGGGGTGGCCGATATGGATCGCCTACTCGAACCGCCGCGGGGCGACTGCTTCGCCGCGCTCTCCTTCGCCATCACCCAGCTCGACGAGAACGGGGACCTCAAGCTGCGTCGAGGCGAGGACTGGCGACGGTCCGGACACAACGCCACCATGCGGGCGCACGACGTTCCGACGCACCACTTCCTCGGGGACATCGTGGACATCATACGCCGGGCGATGGCTTCGGGATGGGACCCGGTGCTCTTCGGGCACGATCTGCAGAACGCCTACCGCCACAGTGGGCGGTCAAGTTCCCGGGTCACTGCGGGACGTTCCTCCCGACGGCCGCCGGAACCACTCTCTGGTTCCATTTTGCTATGTGCTTCGGCGCGGCGGCGAGCGTCTGGAATTTCAACAGGGCGGCTGACGCCGTCCAGATGCTGGCCCGGGCGTTGCTCGTGGTCCTCTTCGGCCATTTCGTCGACGACTTTAACGGCGTCGAGGACAAGGCGGAGGCCGACTCCGCCCACTTCGCCCTGGCCGACTTCTTCGCCCTTCTGGGTCTCCAGACCAAGCCGTCCAAGGCCCAACCGCCAGCCCAGGAGCATGTGGTCCAGGGCGTCTCCGTGCGGGTGGCCGACGCAGGCGTCGAGCTGCGGCCCACCGCCGACCGCACACAGAAGATCCTCAAGCAGATCGACCACGCCCTGGAGACGGGGGCCATGAAACCAGACGTGGCATCCAGGCTGGCCGGGCGACTCACCTTTTTCAGCCGGGCGGCCATCAAGCCGCTCTACGCCAGGGCGGCCGACACGGCGGCCCACTCCGACGACGCCCTCTCGGTGGGGCTCCGCTCCGCCCTCCTGGCCCTCCGACGCCTGGTGGCTACGGCCAAACCGCGCCTCATACCTTGGCCGGGGGCGGTTACGGGACCGGTCCCCGTCATCTACGCGGACGCCTTCTTCCTGGAGGGCGACTTACGCAAGAAGGTGGGCCACCTCCAGCCGGGGGACCAGGTCCCTCGCTCAGCCAGATGGGAGAACGGCTGGGGCTTTGTGCTCCTCTTCGAGGGCCAGGTGTTCTACGACTTCGGCGTAGTCAAGTCCGAGTACCTCAAGCCCTTCGCGTCTCGCCGGGCCTTCATCTACGTGCTGGAGATCTTGGCGCAGGTGCTCCCCGTCATCACCTTCGCCCGGAGGCTGCCCCAACATTGGATCGCCTTCATCGACAATGTTGCGGGGCAGTTCGCCCTCATGAAAGGATATGGGCGGGACCCAGCAGTGAACGGCATCCTCGCCTCCTTCTGGGGCTTGGCGGCCGATCGGGCTTGGTGCCCCGAGTTCTACAGGGTCCCCTCCGCCGCCAATGTTTCCGACGCCGTCTCTCGGGGCGACGACTCGAGAGCGGCCCGGGAAGGGTGGTGCCGTGTTCGGGCACCGGTCGACGACGTCATGGTGATCCTCGGGCGGGCGGCCTCCGACATCGACTACGTCTGCCACGAGGCTCCTGAGAGGCTGCTAGACCTTGCTTCTTGGTAGCCAGTGCCGGCGCCTTATGGGAGGTGGGTGCGCCGGGCGGACGCAGAAGTGCGCACCCCGGCACCGGCACCGGCTTTCGGGGCGGTGTGCTCGGCCGGGCGCATGTTATGCGACTCGACCATCCAAAAGGAGCCACTGCACCCTTAGTAGGATTTTGGGCTAACTCGTTAGCGCAGCGCTTGTTGTGTAGCGCACGCGTGCGAGTAGGAACAAGCGTTAGCGATCGACCGCAGTACGCCGGCTCGATCGCCTTTTCAGTTCCCGCCCACTCCACCCCTTTTGCTTCAAGAGACTTACATACGGCCGTCACCCGCCCCACCGGGCGGTTGTCCGGGGCGGACGCAGAAGTGCGCACCCCGGCACCGGCACCGGCTTTCGGGGCGGTGTGCTCGGCCGGGCGCATGTTATGCGACTCGACCATCCAAAAGGAGCCACTGCACCCTTAGTAGGATTTTGGGCTAACTCGTTAGCGCAGCGCTTGTTGCAATTTGACTGGCTGTTTTGCACAATGTCTTCTCCTGGTCGGCATCGTGCAGACTGGCCGTATACCGCAGTCTTTACCGTTCCGAAACGCGGTGCGCACTCGCACAGGGAGGGATCTCCTCTCGCCCTTCAGAAAGAAATACAGAGAGGGACCGGGAGTTTGGACGAAGGTGTTAAAGTAAAGACACAATTCCAGGCCAGATCAATGGGGAACACCAAGACCAAACTACCTCTGCAGGCAGGTTGCATAAACCCAAAACAAAAAGCCAACCTCGTAGACACTCTGGAATTCAGATGCAGTAATTAGGCACATCGCCTCGGTATGTCCCTGGTGCCTTCTGGAGACTGCAAAGACAGGGAGGGCAAAACCCTGTGTGCTTGTGGCAAGTGTTCAAGAAAGACTTGCGCTCATGAATGTTCAGGTTCTCGCAACGTCGCCGCGACAGGGAGGATGAGGTGCCAAGTGAGGTGGGGTTTCTCATCCTGGACAAAAGCCACGGACCAGGCGGACGGCAAGCCCGTCAGAGTCAAGAAGAAGCGGAAGCTTGGAGCTCGGCCACCTCGCACAGACAACAAGTAAGCCAGTGTCCTTGCGACTCTAAGTCTGCGCCAGGCGGAAGATCCGGTATCCCAAAGGCTTCGACCCGGAAAACCCTGGACCTCCCCCAGATCCGGAAAGGCCCGGGGACGATGGCCAAGTCTTAACAACAGTCGCCTGTCCGCACTTTGTGAATCCAGGTGGCTTCCAAAGCGGGAGCGATCAGAATTCAAGCGGTGCTGTCGTGTTTACTGCCCTGCTGACCCTTGCCTGCTGCCAAGTGCTCACTTGCACAGCATGCCAGGAAGAAGATGCGAAAGAGGGATAAGCATTTGCTTCGGGGCCCTCAGGGGCTGCGGTCTCAGCTTCATCGGACTCGGACGACATGCAAGTTCACCCGGTTGTTGGAAGTCTGCGCCTGCCCCAGGGCGATCACCACGGAGGACTTTCGCAAACAGGGACCATCGACAGCCCAAGTGGAGGCTAGCGGCGTGGGTCGGTCAGCGCACGACGTTACGTGCCTTACCAGCCTCCATGAGCCGTCTGCAAGGTTTCCGGTGCATGCACTCAGTGGGCCAGGTCTCGAAAGACGCAAGTGGACCCTCAAGAAGAAGTGGAAGAAAAGCTAAAGGCGATGTGTGGTGTGACAACTGCTGCTGTTCCGCTGTTCGAGACTGATTTATGCCTCTTCCCAAGCCGCCCCCAGGCAAGTGAGCGACAGCGCCTGAAGGGCTTCCTTGGCTCTTCACTCAAGTTGGTTGGACGGTATGGTGCAGTGCTGCAACAGTACATAGGAGTGGGAGTCGCACGAGCTAGTCGACGGCTTATAGCTGAGAAATAAGTAATGCAAGTAGGTGCAACTCAGTCTCATCCAATTGCATAGTTGATATCCTCCTTGGGCTGTGGAAGATAGGCGCCTTTCGAAGTGCTGCGCGTACCTGCCCTTCTAAGGCGAGCAAGTTTATGCAGCCAGTGCAGGTAAATCAGAATGCACTCGAGCATGACGTGCTTGCTTGGAGGTCTCGCCACGCCTGTGAAAACAGAGCCGGTTTGCCGTGCACCCCCTGCCGGCCGGATCCACACTTGTAGCAAACATCGTCAACTTGTTGGATGCAATGAAGTTGCCAGCGGCTCAAAATCAATGCAATGGTTACAGCTCGGGTATCGTGCCGTTGGAACTTTGAAGAAGAAGTAAGGAATGTCCGCACTCGCTTCTTCGCAGGGAACTGTCGAAGCCACAACAGACAGGTGCATCGCTCTTGCCAGCAACGACGGCTGGTACAGTTCCTGATTGATCCTGATTGTTGTCACTCAGTGTACGCCATCATGACTCACCGGACGCTTTCGGCAGCGTGGTTCTTGCCAAGCCTCCAACAGAGATGATGGCTCAGGCTGGACGTGAAGATATCAGATCGCTTGTAGGCACAAGGGTGTGCACTCTTTTGGCTGCAAGCGCGCAAGGTGCCGCAACTGACGAGATGGGAAATGGTATCTTCGGAGGTGTGACAGTGGAGGAGGCTCTGAGGGCTGCGATTCGTAAAACGATGGATCTCCAGGACGTAATGACGACGAGGAGGAGGAAGCTGCAGAGCAGAAGGCCTGGAGAGCCTGAATGCCCCCACACATCGCCTTCGCTTCGCTTCGATCGCTCAAGCGCTCGCTTCAGATTCGCCTCAGGCGTTGGAGAAATGGAGGCCCGAGCTCTTCGGGTACGGCCCCTCTTGGCTCCGAGCTGCATGGCGAGTCGATCTTCGCCTCGTCCGAGGCACGGGTCGGTAACGGTGAAGAAAAAGTTGCAGGCCCAGTCCGGCACCGAGATGGACTGAGACTCGCACACATCCTTTCAAGTGCCGATTTCTCTCCTTTCAGGGGATCGCAGGATGACTTGAGCATCGATGGTGACGACATGCCAGGAACCCTGGAGTGCGATGTTCAAGACTTTGCTCCCGATTTCCACTGACAGATGCAAAAGGTCTGTGGCCTCCTCCGTCAGCCAGATGGAGGAGGCACCGGACCTGCATTCTTCCTGGCCCGAGCGATTGCCGTTTTGCTTCTGTTAGCCTACCATCATGCAATCGGGTTGCGAGGTGACGTCGTGCTTGCACCGATCTCTGATCACCGTTTGAGCCTTCAGGAGAAGGAGGTTGTTCGTGCCGAGGAGGAGGAGGCTGCAGATGAGGACGAAGCACAAGATCAGGACCAGCTTGCTCCTGTGTTCGAGTTCAGATCAGCTTCTGCAGTGCCCAGACTTTCAGGAAAAGGGCTCGCAGCAGGAAGGGTCCCACAAAGAGGCCGAGACAGCACTGTGCGAGGGCTTGCCCTTGAACCGCAGAATGCCGTCCTCAATTTTGGCATAAGTGTTTGCGAGGGAGCTGGATCGGACAGCGAGGATGGGTTCGACCCAGAAGAGGAGGTGCCAAGCACTGGATGTTGAACGAAGTGGTGGCCCGAAGCAGTCTGTGTCAGTTGCCATTGGCATGCAGATGGCTTAGCAGCATCCAGAAATGAAGAGTTGTGTGTACAGGCAGCTGCAAAGAGGGATGAGGCCCGCAGGAGAAAGAAGATCATCGTGGTGTTGCGGGCATGATTGCTTTGTCTCCTGGATGTGTGAGGATTTTGGATATCTTCTTGGATTCTTTGAGTCCCTATAAACTTTGCTCTGCGCGACTGCGCTCTTCTTGCCAGCGCATGGAATTCGAGCCACTCCTTTCGCTCCACGAGCCTCTGGGTGCCACAGTGGAGGAGCCTCAGCCTCCCTGCCTCCCTGCCTCCCTTCTGGGTCCCTTCTGTCTTTTGTCTACCACCGCAATGCAATGCAGGAGCCAGCAGAAATCTTCTCTGTCGGAAAAGGTGGCAAGCGCAACAAACGCCTCGAGGAGGCAGATGCGGTATCGTCAGCAGCACGGTCTTTTTGTTCATGTGGTCGCCTTGCTGAGCCATCGTGTCGTAGCAGAATCCTGACGGATTCCCGCTGCAGGCAGCCCTGGAAGATGCGAAGGTTGCCTATCGGGCCAAGTCGAAGGCACCAAAAGTGACGGGTCCGGGGTGGATCTGCTGGTGAGTTGCCCAGCCCTTTTTGCCGAGTCCCACCTGTTGCCAAGGTGGCTGCAGGCTGGCTTCTTGAAATGGGACTGGAGGACTGTCCGTATGTCAGGTCGGCTGCAACTTGCAAGTGTTGTAGCCATGCCCAGTGGTATTGTTCCTCAGTCTTCAGGACTGCCTGCTGGCAGAACTGGCGCAAGGTGTGGGGGAGGACCAGCTTTGCTACCTCGTTGCTCATGCTCGGGCTCTGTTCGTTCGAGTCGCTTGAGCCGTCCAGGATCCAAACGAGCTGCGCTTTGCTCTCGAACAGTGGACGTCTCAGCCAACGGATGCCTGTTGAGAGCATGCCGAGTGCCTCTGAGCATTGCGCCGAAACCCGAAACCGATTTGGTACAAAGTCCCGGGCACGGAAGCGGAAATCCCGGCTTTTTGGAAATGGCCACTTCCCAGAGCTGTCTGTGACAACAATCAAAGTCGAGCCCGTTGAGGGTCGTTCTCGCAGGCTGGGATGGATGCAAACAGTCGCCGGGATCGCACCTGTTGGTGTGCGCCCAGAGCGCAGGGGTTGCACTAAAGGCAGGGGACCATACCACAGGGACACGATACCAGACACTACCACCAGCAACAAATTAAAGAGCTGCAACACGCCGCGACCAGACTACGCAAACACCCCTTCAATCAAACATAACCATGGAACACAACTGAACGGGACGGATAATTGGGGCCAAAGCACAGACTCCAGACAACCTCATCACCAAGCCTAACTGGCCCAGCCTCTAGAACGCACAGGGAGCACCACCTTCCTGGAAACCACCCGTGACCGCTGGACAAGGTGCCCTTTTATGAGTCTCACGCTGCCTCCCTGCGCTAGCCTGTTAGTAGGACAGCGGCCAGGGCCGAAAGTAATCTCAACATGCACGGTGTTTGACGTGACAGCCACGACTACAGCTTTGGCTGGCTGCATGCTGGAACAATAACAAGGACAACATAGGCATTGGGCTTGGGTAGAGGGGCGGACAGGCACCACACCGCAGAGGGGCAGAGGGTCCCCAGGGCATTGGAGGTGTGCTTTGAAATTGCCGCCTCTGTCCGCCCAGGAGCAAGCGCTTCATAGTGGATGATGACTTGGTGGTGAGGGACCTCAGTTTTCTGGCTCCGTACTCCGACTTCATTGCTCAGCCGTTGAGGTAGAGAAGACGCTGGTTCAAAAAGTTTTTGATGCCACAGTCCCAGGTGATAGGCATGGTATACATGCTTGCATGATTCGCCCCTCAGTGTAACTTTGCTTCTTGTTTCTGATATCTCTGTGACAAGGTCATGGAAAGTGATATTGAGACCATGACTGAAGTGCTCAACAAGCTTGGAGAAGCAGAAGAGGCGCCTCTCCGTTTATGCTCTCAATCGCGTTTGGCCCTTTCATTGGGCTGCAGAGGCGGGTGTGCGCCTGGCTGTCAGAGACTCTCTCGGAGAGTTGAAGCCGAGACCTGAGAGAATCCACCACAGAATCAGACTCTGAGCCTTCCTAAAGCCGACAGTCTTTTCTCGCATGTGGTTTCAAGGATCAGAGTCGCAAACGACATAGAGCTAATCGAGCGCGTGGATCCAGAGGTGCTGCTTCATGCTGCCTTTCAGGGATGACTTGCTCGGCAGCTGTCCGTGAATCTCAGCGTAGATCTCTGTTCAAGCAAAGGCTCAAGTTCAAGCTCCATACAACGCTCCAAGGGACCTGCGCTGAGTTTGAAGTTGATCCAGTTGAGACCGAGCGGGACCCAATTCAACACGAAATCCAGAACAAACAAGCATCACAGCTCAGAGAAGCAAGGGCAAACTCCTGGCATCTTTGCCAGATGCCTCGCGTGTTGATCCAGCTAGCCATGTCGCTATCTGTTGCTGCAGCGGCATGGTGATGTGCTCAGTCGGGCTGCCCCGCATTTATGCCTTGAGTGATGAGCTGACAGCATGCATTCCACAGAATCATTGCGCAATAGCGCTGAAGGACCAGGGATTGCGACCTCGCCTGCGTCCAGTACCACGATTTCCAGGCCACGGTTGCTGTTGGGAAGCTTTCGAGGAACACGGACGAATGTGTCAGGACAGTCTGCACCTCGCCAAAAGCAGGTGTGCCCACGGCCCGGAAGTTGCCCTGCCGTTGGCTGGGCATATCGGTGTAGTGATACTCTCATCTCTCAGGAGCAAAGAAGCGACTGCACGGGAGTGGTGGACTTCTCCGAGAACGGCGGCGTCTTCGCTCTTTGCAAGACCGGGATCTCTTACACACTCTACGAAGTTGTCCATAGATGGCAGTGACGGTCAGCCGGGACTGCAGGATCGACTCCGACTTTCGCCGTTGGCCGAAGGCCGCTGCATGTATGCGCACGTTGTGCGTGCTCCGCATCGATTGGCGAGGTGTGCATCGAGCGCCGAGAGAACTCTGAGCTGTGAGTCTGCCTGGTGGCGCTGCCAGGTCTCGGATAGTCGTTCGGTGGTAGTTAGCCGGGTTAGTGCACTGCACCACAAGTGTGCCCTGCGTTGCAGCGCCTTCCGTGAAACTTCCAAGGATCATGAGACGTTGCCGCTCTTGTTTGATTCTTCTTGGGGCTCGTGCTCTGGAGACTGGCTCGGGACTGTGCTCTGGTGCAGGAAGAGCAGCGAGCCAGGAGGGAGGAGGAGAAAGTACAGAGGTGCGGGGCAAATGAACAGCGACCTCCAAAGCGAAGCGCATCTCTCCCAGGGCAAAAGAGAAGATGGAACGAAAGAAGGAGCTGCAGAAGCGCAGGACGCGACTCCGCTCAGTCCCTTCATGACTGCTTACTGCATGTGCCAGCAGGCGAAAAAGAGGCCAGGAAGTCGGGCCTCCTTCGGATCTCCGTCCACGGATCGGAAGATGTGCCTGCATCAACTGCTGTAATAACACTGCTTGCAAGGGAGAAAGGGTGAGGAGGAGCAGGAAGCGGAGTCGGAATCTTCTGATGAGGACGTGGCAGTGGCAGTTCACGTCCGTCAGGACGTGCCTTGGTCCATTGGCGCATCCGAAAGCCGGTCCTGCCAGGATGGTGGCCCTCAAGACGTCGCGGCACTCGCCTTATATCTTTCTTGGAGAATGCGATTTGTGCGGTCTTTGCAGAGCTTTTTGTCCACCGTAAAGGACAAGAAAGCCTTGGCATTTCGAAGGCTGCAGGCAGGGAAAGGGTCCTGCCTTCGAGTCTCATCTGGGTTTCAAGATAGGGTTTGCGGGTTTCCAGTAAGCTGTGACATGGAAAAGTGCAGGTGCAGATCAAGATCGAAGAGTTTCTGAAGGCATACACCCGAGGCATGACCCTCATATGCATTGTGGAGGGAATGTTCGGCTTCATGTTGGCTTGCAGGTCAGAACCTTGTCAAGATCAATGCCAAAGGGAGGAGGTGGGCTGTTGATGGCTGTTGGCATGAAAGGCTAGGCACTGGCTAGATCTGGCTAGGCTGCTTGCTCGTTTCACGCTCTCGACGTTCGAGAAACCGACAAGAAACACCACCTTGTGGAGCGCCGCTCCTGCTCCCCTTCATTCAATGTTGCTCCCCTCCACGCGCGACGCGCGCACGAAGATCTCGCCAGTGGACCGGTCAGCAGCAGGAGATGGCTGCTGTAGCAATCCTCATCGTAGCCAAAAGAGCCTTCCCGGCCTTCCTTCGACGGGCGTCAACACCACAAACGACTCTAACATGAGCTCATCCATCAACTGTGCCAGTATGGCCAAGTGCTTCCGTGCGTAGGTACGCCCGGCGTGTCTATGTTGACACTGCCAAGAGGGTTGGGGGCTTACTGTTGCAGGCAGAGTCGTTCAGTAGCAGAGCCAACAGAGAGAGAACATGACTTTCCTCAGTTTTCTGGACTGGGGGTTCAGGCTCTTGTTATCCAGGGTGCAAACGGTCCCAAGTTCTTTCCGTCCAGCGCCGAGACGCTGACGTGCCAGCAGCCGTGCTCAAACGGGTTGAGAAATGTCTCAGGTTTGCTTCAATGAAGGAGGTAGACTTGGAAACCCGCACCACGAAGGCGTGCCGGCGCTTCACAAGCAGGTTCGGTAGCCCAAAGCACTTGTCAGCCTGAGGAAGGACGTGTCGAAACCCTGGTAATTTGTGCTATCGAGAAGGATGGCAGGATAGTCAAGGACGGTTGCTCAGCATCCCCACAACCGGCTCAGAACGAGTTGCAGATGTGGCCGAAGGAGCTAACGCTCGCTTTCCCAGATCAGTCTAAGGCGGGCCGGGCCTTCTTGAATCGGTGTTTGGCTAATGCGCACTTCAGATGCGAGGCCAGCACGTTTGTAAACTGCGCTCGGGTCTAAGACTGCAACAAACAGGGGCTACTCTCCAAGATTGAGTCACGAACTGCGGCTTGTAAGACCGAGGTGACATTGTTCTCACTAGCTTTGCGGAGGAAGCAGGATTAATATGCGTGGTCTCTGAATATTGGCAATGTCTTCTCCTAAGTCCAGCGGGTGCACGGTCCAAGACCGCACCGCAAGGATCCGTCCTTCCAGGACAGCTAACGAGCGCCGCTTCTTGCATCGTCATGCATGAAGTGCTGCGGACTTTGCACTACGAAAAGACAGTGCCATACATGGTCCTCGCCTTTTGCGCCCTGATGTCCGTGATGCCAACTCTAGAACGTGTGGCACGACCCTCGACTGCATCGTCGCTGAGCAGCCACGCACAGCTCAACAACAAACGTTGGTGAAGGCCTCTGCCATGTGCTCTAGTCGGTATTGATGGAGCAGCCACAGTTGGATGTCAGACCACTAGCCTCATAGCTGTGGGATGCCTGGCCTTCATGCAGTCGCCAGCTAAGTACGCTGTCCATGCTAAGAGAAGGGGTCTGGTTCAGGCTTCGAAGCCCACGCAGCTAAGGTCTAGCCTCTACAACGAGAACAACTTTGAGCTGGGCCACAGCGAGGCAAAAGACAACCTCTCAAGGTTTTGACAAGGCCTCTTTCTTATCCAGCCAGGTCTGGGGATCATGGTACGATGCTGCTGCAGAAAGATGGGGCTACGCGTGCACTTGCCATGTTTCCGCTCCTGATGGTTTGCAAAGAGATCGGCAGTGATGTAGAGACCGACGGTACTCAACTGACCAGAAGGTGCTGTCGAGCTTTGCATCGCCGGCATCTGAATCAATGGCATGGCTTCGCAATATCAACCTCTGTATGTAGAAGGGTGCACCATGTGCACAGTCAAGTTTAGGTAGACGCAGCCGTCCTAGATCAAGGCTCAACGTAAGTGGGTTTGTTCGATCGCGCAAAGGCTCGAAGCCATGTGCTGCAAATGCAGCACCAGCACAGGATCTCGAGGCCGAGTTGGCGAAGCCACGGAACATCTTTTGGCGCCCTGCCTCCAACAGGAAGGGGGCGATCTCGAAGCCGGCGCTCCCGCTTGCCTGGACGATCTTCAGAGCGGCCTCCCGGGGAGCGCCGAGCGGCAGAGCGGCAGAGTCCCAGAACGTAAAGCTAAATTGCGAGCATTCGGCCAAGGCCCCGCAGCTCCTTCGCAGAGGCCGACCTCTTCGCACTGCGATGGGCAAGCAGCTCGGATGCTTCGTCAACCCTGGTTCTTTTCTTGGATATTCTTTACGGGTGGGTGCCTGACAGTTACAAGCTGCTCTGCGAGAGTATCGTCGACAACATCAGCTGGATGCGGTCGGCTGCGGGCATGCCTCTTGCTGTTCTTGTAGTAAACGTCCAGGACACATGTAGTTGGCGTACAAATTCTTTTCGACGCCGCACCCATACATTGGCCAAAATCTTGAATCAAAGGATCTGTGTGAGTTACATGCCATATGCGGAAGTAGGTCTTCCAGGCTGAGCGGCTGGGCCCCATGCCGTTTGATTTTCGTCCAAAACTACAGCACATGAAGCGACTATCATGTACTAGGTCAGGTCACGAACTCTCCCAGGACACGCCAGGACGTCTTCCGATGCATCACCAGAGAAAGCCTGGTCTCCCTCTGTCACTGCCCCTTTGATCCTCCATGACCTACACTACGAACCGAAGCAAGTACTACTAGTGGTCTGTACCTTGTCTAGTTGACACCACACGTACGTACACACAACCACACACATTTTTTACACGCTGAGAGGGAAGCCATCGGCTAAGCTGATGCTATGCATGTGCTAGTGGGTTCTAGCCTTTCATTGTCCTTTATGCCTTCTCATTTTACGTGTGACTTCACATGCTTCACACTTTTTGGATTGGCTTCTGGACGTCGCTCTGCAGGGGTACGACTTGGCATCTCAAGTTGATTTCACAATGAAGCGGAAGGGTCTTCGTTGGTGCCAGCGTTCGGCAATACCCTGGACCATTGCTGGTGTAACTGAAGAGCCATCCCTTCGTGCAGGATTTTGTACACGCACGCGTGCTAGGAAAAACGACGTCTGAACCGTGTGCGATGCCGCTAAACCAATATGCGAACCATGCCAACTGACTGTTGTCGTTTTTTTCGTTTTGGGTCCTTGGTTTAGCCCCTTGCGCTTTCACCTGTCAAGCCGATAGACTCTGATCGGGGTTCCTGCCCTTGCTGCTTCATTTGCAACAGCGATGTACTCCCCAGAGACTTCCATTGGGGGTTCTTGTATTGCTTGTAGCCTCTTTTTCGTTGAATTTGCAGCAGTCACGTTCTCTTGTTTGCAATTTTGGTTCAGCCTGTTGCAAGTTGGTGTTACTGGCTTACCCCCACGCCAGTGCACTTGCACGCACGCGGCTTTGGCATCCCAACTCTACATCGCCACCTTACGGCATGGTCTTTGTTTGCCAGTCTGTGCCGTAATTTCACAGGTGTCCTCATGCGCATGAAAACCAAAAACACACACTCGGACACCAACCTGTGGATCACCAACCTTTGGATCAGCAACAGCGAACATGAGAAAGCATGGAGCTGAATCTGTCGAATTGCATTTTAAGGGTGTACGCCAAAATCACAGGCAAGACTGCAAACGTCTGCTGAGTCCGACGGCCTCGCTGGCAAGGCCGAAGCCCAGCTTTGCCCCTCCGTGCTACGCAGAAAATTTTCCATGTCAAAACTCAACCTGTGTAGCTGTCAACATGCCAACTCCATACCTATGCCCATGCAGACTCTGCCACTTGTTCGGGATGTTGCGGTCAAGATGCGATGCGTACACCCCGACACAAATCACAATTCCTTGGCAATGTTCGCATTGGAGCTTCGTGTTGGCATGGCACGCAGTTCGGCCGTCGTTTTCTCCAAGCGCGGTTTGGGGCCACATTGTGTCAATGGGTCCTTGTCTTTGCAGCTTCCTTTCCGTTTCAATTGCGAAGACGATCGACTTCAAAGGTGTTACGTGACGTCTGATTCTAATCGCGACTCTTGGCTCAGCCCGCCACTTCACTCGCAAACTCGATGGGTTCTTTGCTTCGCCCTTCTTGCTAAGGCGATGTATTGTAGTTGGGGTCGTTGTTCACGTACCACCTTACTTTGTTAGCTAATGCTTCACGGGGAGTTTTCGCGTGACGCCCATTTTCTGCTGATCAGGACAAGGGGCCATGGGGGTTGAGCGATTTTTGTGCCATGTCCCAGTGGGAGTTGAGTTTGGGGTGTTGGTCACTTTCCGGCGAAAGGATCTCGTCTGATGCCGATGACGGGGGTCGGTTCTGGACGTTGGACTTGTAGAAGCTTGAAGGCAAGTGAGTTGCTTATCAGACAAAGTCGTATTGCTTGCGCCTTTCGTTAGCTTCTCGACTCTGCCTGCACCTCGTGTCGGGCAGCACCCTTACTCGTGTTTTTGGTTTTCTTATGTTTTCTTAGTTGTGTTTGTCTTGCGTCCTGTGATTTTCACCCTTTCGGCAGCTTAGCCAGCTGGTGCTCCTGCTAGTAATCGTAGTGCTGCTGGATGGACAACCCTAGACGGCGTGAACCACCTGTGAACCCAAAAAGGAATGAACCAAATGCATTTCAACGGAGAAAGCATGAAAGGCCAAAATAACCGAGGCGGGTGACAACTTGCGCACCTAAACAAAGTGGCCGGGACTGAAAAAGCAGAGAGTCAGCCACCCGGGAACATCCAACGAACTGGCCTTAGCTACAATTGGCGGAGGTATGAGGCGGACGGGTGGGCAGGACCCCTAACCTTGAAGGGAGAGGGCAAAATTAAGTCACAAGTTTTGGCAGGGCCGGAAAGTCATGACTGTGCAAGTTTTTTTTGCTTTGTTTTGTTTTTTTTGCGACCCCTTTTTGAGCAGAAGGACGATATACGAGAATCGAAAGCGAGCCACATCTCCAAAACGTAAAGCAATCGCAAGTCGGACCAAGTAAGAAAAGGGACCCACAACTAAGTGTGCTTGCGGCGCGTCGGCTTTCGCTTGTTGAGCTTTCGCCCACCCCCCTCGAATGGTAGCCAGGCTTGCGCTTCACGCTTCGGACGTTTACCGCCAGAAGAGGCCTGTAACCTGGCAGAGTTCTCGTCACGTCGTCAAGCAGAGCGCGCGATGTGAGGTGGAGCGGTCCCTAGCAACCCCGCTACAGACTCTGCAGGCGACACTGCAGCACATGTCTACAAGCCCGAGCTTTCGAGCCTTGCAGTGCACGGGGCAAGGCAAGCTGTCACAGTTATTGGAAGGGGGAGGAGGTCCATGCTCGGAGCTTGAGATTTTTGCTGTCTAAACTAAACGATCGCAGATGTATGCGGGGTGTGGTGCAAGGTCTGGAGCGTTGGGCACAACAAGTGGTTCAAAACCGGGCGGGTCATAGGCTCAGGAACGCATTCCGGACATCACACCATGTTACGCAGTCTCCATTCTCGGAATGTCCGAAAGGTCGTCGCTGTGAGGGAGACAGAAGAAGGAGGTCCAAAGCTACCACGACTCGATGCATAGCTTGGTTTCTGTTGCGACACCCAGGGCGAGCTGTCGGCTCGGTGCTCGTCACGTTTGTGGAGATGGCCGACAGCAAACCTTCCAGGTGCCCCGGACAGAGCTAAGCCGCTGGCGCCTCAGCAACGCTTGCGACCAGGAAGTGGGTGTCTCCAGCCAACATACCGGCTGTTCTGCGGAAGGCAGCAGAGGCACGGGTCCGATTGCAGTTTTGATCGTCAGCCTCTCTGCTGGTACTGCTGGTAGGTGAAAATTTCGCGAGATGATCTGGACAAGATCGTGCGCAGATTCCTTGGAGTTACTGTTGCCTTGGCAGAGCCGGTGTAGGGCAGCGGTACTTCAGCAAGGAATAGCTGAACTTTGTGCAGAACGAGAATATCATGCAGCTAGCCAGGCTTCTTGAGTACTGTTGTCCACTGATACATGAGGCTTGCTGTACCATGCGCAGGTGTACCTAGAGCTGACGGTGGGTCATGGACGGTGGCATGGAGATCTCTCCGTCCCAAGCAGCCTGTTGTGGTTTCTGTTTCGCGTCTTGCGCGTGGCAAGTGCCCTGGTAACCAGCCTTGCTTTCGGCTCCCGGGGCGAGAGAGCATTCCAACTTACGGCAACATCGTAAAGGCACGACGATGCCAAGTGACACCGTGAAGGATCTTGCATTTGCTATGTCGTTAAGATTCCCAACGAGTCAGCCCAGATAGCAGAACTGGACTGAACTTCACCTGCAACATGGATCCCACTCTAGCTGCCCGCTTCGCTCGCCAGAAGGACGTTCGATTACGCTGTAGTCAAGAACAGCAAAACACTCGAGAACTGATTGTTATAACCGAAGCTTTGTTTGCCGCGTTCAAGGAGAAGCATGAGAAAGGTGAGGAGGTGGCAGAGATTGGATCCCAGGCGAATCAAAGAACACAGCTAGATCCTGCTCTTGCGCAGAGATGGGCGCGCCTGGCAGTTTGGTGAGCTGGCATGGGCATGTTCGAAGGGAGTGCTGCTAGATCGGAAATTCGTGCCAGGAGAAGCTGCAGAAAAGCGAGTTCCCGGTGGAAGATGACATCGGTTCCAAAGCCGATGCATGGTCGAGATAGTTGGTATGACCGAGGTAACATGGCACACGTCATTGATTGATTCCAAGGAGAAGATCGTCAAACTAGATCCTGTGCTTGCCAAGCGCTGGTCGCAGCAGCAGGCCTGTCGCGAGCTGCCGCGGTCGCTTGCTGCCAGAAAGTTGCGACCCCTAATGAGGAACTGGTCGACTCGGGTCTCTACGAAGCTGAGATTGGTTCTATGGCAGATAAGTCGACGTGACGGGACAGCATGTGCGAACATTTGCGTGCAAACAGACAATGCGAATTTACGGAGAGTTCTGGCATCTGCTTGCGGCCACCCAGGAAGCTGGATCCGACGCTTGCTAAGCACTGGGCAGCAGCTCACGAAAGGGCCTTGGCAGGCACCCGCGCAGAGCGTCGGATTTATCAGCATCGTAGAAAAAGATTTGGCGCTGAGGCAAGGGGATTCCGGACCCAGAAGAAGCGGGTCCCAAAGCGGACTTTTCCAGGAGCGATTGCTCGCGCACCAATGCAATCTGCTACACTTTGGGGCATGCTGCCTCAGTGAATGGACCGCAGGAAAGACACGGAGCTTGCAAAGCGCTTTGCAAAGCTACAGCGACAAGCTCAAAGAAATGAAGGCCTGAGAGAGGGCAAAACAGTCCACCCAATGGTATGCCCCCCCCCCCCCCCCCCAAAGCTTACGGAATGCCCCCCCCCCCCCGCCCAAGTCAGGCCTCTCGCCTTGGCAAAAGGGGCGGGGCGGGAGGGACAACCCAAAACACATGGAACAGGCAAGGATAACCCACGACACAGGGAACCACAAGGCCCCTTCCCCTTCCCCACCCTTCGACACACAGATGAGAATGATGGCAATGATGTTGTGCCCATCGACGTTGACGTGGTATTGTAAACCTCTGCTCTTATGTTGCTGTGGGCTTCGGCACCGCATGTTCATTGCTTTATGTCGTTGAATATCGTGCTTGGCCTGTGATGTTCTTGCAATAACTGTATCGACCGTTGTCATTGCAAGCCAAGTTTCGGTTGGGTTCGCTACAAGTAAGCTTGAGCACCATCTTCCCGAATGATTGTCATTCGGGACTCTTGAGCAAGGGACCGGAGGAGAGTGTGCATGGGGATCATGACCACCATCTTCGTCAGCATCATCACCACAATACTCATCACTGTCATTGGCTTCGGAGCTCAGGGCAGGTCGGAGTTCCGTGGAACTGTATCACATCCTAAGGTCAAAACCCTTAGCAACCGGACGCCCGACGAGCAATAGCGCGGAGCCGACCGCAACCACAGGGGGGAGGAGCAGGGGGAAACCCACACCACAGGGAACCATGGGGTGGGGCTGCACCATACATTCCTCAAGCGTTGGTTAAGCAGGTGGCGAGGCAGAGAGATGCCAGCTACAATTCTCGGCCATCTTGACTGCAATTCGGCCGGGCCGGGCGCGGTGAGCACGGAGCTTCTTCGAAGATTGGACTGACCGCCGACCGAGGCTGGGGAGAGCAAGGAGCACGAAGTCTCCACTGAGGGGTCCGGGTCGGCCATTGGCCGCCTCCAATGGAGCGCCGTGCCTTGCCATTTTGCCATTCCATTGCCTCTGCTTAGCTGCTTGCCACTGTGCAGAGGTCTCACTTTCATTTGAGGGGAAGGGACGGGCCGGAAGGGCGAAGAGCAGACTCTTTTGGTTTAAGGTGGTCCTGGCAGACTTCACAATTGATCTCGAAGTCTGTGCTGTGGTTCGAATACCTCCGCAGATGGAGAGCACGGAGACCATCGTGTTGCAAAGGCCGACCTAGTGAGTCGAAGGGTGATAAGCAGCTATGGCACAGCCAGGCATGCTCGTGGAGGAACTTTTGTTGGCACGCTCGACTCGAGAACCGACAGGTGCTTTTCTGTCTGCATGATGCGTGTATTTGCCCTTTGCAAATGGATGCAGCATTTCGTCAATGCATGTCAGTTTTTTCAGGCGACTTGTCGTCAGACAAGGCCAAGTTTGCTGCACGGGCTTTTATGATTTCAGGTCTGTGTCCACGTCGATTGCTATCCTCTTGGAATGATGCCGTGCTTCCACGATCGGAGGTGACGAGCAGCTAAGAAAGGAAGCGAGGTGCTCAGCAAATCTCAGAACACAAGAGCAACAAATCTGTTGGACATGCGGCGCAACACTTTCATCAGAAGGTCATATCCGTCGTCTTTAAGTTCAGCAATTCCTTCAGTTGGTTCACGCAGCACCGGCTTGCATGAGAACTTCTGTTTGGTTGACTCTCCCTTGCGAGATCGATCCACAGTTTCATGCCAGGGGAAAGGAGGTTGAGCTGGTCGGATCCTGAGCTCCTTCAAAGCCTTGCGTAAGGTGTGAAGCACCTTCCGACGTCAGGTCGTTCTGAGAGATTGACGCATTTGCGACTCCCTTTTCATCCCAATGTTTTCCGGTGACCGGCAAGAGGCAGGAGTGACATGCAGCGTCGTGCCGCAGCAACTGTGCGGTCGTGCAGAGCTCTGCAACCTGCGACACGGCCTAACAGAGGCCAGCGAGCCATGGACTCTGTACTCGGAAAAAGGTGACCTCGCTTTCTGCATGCAAACAGGACGTCCCACTGACTTGAAGGCATCAAGTGCCCGTAGTTGATCTGTGAGAGTAGAGCAGGGTGCTACACTCAGAAACGACAACATGTTGCTCAGATTGTGAATTTTACTGTGCAGCTCTTCTGATTACGGTAGCCGTCGATAGGTCGGGTGCGCGTGCCAGGTCAAAGGCATCACCGGTTGTGCGAAGGCACAGCCGAGCGAGAGCTGAGTTGTCAATGGTGTTACTACTCAACGGCTGCCATGCAACAGGCTCCCAGAAACGGCTTCAGGGTCAAGAAGGATTCGCTCGTGTCTCAGAAAGTATGTTGTCGTCGTGTTGCAGTGTTCCCACGGGGTGCTGGGCACGAAGTGGGATCCGAGAGTGCCGTTTGTGCTTGTAGGCAAGGCATGTTTGCAGTTGCTTGTGGTGTGACATGTGTGCTTGCTATAGCTGTCTGTGTGCCACTGTGTGGTTTCGAGTGTTCTTGCTCGAGTGCCTGCAGTGCTGTCAGACGGCATTCTTCAAGGGTGCCCAGTCTTGGGCTTTCGGTGGCGGTTGGGTTGGCTGGCCTTGTCCTGGAAGCTTGGCTGGTTTCTTGTTCGGGTTTCTTGGCGGCACGGTGGAATCCCCAGGACGAGCCTTCATGATGCCTGTGCACCCGGATGCCTCGAGGTTGACCCCATGCTGAGCCCATCTCAAGGGCATGTGAACGCCACATACGTGTCTGGTCTTGCACCCCCAGGCTTGCACAAGGGGTGTGTCTGCACCCGCGTACAAGCGCATGGTCATGAAATATACCTCTAGTGTCAATCCCGCATTTGGCGCCATCATGGTGCCTTTCTTGTTTGGGACCCTCCGACAACGTTTTGCCTGTGTGGCTGCAAACCTTGGACTTAGCAACGGCCCGTGGTCAGCGATGTGTGTAGCAAGTCCGGGGCTGCAGGAGACGCATTGGTGTCAGCAACCGTTGTGTGCTGCTGGCAAAAATTCGCACCGATGGGCTATGTTTGGTTGAAGGCTACCTGTGCTTCAAAAGCCCAACGATACCTGGGCCAAAGGTGCAGCCAATCAAAGCCTCAAAGCGCCTAGGGTGCAGAGAGTGTCTGCAACGGCGCCTAGAAAGGCAACGACCGGATGGACCGTAGCACCGCACAAAAAGATGGCGAAGCTCCGATTAATCAGGCCGCTGCTTTTGGAATCATGGGGATACTGAGATCAGTTGTCCGCATACACGCCAACTGTGTGGCTTTGAGCTTCGATGCTCGCACCCATAGGCAGTCAATCAGTCAGTTCGCCTAAGGAATGGACTTCTTGAGTCTACAGACGGTATGCAATACATGCCGTGTCCGAGCCTGAGAGCTTCCATTTGTCGATTTGTAGTATCGTCAAGGTGTGAAGGCCACAGCTGGCCGAAACGGGCAGCAGTGCGAATCGGTTCTTCTGTGAAAATGTTGTGTTGCTCAACCACCAAGGTCTCAAGAGGTTGATGGCTTTGTGCCAAGTCGTCACGTGCTCGGCAAGACAGATGCAGCGAGATTCTACACGTGCAGCTCTGTGACCGCGGATTCCCCATCTTTTCTTTGGTGATTTCCCAGGTGCACCCAAACGCTGACGTCTCCAAGCACATGCCAGAGTGAGCTCCGCCGCAAAGCTGCTGTTGAACATTGCGGAGACAGAGAGCCTCGAGAGTCTGGGGCACAGCTCAAGTTCTCTCCAAGCTCTGCGAATCGGCTCACGGCCCGCTAGATCTAGATCCCTCTAGCAGTCTGCAGCTGCGATTGACTGCTTCATGGGCAGAAGGGATCCGCAAAAGGTCGAGTGCACTGCTCTTGTGGAGTTCATTCGGCGCAGACGTATTCTGCAACTGTGCTTTGCTCCGGAATCCGTAGCATTCTATCGGCATTCTGTAGCCATCTACAGCGTGCACAGGTCAGCGTTTCACCAGATTCGTCGTGGATGGGAGCGTGGTGCAATGGTTCTTGCAACTGCTTGGAGTGGGGCTGTTTGCTGTCCGGCTTGGTGGCTGCCTGGAGCTTCCAGGCATGTCCGCCTCCGGATGCGCACTGCGTGGCGAGGGTGCGGAATGAATTGGCAGCGGCCTGGAAGCTGAGGGCTGAAGTGGACAAATCAATCTCCCAGCGGTCCTACGAACTGCTCGTGCTTTACGACTGGATTCCGGAGGAGGATCCTGCTTGTTCTAGGGGCGGCTGTGTAAATCACGGTGTTTTCGGGTCTTGACGTTACTATCGTGCAGGACGGGGTTACCCATAACAGGGGGAGAACTGCCAGTATATTGACGTAGTAGCTTTTCATCTCCACTCGTTCGCGAGCATACCAGGAGGCGGGACAACGCAGAACAGCGCTTCGAGGAGTTGAGGCTATGGAGGCCGGCAGACAACTGCTCTGTGCTTCGACATTCATCGGATGCGACTCTGAAGGCGTTGATTATGCAGTTTCCATGATTGAGCCCCAGAGAATGGCGGTAGGGTCTCTTGCGGAAGTAACGATTGCAAAATGCGGAAGAGTTCCGCCGGATCTAAATATGGACTGGTTTGGTGTCTGCAGCAATGCTATCTTGGAGTGGACGGAGGCTGAGTACATGGTGTCCGCTGAACGGTTTATGACCCGATCTGGTCAGCCGCAGTTGCCTGATGATGCAGACAAGTTCAACCTTCGCAAGACCGACTCGGCTGCCGGATATGGTGCTGTTATCTATCCACCAGTCTTCAGCCCAGGCAAGATTTGCGAACTAAGTCGCACAACCTTGCCGAGCAAAGATTCAAAGTTTGGTGCACAGTCTGTATTTAGCGGTGAAGCATTTCGCGATGTCTCTTGGGTAGACGTTACAAACCTGCGGACCCGCCACTTGAGCAGCATCTCGCTTCTGGAAATGCTGGAGAACGGGGCCGACTTTCAAACAAGACATCCCTTTGGACTGTCACGGGTCGCCGTCAACCTTGGAGGCTGAAAAGGGGACGGCATTAACTACAAGCAAAGTTTGTAGTCGTGTATTTTGAAGTAAGTACTGGGTAGCGAGTGAACGGACCTGTTCCGTTTTCCACGTGTTGCACTGGCAGGTGGAGACGGTGCTTGCCGGGTAGGGCACGGCCTGGACCCTGTGAATTGCTTCTTCCCACAGGGTTTCGGCGGCGTTGTGTTCGAAGCTAACAAATCACTGGAGCAAGCCTTAAAGGATAATTTGGCCCAGTTTGGGCCTAGCGTGCAGATCATTTTGGAGGAGGCAGCTGAAGAAACCGTGTCAGAGGTGCTGGAAGAATCACTTTCCAAGCGACCTGCTCAAGTAGCGAGAGATGAGGTTGATATAATCAAGGTGGATGTCGATGGTCCTGACTGCCACCTGGTGCGAGGGCTCTCGCGAGCAGGCTGGAAACCCAAGATATGGCACGTGGAGATCAATCCCCTGTTCCCACCGGGCATTGCTGTGTGGCCACACGGCCCCAGTTTGGGTTCGTCAACCACTGTGAATCGACAAGGGGACTTGAGCTCGGCATTCTCGCGACGTGGAGCGATGCATGAGAAGCAGGCCTTGGTAGGTTGCTCGTTGCAAGCACTGCTGGATTCGGTGGGACCGGAGTACGTCTTCGTCCATATGGAGTTTGAGAATGCGGTTCTTGTTCGTCAAGACATCTCCACAGCATTGGAGCCGTGGCTGTCATCTCGTGACACAGCGCGCGTCTCAAGGGGGATGTGCGGATGCCAGTGTCAATCATCAGCGCTTCGTGTGTGATAATTGTGATGGAGCCGGCTTCTAAGGTGCAGAAGTGGCGCGATGGCTATTTCTGTCATCCGTGTCTTGTTGAGCTTGTTCTGTGGCTTCCGAATGAAACCAAGCTGCCGCCTGTTCAAGGATGGCCCGTGTCCGAATGCCGCATGACTCCGATCCGGACATCCTTCCCGATCTGGCTGCTGCCCCCCTCGATGCTGTTAAAGCTTACCGACACCTGTTTCAGGACTCACTGTTCCTGCACTACGACTTCCGCAGATGGGGAGTTTGGAACTTAGTACACGGCTCACATGTGCTTCTAATACATAATATCCGAGGATGCCACTCTCTCCACGGAGCAGCTTGCGCGTCTGGCACAGGCGTCATGATTCTGCAAGTTGCCCACTTCGCAACAGCTATTGCAGCCAGGACTTCTTGGATGCCTTCGTCCAGGATGGAACTTACAGCTGCTTCGCTGAATCACGATTGCTGGGCTGCCGGTAGTCTGCCGCATGGTGCATGCTGACATTTTAGCAAGATGCTCTGCGCGTCCGAAGGCTTTAACCCGACATCGCCATCGTTTGGAACGGGAGCAGAGCTGGGAGCTTAGATGCGCAAGCTGTCAGAGAGGGCATGTGAGAGCAAACGGCCGAGGCCGGATTCTCGAAGGCAACGTGCTCATGTGGTACCTTACATCGAGGACCGCTATCTGCACCAGATGGCCACGGTGCCTCCGTTGCAACCGTGTAGGACTCCAACTGTGACTCGACGTCCAAAAACTATGTGTTCCAGTCACTTTCGGCGACTTTCGCTATGACTATGTGCACATGCTGTGATCTCACCGCTTGGTGTCTTCCGCAGCTTTTGGTGAATTGGCATTGCTTGCCAGGTGGCGGCTAATTTTGGAGAACCTAGAGCGCCGACATCTGAGACCGTCTAAGTGATCCATGCGACTTCGTGCACAGAACTCAGACCGTAGGTTTGCTATCTTCTTGGGCGGCGGGCAACGGCCATGTGGAGGTGCCGTGCATGATCCACCTAGCTTCCAACCTTGACGTTGAGTACGGAGGGCGTGCTGACCACCTTAGTGGAGAACTTTGCAAGCCAGCTCAACATCGACAGGGCGTTCGCCACCAAGCCGTCTCAGTGTTGAGGTGCAGTTGCCTCCGAAATTTGCTGTCGCTTTGCCGCAGGTGGCCGATCTTCAAGTCGGTGGCTGCCGCCGAGCGTGGCCCTCGTTTCATGTGGCAGTCCTGCTCATTTATGGAGGTTAACGCATGTTACACAGATACTTGCGTCTTTCTGCTTGTAGATCATACTGCGATGGTCTGCAGGAAGCTTTATCTGAATCTGGATGAGAGGTGTCCTCTGGGCGGTATTGCCGTCCGGAACTTGGATGCTAGGGAATGAATGCCACACATCAACCGACCTTTCAGTTGTGGTGATTCATTGAAATGCTGGCTCGTCTAGATTGCAACGGCCATGCGATGGCGCTGTCAGACAGACTTCTGGAAGGACGGATGCATCGTGCCTTGCGTTGCTGCCGGGGTTGATGTTTTTTTTTTTTTCGCAGCTTGGCGCGCGGGCAGAATCCCATGCAAGGACAACCCCATCTGCCCGGCCACTGCGGATCTGTTTGCAGCAATGGGTTGGATCCACAATCCCTTTCTTGTCAAAGGATGTGTTGCGTGTTGCGTGATTGGTGACCAGGCCAGCTGGAGGCCATCGAATGCTTGCAGCTTAGGTCGGCAGCTGCCGCTAGTGTTCCGCAACAGATCCGGCCAGCAAGTGGACGTGGACGTTTCGAGGCACTGCACGGCCGTCTTTCAGCTTGAGCTTGCTTGAGTGAGCACGAAGTCACAGGTCTGCCTTTGCTGCGCCACTGGGCTGCGAGCCGACGCCTCAACGAAGCGCAAGTGCACAGCTGCAGCGCAGCGAAGAGGCCGAGTCTCAAGTCTTCGTCCGTTAGTCCGAGCCGTGCTCGGCGGCCTCCGCGCCTCCAAGGCCGGTGTTGCTGCGCTACATCGAGGCGCGCGTCTCGCGCGATCTCGAAGGGGGGAGGGGCCTGTTGAGGGTGTCTTTGAGAGAAGTTCGGCAAACAAACGCATCTTGCGCAGACGTCATTACGAAGACTGCCTTTGGACATGGTGCTTCGGTCGAAGTGGCCAGTCTTCGAGTTGCACGAAGCCTACTGTACTTGCATTGCCGGCTATGCGGATTCAGCAGCTTGCAGGCAGCATTTGTGAAGCGGTTGTGAGGCTGAGCTCCATGCACTCAGAGAGCGAGAGATGGCGTTTGCCTGAGTTGAGGGCGACAAATCCGTTCGAGGATCCTTGCACCTTTAATGAAGCTTGTTGAGGCCGCGCGGCTATCCTTGACGTGCGCCTAGGCTGTCACAGCACAGGATCAGCACAGTCCATTCTGTGACTTGCGACTCGTGACAGTGTCGTCCCCACGGGCTTTGTTCAGCGGTGCTCACATCGTGGCGAAGAACGCGTGGCAAGGGTGGTCGAGTTCCTTGCACCACATGACGCTCTTCATCTTTCGAAGTCTGCATCACGAAGACGGCGGGTCATGCGGCCCCTATTGGCACAACAAGGCACTTTGGCAAGTTGATCATGCAGAAGGATCCTGAACACGAGTCCTGTGCATTAGGGAGAACGAATCTGGTGGCTCTCAACTTCGGCTCTGTGATATGCCTGACATGCCAAGTTCATAGACTGTACTGCAATCGCTGCATGCGCCGTCTGCAAAAAGAGTCCCCGTGCAGTGCAGCGCTCCGGTATTTCTCGATTGCCGGGCTACGTGCAACGGGGCAGCAGAAACCGAGCAAATTCTCTTGAGACCCTGAAGCATTCTTTGCCCAAGCTTTCTACGACTACAGGTCACCCCGACATTGCCACACAATGTCGTCTTTCTTCCAGCTTTCCGTGGTTACTTTCGTCATCTGCTGCGGCGCAGATCGGCCAAAAGACTTTGCTGCTATTCTGGACGAGTTAACAGGTCCAGTTGCCAGGGCAAGCTGCGTAGAGTCCATGTTGGACAGCATCGAGGGAAGCATGGGTATCAAAACCCGGCACTGGATTGAAGGGCAAGTTCCCAGTTTCGAAGCAGCTCTGCAACCTCTGTTCACGTCACTGCCCACTCAAGGGCAGCCAGGGCAGCTGAGCCAGCGAGTGGCGATGTACGCATTACATCGAGTGTTCGTGGACGAACGAGGCTGGTTCCTGCACAGCCTGGAAGAGCACAGCCTGCACGGTGCTGCTCCGCTTCCTCCTATTACCAGTATTCTCCAGAATCAGATTCCATCCAATGCCGAGCAGGCATTCCAGGCATGTTTCCAGAATGGTGTCTACATGAAGGAGCTCGCGGTTTTGGCAGCAACCCTTGACAACCTCGTACACCAGGAAGTACTCGCACGCACCATGTCCGTGTTCAAAGCGAACAAGCTCCCCCTCTTCGGAAGTGTTCGCCTTGACCAGATGGACAACGCGCTCGAGCAGGTACCTGCCTGGAATCGCTTGCGTGAGTTGCTGTTGTGAAATCAAGAGTTGACGGGAAGCATGTGAAGCCTAGGTTATGATGAGCTACATCCTCGAGGAAGGCGGGTCAGCCTCTGCTTTTGAGGCTTATGTGTCCGGGAATCTTAGCATATCGGACAGATATCCGAATTGGGCAGATCTGCAGCGCTTTCTACATCACATTGAAGGTGTTGTGATGCCGGCCAAATCAACCCATCTCAAGTTCGATGATTTGTCAAACCTCATACATGAGCTTCAAGTGCACTTTGGTCGCTGGCAAGACGGCGAATGCCAAGAGCAGATGCGTGAGCTTCGCAAGATGGAGATCGAAGAGTGTCCCGGGCATGTGAATCTGAGAGACTTTTATGCCGCCAACCTGTACCATAACAAGTGGCAGTTCAGCGAGAGTGCCGACTACCTCCGGGTCCTGGGTGCGCTCGAAGAAAGCGAACCAGACAGTCCAAGAGTCATTATGTCGAACTATGTCCAGGGGCCCAACAATTGTGTAGCATCCTCTCGCTTCTATTCGCAGTGTTGCATGAATCCGTGCTCCAGTCATCTTTCCAGCCTCGAAAAGGCAGTTGGCGGGTCAGAGATCTCTCCAGAGCAGCTTAAATCGGCTGTTTTGACGGTACTGCCTAAGCCGGAAGCCTCAGAATCTGAGCTCTGGGATCGACTTCGGAAGATTGCGCGTGACGGCAAAGTGGCACTGCATGGATCCTCCTTTGCAGAGTGGCTTCATTGGGCCTATCCTCGAGACTGCCCAGCCGTGACGGGTGCTCCAAGTGCTTGGCAAGAGAAGCCAACCGAATATACTTCGAGGACTGGACAGCCTACCGACCTTCCAGAAGACGAAATGAGGAGCTTCGTGGAACAGGGACCGAAGCGAGCTAGCCAGTGCCGTTTGAAGTGGCAGGTCCCTGGTGAGTCCTGGGATGAATTGGAAATGGAGAAGCGCTCTACCGAAAGGTTGCTGCTGGCTACTCAAGAGCAAGTCATACAAATCTTGCGACCGTCGACCTCGATTGCAGCAGGAGCCGCGGTGGTAGCTGCTGTGACGTTGTTTGCACTGTGGCTACGACCACGTCCGTCGTGCAACGCGCCGCCCTCTGACTTGCTTGTCACTCACTCCTCTCAATAGCATCGACGGTCACCAGGATCGCAGTACCACAGCACCCCCGTGGCGAGAAGCTGGAAACCGCCTTGCAACGTGCATTGTGCCTTTAGCTGTTAGGTGACATTGACAGTGACGTGCATCGTCTCGAATTCTACAACGACAACTTTGGCTCGAACAGCTGCAGCTGTGCAGGTACTCCAGAAATGGACTGAAGCATTGCAATCAAGTGTAGTGTCCAATGTGCATCTCGTCGCAGAGAGATTTCTATCGCATCAGACTATGCCATGCACTCGAGTTGCCAGGGCTCAGCCCGAAGCTCCTACAGCAAACCACACCACCCAGCAAACTCAGCAAACCCTGGAACAACTCGCGGTTTGAAGCTGCCTGGGCTCTGCGTCAAAGGCACCATGCTGAAGGCAGCCTGTCGTCAAAGGCTCGTCTGTCACCCTGGCAGGCCACTCGGTTTAAAATCGAGCAGAGCCGGCGATGTCGGAGCACAGCAGGCGGGGCTTGGGCGGCTTCCCGCTTCACCCGAGTCTTTGCCATGCACGCAGGAGAAAGATCACCTTCACCAGGCAGTGCTGTCAGTATACTGTCGCCAAATCGCGCAAAGTGCAACACCGAGCACTAAAGTCTGTGCGAAGGAACGCTTCCCCGGCTGTGGATCCTCCCGCAGTCAATGAGGGACAGGGAGGCTATCCGAACCGCAGCGGCCTCAACTCTGCACCCACAGTTTCGGCCTTGGGATGTTGCCTTGCACATATTACCAGATGATGCGTTCAACTGTTCGAACGCCAATACTCATGGTCATTCAGCTAGCCCAGTGTCTTGCCGAGGTGTCAGCACGACCAGGTTTACACTAGCGACGTGGTTCTTGGCCCAGCTTCCCTGCTCGTCCGCAAGCTCTTGCGCAACGTGCAACACGAGGCTTCCAAAGTCGCTCTTTGCACAGTTCCAGCGTGTGGACGGGACCTCAGCTGCCAGCAAAACCCTTGTCACACCTTCGTAGGCCTGAGAGTCTCTCGGCGATCTGACCGTATTTTGTGTCATGATGTGTCATGATGGCATATGTCGGAATTGTAGGCTCTACATTGTACGTATATGGCTGCTGTCCTGCTCGAGAAGCCTGCCTGGCTCTTTGAGTTGGTGCGGGCGGGACCTCTCCCCAGGCCAACATCTACTTCCTCTTCGTGAGTGTCATCGTCTGCATTCCAGACGGTCCGATGGCATGGCACGGGGCTTGGACTGTACTGAAGCTTGGTGCTGCGTGCTGTGTTGCTTTGGCTTTGGGCCAGGCCGGCAACCGTGCTGACCTTCTTGGGAGTCCTGCTCTGGACTGCCTTGAAGGACCTTCTTGCATCAACTTCCCTGACGGTTCAATGACTCAGTGTTGTTTGCCTTGCTTCTCATAGACCTTGCGGAGCGCCTGGCAGCAGCTGCAGCTGTGACGGTCAGGACCTCTACGAAGACAGAAGACGGAAACGCGATGATGATGCAGAAAATTTGCGGAGGTCCGACCGCTCGGGTCCTCAAGTCTGCAAATGCTGAAAGCACGTGTCTTCCTGGCCTGCAGATGTATGCGATACAATGCACGGAGTTGCAGCTTCGAGGAGGCCTGGTGCCTCAACCCTGGCAGCTTCTGACTTCTGCCGTGCATCTCAAGTTGAGTGTCTGGTGCGGAGTACTCCCGTGCCGGAAACCTGCACGAATAATTTCGGGATTGAGTCTTCAATGTGGTGACATACAGTAGTTCAACATGAAATTGCATAAACGTTAACGAATCCCATTCTTGAAACAAGGTTCCATTCCAGTCATGGTCGGACAAACTGAGGAAGCAGAAATCATGGCAGGGTCATGCATAAACGAGGTGCAGCAGACAAGACCTCGATAGATTCTGCGACGCAGTACATTGTCACGTGGCGCGTGTGTGGTGGAGTCTCGGCAGTTTGCAAAAACCACTCCACGAGCTTTCGTTTCCATGTGCCTGACTTTCTGTGCAGCACCAGCAGCACGGAAATATGTAAATGTCGTTTGTTGAATTTCGCACACGATTGAGTCAAGCTGCAGCCTGTACCAGGTTAACTGGAAGGATGTGCTTGCTGGTGACATCCTGCTTAGCTTTGCTGACGAGGCGCGGCTTCCGTTCCTTGTCTTGCTGATCCACAGTACACCATTGGTGTTATAGCCTCGTACTTGTAAGAGATTTCACAGGATTGCATACCCAGGCCTTCAGATGCGAGGGGTGCGCGCAGGATTGAAGCCGATTGTTGGACCTGTAGCACTTCGTCGCAGGCATTTCCAGCCGATGTGCTGCTTGTGCGAGCGGCTGGAGGGCAGGCGGCTGCATAATGGTGTCTCTCAGTAGCCCTAGCAGACGTCTGCGAGGCATTCATCTCAACGGTGAACTTAGATGGTGAGACCAACCTCAAGGCTGAGCTGACAGAAACGGGGACCAAGACTAGGCTCGACGGGCTCGAATTTGAGATGCATGGTGCATCAGGAACGACGTGCCGCGGACCTGCTGTCTGCCATCACCGACATGCCTGAGGCAGTAGAATCGGGAATCGGGACGGACTCAAAAGCAACCTCAAGCGCTCCCCTGGCTGTGAAGGCAGGGCAGGACGTGCCACGCAGCAAACTCGGACATACACGGCAGAAGCCACTGCGGAAGCGCCTGTCTAAGTCTCTGTGTGCCCAGGAGGGGAACAGGCACGTGAGCAGGTCTTGCAAATGGTCATGCGCTCGGAATCACACTTCCCTGACCGTCTGAAGCGACTGAAGTACCGCCAGAATGTTGTCAGATCTAACTTTGAATGAATTGTTGTGGCTCAAGCCTAGCGTGCTGGATTTTGCTTGATGTGCCAGCATCGAATTAGTTGACGCCCCTCTACAGCAGGTGGTGATCTAGGCCCGCACGGTGATCGCGCGCAGCTTCAGAGAAAGAGAGAGTGAGTCTCCCCTCAAGCCTGGCGAAAGAAAGACAGAGAGAGCGAGTCCTATCCAGTGGCGACTGCTACTTCCCTTGGCTGTGTGGAAGAAGAGTCCTATCCAGTGCACGCACGCGGGGGGAACGTTTGGCGCCCTTGTTGTTTGTATGGAAAAAGAAGAACTCCTCCGCTTGACTCGTGCAGGATGCACCCGTACTCCTTGCACATACACGAGCGGTCCGGATCTGAGAAGGGAATCCTTTAGGGGCAACACGTCAACAGGCTCAGTGGGTTGCAGCCAAATTCCTGAATCCTGAAAGCAACAAAGCCACAGAGCATGCATGCATGATACTTGCACATAAATTCAACGAAGACACAAACAAACAAAAAATGCAAAACGCAAATCAACAAGCACATAAGAGAATTCCAGCATATGCTAGCCCCCAAACACTCATGTTTGAAACGTTTTGATACCATATAACCTGACTCAGAGACATGTTTCAACTTGCCAAGGCAGAATCGCAGTGCTGAGTCTTGCACAGAACCCTCTTCCTCATACATGCGTCAATCCGTCACAACAGATACGCATACATGTTTCAGCCAATCCAAGCTGAATGATAGCGGCCAGTATTGCCTACAATCTACTCCATCATGTACGTTTCAACACATCAGGACAGAACAATAGTGCTAGGAACGGTTACAACCCTCTGATAATTACACATTTTTGCCTTCATCATGATAGCAACTTGAATGAAGACCAGTAGAAAATAGCAAGGGTGATGCATCTCATGATGATCGTACTAGTCGAGGTTCCGAACTAGGTTACAATGGTGATGCATGCACGTCAAAAGTAAGATGACAATACTAGCTGACGCGCTGTTTTCCTTCCTAGCCCCCTAGCAATGCACCTGAGAACAACAAGGCTTTAACTCACCTTGCTGTGAGTGCTCATGCCACCCATCCACCCATCCACCCATCGGTCCATCCATTCATCTGAAGTGCCAAGGCCGCTAACGCTCGTCAAGTTCAACTATGATGGCCCGCCTGGCAGCATCTACGCTTGTGCACAGTCGTTGCAGCAGGGTGTACATGGTGAATCTATGCGGTCTAGAATGAGGCGACTTCTTCATCACATGCGGAAAAGATGGCGAAGTGAATCTCATTAGAACTGAGACCTGCGAACGAGTTGGGACGCCCCTCGGTTGCAAACAGCTGCAAGGACTCTTGGGCATTTCAGCCCCGCTCCTTCCGACAGCCGGCCTTCAAACCGGACCTTGACGAAGTCTTGTCGGTTCAGGTACAATCCTCCCGGCGAGAAGGCTGGTGCAGTTTTTGCTGTGGATGTGACGATGGACAGCACGTATGTGGTTACGGCCAATGCAGATGGATTCTTTCGCTGCAATTCGCAGTTTGTTTTTTGCAGCTTTATACAGACTGCCGCTTGCCCCGATATGATTTGTCCCATCCTCTGCTGGGAAGCTACAGGAAAGCTGTGCTTCTACACCTTCAAGGCGACGGGGAGTGCAGCATGGTATTGCACTCCAGAGCCGCGTCACGTGCCGTCTTGAGGGGGAGCACGTCTCTGCCATCAACCATGGTGGTGTCTTGAAGTACGTCGAATGGAACCTGCAACTAGCTTGCAGCACGCGAACGGAAATCGCAGGCTTGTTCTCGTTCAAGCTGTCCGACGATGCAAAAGAGACAAACTTGAAACGTAAGGAAGCCGGGCGATCAAAACATGGTGTGCACATGCAATGCCACTTGGACTTTCACGCGATCCGCACAGGGCTTGTCGAGAAGTGACTGTCCAGGCAGCAGGCAGCTTTCTGACAGATGCGTCACTGTCGCTGCGAGGACAAATTCAAGAGTCAATCAGAAGGCTTGGTTCCAAACAGGATTATGATCTGGTCCTTCGATCCTCCTCGGCGAATCCTGTCCATCGATGACCAGCTTCCTATGAAGGCCACGAAAGTCACTGGCCAGAATTCGTTGAAGCTGAGTCAGTAGTCAGTTGAATCACAAGCCTTTTGTCGGCATCAGGGTCTGTGTCGGCTGTTGTTGTCGCTCCTGCAGTAAGGTCAAGTGGGGAGCTTTCGATGAAACACTAGCTTCTGTGTTGCACAGAAGAAGCGTGCCTGTTGCACTTAGCCACACAACAGCAAGCTGAACGTTTCCTTTCAACGTGTCACATTAAGGTCTCCATTTTTGAGGAAGGAACTGTGATCGTATGGGACTCCTCGGACGGAAGGCAGCTGCAGCTCATTCAGGCACACCAGATGGCCGTCACAAGCAGCTTGGCAGTGCAGCGGGTGTAAGTGAAACATTGGCGTTGGCATCAGCATGCCTGGTGTAGGTTCTTCGGCTTGGGTTGTCTTGTCGCAGCACGCAAGCACGTCAAACAGCTCGCGGCGGTCCTGACCCACACAGAGTTTGTCGCTCCCACAAGTCTTTTTCTGCCTGCATTGCTATTTTATGATGAGGTGGATGGTGTGATCTTGATGGTGTGTCGGTTGATGTCTCGTCTAGGGCAAGAGATCATGTACGTGCATCGTAAATAGCCCGCTAGCGACTTGCAACATTTTGTCGGCCTCATGCACTGATTGAAGCAAGCATGAGGCTGGAGACTCTGCGGGCTGTTAGGCATAGCTTTAGTGTCTGTGTGTGTGTGGCCACTAAATTTTAAATTGCACTGATGCTTGTAGCATGCAGGGGGCGCAGGGTCCTTCACTGGTGCCTCAGCCAAACAAGACCGCAAGCGCAAGGACGTGTAACCCGTAAACGTACCTGCGGCATCGTGGAGTACCTGGGCATGTTGACGACAGCTGGTATCCATTAGAGGATTGGACTCTATTCTCCAGTCCACAGGCCAGAGGACAAGCAAGCCCAGACAATGACGCGGACTTACAGGGCCAAGAACCACAGCGCATGAAGAAGCCCCGACGCGACGACAACTAAGGTCGTCGGGATCGCCTACAACATCTTCAGGAAGCGGAAATAACACAGAAAACTCCAGTGTGTGTGTGTGTGTGTGCGTGCGTGCGCGCGCATGCCTGTGCGAGTGCGCGCATGCGTGCGACATCGGCGAGAGCGTGGTTCGTCACACCGGTTTGGGAGGTCCCATACGGGGCTACCTGCAGCTTCAAGGTATGAAATTCGCTGCGGCAGGAGATCCGTGATACATTTTGGTTTCGATGAACTGTAGCTGTTGTCGGAAGTGCGGGGGCGAGGCTTCTTTGCCACGGGCGGATAGAAGTTTCTCATGTCGCGTGTCGCTGTCCTTGGTGGCCCGGTCGACATGACGTACACCTCTCCGCATGGTAGTCGGATCAAATTAGGTCCTTTCTGCTAAGCATAGAGCTTCACAGCGCGGCTCATGCCCTAGAAGTTTTGCAATCTGGCCTTCATAATCATCGGGATCTTCATCTTCATCTTAACATCTGCAGACCAGTCAACCGCATGAAAGGAGCAATCTCACCGCTAGTTAGTATCCTAAGATGGAAATTCAACCCTCTCCCTGCCTGAATTTCCCATGAAGTCTTCCGAAATTCCCTCACGCTCTGAGTCCTGAGCTTGTTTCTTCATGCTTCTTCCGACATTCCCTCCTTGCGGTCAGGTCCTGACCGTGACCCCCACCGCCCGACATCAATCAGATTAGGTTGCATCATCTCGTACCCCTGTCGAAGTGCTCGACATGTACTGGTAGCCAGTGTCTCTTGCAAGATACATTGTACTGTCTCGAAGCTGCGAGGGTGCCAACACACCTTAGCCTTGGGAATCTCTTGCTTACATGTATAACCAGTTGCAAGTTGTTCTGCCGAGGCATGAATTTCACGGAAGACAGAATGATCATGGCGACCTGCTCCAAGGATTTGTTTTGTGCAGTAGAGTCACTGTGCGTGTGGATATATGTTCCAATTGGTGTCGTATTTGGCTAAGTGGAGGGCGGACGGACCTATACGGGATGCGGCGAGACTTTGCCATTGTGTTGACACGATGTGTCATGACCTTTGTTGGTCTCCGCCGATTTGCGGTGCGAGGACGCTACAGCGAAGCTGTGGACGCTGGATGATTACGAATGCATCAAAGAGTCCGGCGCTTGCGTGTAGTTGCAAGCACCCATTTCTGTGTAGGAGCTGGGCTTCTCAGGTACAAGACAGACAGACCATTGAACGATGTCGCCATCTCACCTTTGTACTGCTCGGAGAATGCCAGCCGGATTAAATGGATGCTAAATGCCAGTGTTAGGTAGCTGTTGCGTGGCCAGAACATGTGACCGTGCTGAGTTTCTGAGTGGGCATGTGACGTCCCTGCCAGAACTGCAAGATGCACTTGCTGATGGGCGGCGGGCAGGATGCAAAGGAGTGCAGGGTTTGGTCCTTGCGGGTTGTTACCGGGAAGCCGATTTCAGTTTTCATCACAGGAAAATCTAAAGACAACAATCGTGCAACGAGGATGTAGCAGTCTCTGGGGCCAGCGGCGCTTTCGAGGCACATTGCCAATCCGAGCGGGGCACCATGGAATTGTCATGAAATATCTTGAGATGCTGGCGAGGCTTTGCTGTGGCATATGGTCTACGAGGAGGAGATTGGATCTGTGAAAGGACATATAGGTCCATTGACTCTTGGCGATTTCTGGACAGAACGTAGACGTCCAGTGTGCTGTGTGATGTTGTAACTGTTTTTCTGCCTCAGGAACTCGATAGCATGGTTCCGAGACGGCGCCGGTTTCGTGACTGGCGGCGAGGATGGCTACGTTAGAGTCCATCACTTTGACAAGGACTACTTCACCGCGAAAAAATTTGAGTAAGCAGCTCGCGTGTCACCATGTTTCTCAGCAATGTGTAAGACTGGCGCAACAGGTTTACCAGCTTCGTTAGCAAAAAGGGGTCCCAATGCCGAACGCCAACTACCTGCATTTCATTTCACGGCAGATACCTTGCACTCTGGTAGCAAACTGGCACCTCCACAGGCCTGCATGACCGCAAAGCATTTGCAAGAGGAGGGCTTGCAGGCTGGCTGACAAAATCTCGAACTGGCTATGGATCAAATTCTTTATGCTCGCCAGGTGGAGCTGGATGTGCCTAAGGCAGTCCTTACTGATATGGATGGGTGCAGCACTTAGTCTCTGCCTACAAACATGCGCTGCTTTGTTCTGGAAGCCGGCACGACAAGGTCGCTCGAACTGAAGAGCGCATCGTCAACGGCGCAAGCTAAGATGCAAGAGGTGGAGGCCACTGGAAACACATGACCTGTCATGAGCAGCATGGGAGTTCAACTGTTTGAAAACTCGACAGTTCGTCGCTGCGTTTCTGCGGCATGCGACAGGTCAAAATTCCATGCAAGCTTGGCTACGAACTTTTCGTGCCGCGCGGGTGCGTCCTTCGAAATACATTGTGCGCCCTGATCGTGCTTTCCATTGATAGCGGTGCCCTTGCGACGTGCCAACATAGTCTGGATTCTGCCCCGTTCTGCCCTTCAACGCACTGTCTCGGCCTGCGCAAGCCCTGAGTGCTTGCATGTGGAGGTATGTTATCTCAATAGCCGCATTCTGTGGACCACATACAAAAACAAGGCCGGCCCACACTTTGCCATGGCAAAGTGTGATTGTGTTGTATGGTAAATGCTGGCAGGATGAATGCAGCGCAAGCAGTGGGCAAGGCGCTGGTTCTGCCAACATGACGGGGAGAATGCAGACATACGATGTCTTCGCTGCTGTTCAGCGTAAGCTACTGCGCGATTTGCACACAGGTCTCGAACATGCAGGTGTACCTGAACCGCGGAGTCCAGGATGGTTTGCACATTTCTTGCACCTGTGCCACAAGCTTGCAGTAGAAGAATTTGCGTGCCGTGTCTGCTGGCCCCAGTGGTTGCAGCCTGCAGGGCCTGGTAGTTGCGCTCGCATTGTGGTGCACCTACTGCACCATCGCAGGGGAAGTGCAGGCTGCGAAGATCCCATGTACTGTAACACAGCAATTTGTCTGCTGGAGCTTTGACCAGGGCGAGACCGAAAAGCATTGGTTCCTGCGCTTCCTCTTCTACTGGACACCGCATTTCCCTCTGGCTCTGTCAGGCGTGCTTTCTTAATGCTTTGTGCTGTGCAGGATCATCCTCTATCAGATCATCCCCGTGAGCCTTTACGTTTGCTTTGAGATTGTCAGACCCCGATTTGTTGAGGAAGGCGTATCTTGATGTAGCTGTTGCCGGATGTCATCCTGGACCGAGATCAAGCTCTCTCTGGCGTTCCAGATCAACAGGGATCCCAGCATGGTGGACCTGAGGATGCCATGTTGCCACTTTTGCTACTTTGGTCTGACTTGCAAGTGACGCTGACAATGTAAAGGCACGCAGCAAGAGCTCTGCATTGCTCTGCTTTTGAGAGGACGCAGCAGCCTGCAACGGCCAGAACAGCTGATTTGGTCGAAGAAATGGGCCAGGCTTGTTCCTTTTGGCCTGCTGGTCAACTTGTGTCCGCACCAGAGCTTCGTTGTCCGACAGGTGAATTTCGTGTTTTCAGATAAGACTGGCACCCTCACAGAAAACGAGATGGTTTTTGCACACTGTTGTGCCTGAGCCTTAAACGGCCGCAGGGTGGGAATGCAGCTGCGGAGCAGTACGGGTGTGCCGTCCACAGCGGTCCTGTTATCCTCTCAAGGTTGGTGGAAAAGATCTCGGAGACTTCCGAAAAGGTGGAAAGCTAGATATACAGGAGGCAGTCCGGGAGTAATGGAAGAGAGCGATGTGCACTCGTAAATTTTCCTCCGCAAGGAGGCCGTTGGTGTGGCTGAAGCGAAGAGAGTGCTTGCAGATCCTGCCGACCCACTGCACTCCGAGGAGCACGGCATGACACTGCAAGAAGTGTTTGACCTGCTCTGTGACTCGGACGCTCGCTGCGATTGGAGGCGCTCTGGTTTTTCCTGAACCTCGCCACCAACCACTCCGTGCAGGTGTGTGGAGACATTGGCAGTAGGAGTGAGAGCTCCGAACACAGAGATTTCTGCTGTGACGAAGGTTGAGACAGGGGCGAACGGCAAGAAGACCTTTGAAGGGAGTTCCGCTGACGAGGCGCACCTGGGGCAGCCCGCTTGCCTCATGGTTGAATGAATAAACCGGCTTTCGGCTTTCGCTCAGCACAGATTTACTGGAATTAAGATTGTCAACAGTCTCACGCCAGGTAAGGTCTGGACAGGGGACCTGTCTAATAGAGTCTAACAGCCTTCGTGTTGTCGCTGTCTGTCATCCACACTTTGTGGCGAAGCCTGCCACTTGCTACTGGCAATGCCGAGACAAGGTGGCATCTGTCTGCACTGACCACAGCTGCAGTAAACTGACGAGTCAGCAACCTGCAAGCTAAAACAGGGTAACTCAGCGTAGCTTTCGAGCGGCGCCGAATCATGCATGTTGTTGAATGGTCGACGGCCGCTATTTGTGAAGCGCCGCCCTGCCGCCTCAATAAGATCTTCAACGACAATCAGGAAGAGCTATTCAAACGACGGTTTCTTGACGCTGCTGCTGCCAGACTCGGTTGCCTCACTTCCGCCGCATGTTTGGAATCGTGTTGAACACCCAAGAAGTGCCGACCCAGACCACCCTAACCGGAGCTTGCACAACCTAACAGACGTGACCAGGTTCGTGTTTGTGCCCCTGGTCAGCATTCTCTAGGTTGTGCACAGGATATTGCTACATGAGCATGTTTTGCACTCGAACGGTCGCATGCAAGAGACGGACACTTCGGCACCTTGCCGGGTCGCATCCCGTACCAAGAAGCGTGTTGACACGCGGTCCTTTCTACAAGCCTGCCATCGAGGTGACCTGAATGTCAGTGGCATGCTGCTATTGGCCTCATCTCATCGCAGGTTGCAGAAGCCTGTTTTACTTGCTGTTCTTGCGTTGTGAGAAGTGTTGTGCGTCCAAGGCTCAGAGGCAGGAGACCGAAACGAGAATATCATTGAGAGCTGAAGGAATACTTGTGCTCAGACTTATGTCTGACTTCACTACGATTCCCAATTTGAAACCTCGAGTCCGAGTTGAACAACCACTTGTCGTCGACTTGGCCATCAAGCATTGGCGATTTGCAGGTGGCTTTTGTGGATGCCGCTAATGCGGTAGGCCGGGGACCTAAAGCTTCGGTTCGTTTGGTGAGAGACGCATCTGTTGCGCTTCGTTGCACTTCGAAGCCTCGAGCACCTGCAAGGCGTGACCTTCGCCTCCCGCACGCGGCTAGCTGGAACGAGCCATACAGCCCGACTCCTAACTCCTAGATCTTTTTCGCACAGATCCGCAAACCATTGTATGCGCTTTCCTGCATGAGCCATGACCAAGCTGATCAAGGAACTCGTCGTGAAAGGACCAGGGCCGCAAGAATTCACCTTCACAAACGTTTGCCCGAGGCTCAGCCAAGCTTGAAACGTGTCCGCGGCCTCCACTGTTCATGCAGTGTAGTGTAGAAAACATCATGAACTGAGGCGAGATACCTTTCACTTCGGATAGAAAGCGCATGAGTGTGATTGTGAAGCACGTCGGCTCGCGACTGAGCTCTGGAAACGCCCAGCACGGGATCGTTGCTTGATGTCTTCGCAATCCGACATTCATGACTTGCACTGAGCTGCCAGGCGAGTACTGGTGCATGTGCAAAGGGGCCGACAACATCATGGGGCGGGAGCCTGGGAATGCTGCAAGACTAGCAACAATCACAAGATGCTTTTGCAGATTCGTGTTTTGTAGTCGCCGTTTGGTTGGGTGTGAGGCCCTTGTGCTCCCGCCCACTGGACGGCGGTGCTCTCAGTCTTGAGAGCCTGTGTGTTTTCCTCATCGGCGAGGAAGATGTGAACCACTACGCACTTGAGGCACGCTTGGTGAGAGTTTGACCCAGTACTCCAAGCTGGGCCTGCGAACTCTTGTTGTGCCTTGGATGACATCGGACGATTCTGTGCTCTTCGCTTCCCTCCCTTCGTACATACGCCTTTGCATATCTCCCTCCCAGGAAGGTCTAACCCTTCTTCATCAACTGCTGGCGGTTCTCTCAACCAATATTCTTTCAACTCCGGTTCCTTCTGCCACTGTAGGTTTGGGGCTTTAGGGTTTGGGGTTGAGGGATGGGGCGAATTGAAGGCATCTTGGAGAAAAAATTGAAAAACTTGTTTGCGACCCTTAAGCACCCGAGAAAAAAGTTCTGAGGCGCTTCTCTTCTTTTCATTTGTTCCCCCGTTTATTCTTCCTGGTTATTGCTGATGCTGATGCTGCTACAACAACAACTACTACTACTACTACGACGACGACTACTACTACTACTACTCCTGCTACTACTACGACTACTACTATTATACTACTACTACTACTACTACTACTACTACTACTACTACTACTACTACTACTACTACTACTACTACTTCTACTACTACTACTACTACTACTACTACTACTACTACTACTACTACTACTACTACTATATACTACGACGACGACTACTACTACTGCTATTGTCTGTGATACTAGCAGTAGCAGTAGTAGTAGTAGTAGTAGTAGTCGTCGTAGTAGTAGTTGTTGTTGTAGTAGTAGTTGTAATAGTAGTTGTTGTAGTTGTAGTTGTAGGAGTAGGAGTAGGAGTAGGAGGAGGACTGGACTAGGATTGGGACTTGGACGAGGACTAGGACGAGGACGTGGGCTTGGACTAGGACTGGACTAGGACTAGGACTGGAGTAGGAGTAGGGGTAGGAGGACTCGCAGTAGGAGAAGGAGCAGGAGCAGGAGCAGGAGTAGTAGTCGTAGTAGTAGCCGCAGTAGCAGCAGCAGCAGGAGTAGCAGCAGCAGGAGGAGTAGTAGTAGTAGTAGTAGTAGTAGTAGTAGTTGTCAGTAGCAGCTAGTACTGGCAGTAGCAGTAGCAGCAGTTGTAGCAGTAGTAGCAGTAGCAGCAGTTATAGTGCCGGTCGTGGAGTGCAGGTGTAGTCGTGATCATTGCTAGTACTCCCACTCCCCTGGTGATAGTCCGGGTCCTCTCTCCCCTCAGGACAGCAGAGTTAGAGGCCAACACGGTGTGCCGGTCGTCCTGTCTGCGAGATTTTAGTCGGACCCCTGGTTCTCGCCACCCCCCTCCAACAGCAACAGTAGTAGTAGTGTATGCCTGTGGTGGTTGTCGTCGTAGTAGAGGTAGCAGTAGTCGTAATCGTGCTGGGAGCTCGCCACTCCTCTGATTGTAATTCTCGCTTTCCCGCCGCAGGTACAGTAGCAGAGGCCCTACATGATGATAGTCTGACCCGGTAGGTAGCCCCACCCCTCAAAAAAGGCGAGATAACGAGTCATGCACATTGTGGTGTTCCGGTCGGTTCTCATGGAGTAGTCGTGGTAATGGCGTTGTCCAAGTCCTAGTCCTGCGAGCAACACTCGTGGTTCTTTCCCCCAGAAAAGAAACAGGGAGAGTCCGGCCTGGTGTCCTGGTCCTGCCTGCGGGTTTGCGATCCGCCCCTGGCAGAACAAGTGGTCCACACCCCGCGTAGTCGTCCACATGGTGTCCTGATCATCGTGTTCCCCTTAAGGGGACAGGAAGCGACCACGGAGGATACTGATGAGTGGTATGTAGGAAAGTATTGTCCTTGCTGTCGTTCGACTGTCCTCTAATCGTTCTGGTAGCGTTGGTTACACCGGCCGTCATCGTGCGGTCGTGTTCTGGTCGTAGTCTTCCTTGCCTAACGGTACTCGCCTTGCTGGACCTGCTGCTGCAGGTGGTGGTAGACCTCCCCGGGCCCGAAACATCAATGGCTTCGTTCACCCTCCTCCCTCTCTCTGATTCTCTCGCAGCACGATCTGCTCTAAGCGACGCTATGCTGCTTAGTGCTAGAATTGCTTTGCCTTCTGCAGATCGCCGCAAAGAAGATGGACCTGAGCTTCACCGAAGATTGGCTCAGCCGCTGGAAAGATGCGAGCCTCGAGTCCGAGGAGCCTCCGCCGTGAAGTCAGCATAGGTCTGAGATCTGGTCGGCATCAAAACACACGGAGCACGACCGGGTCCAGGTGACACACAGCTTATGGAGTTTTGGTCTCAGCCGCGAGGACCGCGAGAAGAAGCTGGCTGAAATCGCCGCCGAAGTGGAGCACTCCTTGGAGCCAGCAGGAATCACGGCCATCGAGGCGCGCGCTCGCCGCTCATCCCGGCTCTACAAAGGCATTTCAAAGGCCAGGGTGCTCATCCGCAGGACAAACTGCAAGAAGGCGTACCCGAAGCCATCGTCTCCATCAAGGCTGGGATGCTCAGAGCCTTTCTGAATCTCGTAACAGAGCTGCGGCTAGCTGCTGACCGCAACTTAAACCTGGGAATACGGCGAGGCAGCATCCATCCGGTTCTGGGTCCTGACGGGAGACAAGACGGAAACGGCGGCTCAAAACTTGGTCTACTAAGTTACTCGTGCGCACTTAGCGGCTTGGCCCAGAAGAAAAGCACCTCTGAGGTGGAGATTGCAAAATCTTGCCGCCTCTTCACCCCAAGCATGACTCTTGCTTACTTGGTGTGGCACTTGGAGAGCGCATGCTGCTGTGCCTCACGCACGCAAGCCAATAGCCACAATGCCTTCGCTGAGGTGAACTGCAGCAGCGAGCAGCAAGCGTTGAGCTTGTTGGAGGCTTCGTGCTTCGACGTTGAGGCATACCTTTTACAATCGCGGCGGATGCCTTCAGGAAGCCAAGACAAAGTTGCAAGACTTGACTGATGGAGGGCTCGTGATCGACGGTCCGTCGCAGCAATCGTTCACCATTTGCAGAGTAGCTAGTGCTTTATGTTGCCAGGTACCTTTGTTCAGCAGGTCCTGAGTTCTGCCAATGGCCGGCCGATGTTGCAAGCCTTCCGCAGATTCTGTCTTTGCAGAGACGGGCCACCTATCCCTGACCCCATCCCGTTACCGCCAGGTATGAGCTTGCGATGTCCAGCACATGTTGTGCTCGTGCCCGAGCTTCACTTGCAGAAAGCGGCAGTCCTCGGCTTTGGCCCGGGTTCCGGGGTTTGCAGCCCCGAAACGCCCGGATTCGCCATACAGGTGTGCTGCCGTCTGTCTCCACAGCAGAAACGCCGTCTGGTGGGATCCTTTGCTCGAGCTGTGTTTTTGGGCACCGCTGTGCATGGCGTTGCATGCAAGGTGGAGTTGGTGAAGGACATGAACAGGAGCCTTGGCATAGTTCGTATTGATAGTCTATGCCCGCTGCAATGAAAAAACTTAAACTACTTGGCAGTGATGCGAACAACAGAGAGTGATGGGAACCCCTGGCTCAGGACCGGAATTACCTTGGCAGTTGGCGACGGGGCGAATGACGTGCCGATGATTCAGGGTGCCCATGTCGGGATAGGCGGGATGTTGTATGGATCCTTCATCTCGTGGCAGAAACAGTAGCAGTGTTCGAAGTTTGTGCATCCACCGAGGCATCCGCGGCAAAGAAGGCAATCAGGCCGTGCAGGCCACGGAGTTGTGCAAGTCTTTGTCTCTCCATGCCTGATGCGACAAGTCTGACCAAACAAATCAAATCACTTGGCGATGGGTTCCTGAATCATTCAACCGTGACATTGTGTAAACGTATACCTGTTCTGGTAGTGTGGCTACTCAGTACAGTGGCGGATCACATCGAGGCGCGATCGGACCGTAGTGCCACAATGAGAAGGGGTTCGTAACCGGGAGTGTGAGCTTGCTTTCATGCCCGCGCTTCAGCCACTGCTTTGACTGAAAGCATTCCGGGCAGCCCTTTCTTGTTGCTTCAACCTGTTGTATGAAATGCTCCATGTGCACGCATGGTCGCACTTTCTCCCTTCTTGACTACGCTTTCGTCAGTCTCGCGTGCGTTTAAGAACTTCCCGTTAGAGGGGGGCGCAATTCGCGCGAGCCTGTACCGTAAAAGTGAGCGCTGGGTGGGAGCACCAATGTCGAAGAAGCCAACTGAGCACAAAGAACAGAATCAGATTCGCTTAGATTCAGATGTTGCCCGGCAAAGAAGACGATGGCCGCTTTAATTTATCGGCCAGCATCTTTTGAAAGAGACACCCAGCATTCCGCAGAATTTGCCGCGGCAACCGCTGCCGTGTGCATTGCCGAAAGTGGTAACGCAAAGGTGGCGGAAGGTTGAATGAACACAGTTCAGGCCTGAATGAAATTTCTCTAGTTTCGCTGGAAGTGCTTCATGTTCCTACTGTATCCGGTCGAGAATCACATCCGAGGACATCTGCTCTGCTCTATTGAAAGAAAATCAGCCGTGTCTGGAATTTGTGAGGCACTTCCTAGGCAAGAAGAAGCAACGTGGCTAAGAGGTGCAGAGCCCTTTTAGCCTCATTCTTCTTCTTCCATCAGAAGGCTAGCTGGAGCTTGCGCGACGTCCTCGCAATGAGTTGATGCACGTTTTTGAACACACCAGTTGGTCTTGGCTGTCTTAGCTTAGGGGTGTGCCAGCCGTCGTCTCTTAGCATCTCTCGGCTCTGGGGCAGCCCTTGAAACGTTTCAGGTCGTGGGCTGCCGGATGATAAGTAGTGATCTCTTGGGCATCTTGGGGCCTAGGGCTGAGGACTTGTCAATCCGCTGCCGGTGTTTCGTTTCTAACGTCTTTGCGCCTGCAGTCCTTGAAGCATTTCAGATTTAGGGTCTAAGGTTTAGCAGCCACCATCATGGTCTTCCGGCTTTAAGGTCGTTATGCCCCAGCTCCCTTGAAGGGTTTGGGATTTAGGAGTGAGTTTGAGGGTCACTGCTTGGTCAAATCCTGTGGATGTCGGATTCAAGGAGGTGTGGTTGCGAGGCGGTATCGAGCATAAGGTTGGGCCAGGTTCTGAGAAAGGAAGTGGTGGGGTAATGGCGGTGTCGCACAGGCAGGTCATTCGACTCCAGGCGTTTGGGTTGGGGGGTGGGGTGGGTTGCAGAAACCTGGATCTTGTCAGTCGGACTGACCAATTTTTGGCTTAAACGGGCAACTCTTTGGAACAAGTTCGGCGGCCAAGACTTCTGGCTCTAAGTGCATCAAGATCATCAAAGGTGATGCGGCCTTCTTAGCTTAGTGTGCAGGTTGGACAATAAAAAAGAACCTTCCCGGCATGTCTACACGAAAATACATAATTACGGGAGGTTCCGAAGCCTTTGCAAACCCTTGGCCCCTCAATATGTCCCAGGCGCGAAAGCGAGGACATCAAAGCAAAAATGATGCACTCTAACTGCCAACGAAGACGGGCTAGTACAAACATTGAAACCCGAATGCCATGAGGATGGCCCGCAAACCAATGACAGCCCCAAACCCACCGTAGCCTTAACCCCAAGATCTGAAAATGCTTCAAGGACTGTGAGCTCACAGGCCTTGAACCCTGAACAATCCTGCACACCATGAAACCATATTGATGGTTGGCAGCTAGTCACCAAACCTTGACAACGCTCTTCCAGTCCACATCCCTCCTCGGTGGACCCTCGGCACCTCCACACGGCCGACCCTTCGGGTCGGCGTGCCACCTGCCGCCTCCCGCCTGCCCGGCTCCGGCTGTTCTAAGACACACGCTGCGTCCAAACGACGACACGGAATGGTTCAACGTCGCTTCGGAAGGCTTTATGCCACATGTGCATTCAGATAGGTTGGTCGCCGGGACCATGTGCTACGGTCTTCATCGTCGACAAGTCTGCGTGCAGAGGGCCGGTGCAAAGCTTGGCTTGTCAAAGCAAGCCAACCAATGTGCCGACTGCGACTAAGATCTGGGTCACGGGCTACACTTGTATCAAGGTGTTTGTTTTGCTTCCTACCAGAAACCAAGCAGCATGACAGCGTCATTGAGTTGTAAACGACGTTTCACAGTAGCAGCGAACAAGTGCTGATCCTCTCAGAGCTGTCTCGTTTGACAGGCCAGTGATGTGGCAATTTCGCAGTTTCGCTTCCTGGTCCCGCTGTTGTACTGCCACGGCACGGGCCTGAGCATCGCAGCCTTCTACCACCCAGGCGGACCTTGTCAACACAGCAAAGCCATAGACTCCCTTTCACAGTTCAGAGAGTTGCCAAGTGTCTCGGACTCGTGAGTGGAGTTCTGGCAACTCTGCCGAGTATGCTCAACATGACTGGCTGGGCCTCATGTGTAGTCCAGTGCGCGGCCCTTTGGTTTCGAGGAAGACGGGCATACCGCCGTGTGGCCACATTCATCTGCTACATGTTCTACAAGCACACCACTTTGGCTGTGGGCGACATTTTCTACGCACATCAGATTGGGCCAGCATCCCAGAACACATCTTCACATGCCTTGCATGTGCTGATGTCACCAGTCTCCAGGTTTGTGCCTCAGATCGCCTATGCCGAGTGGCTGAACTCAGCGTCGGAGCCTCAAGTCACGTTGCTTGCACGGGCACCGGGTATCTCCTTTGCTGACCTTGCTGAGGTTTGCCTCTGTTATCTGTGGCTTGCCGGTGCTGGTGGTGGTGAGTCTGGATACTGACATACCAGACGAGGCAACTTTCAGCTTGTGTGGTCCCGCGTCTCCGTCGGACAAGTTTCGGATGTCTGTCAGGTGTCTGTTGCATCGCCGGACTTGTACATCGAAGGGCTACAGCAGCAGCCAAAGTGCAGTCGAATTCCTGCAGCCGTCCAATTACGACGGTTTCAGGCGAATGCGCTTCAATGCCCCTTTGCTAGTGGCATGGGTGTTGAGGCCGTGAGCTCTGGACGTCACATGTTCATGTTTTGTTTTAGATTTCAGATCGTGCCGCCTTGCCAGTGCCTTCTACCACGGTGGGGTGTCCTGGCTCATTCCGAACTTGACCGTGGGATCTGTGGACGAGGAGGCTTGGACTGTGAGCGCTCTGCAGCTTCCGAGCGGCCGCGTTGCCGTGCAGGATGGATGGGAGTTCTGGTATTCATCATGCATTTCATTTTGCCTGGTAGTGGCTCAGCACTCAGCCGACGTGCGATGCAGCAATTCCGCTTCCTTGAGAGCAGTTGCTGTGCAGATTTTCGTCAACTTCCGGTTGTGGATGGTTGCCGAAAGTCCGTTCTCAAAAGAGACGGTTGGAGTGGCAGCCTGAGCATTTTGTAATCCAGGAACTTGCCTAGACTGCACCAGCCTTGACCATGAAAACGGTGCCGAGATCATTGTCTTCTCCTTCCTGTGCTTGGCCGTAACGTCAAGCCCGCGATGTTGCACTTTTTCGGACACGAGTCTGTCCTCAAGCGTTGGAGTTCTGGCTGCCTCCGCCAGGTTGGCCGTTTTAGCTGAAACTCCTTTGGGCACGGACATGATGCAACCGAAGATCGCAGGCAGTGAACATGCGGCGTCCAGTTCTGAGTGAATCTACTGCCTTGCTCAGGAGCGCTGAGCGCAATGTTGACAGAAGCTCGCTATGCAGCGGTTCTGGTGAAGCGCTCAGATGGGTCCCTCGAGTTTTTGAAGTTTCATGGCCTGCGGATTGCAGTTCCTTACGCCGCTACTGCTGCTCCTGGACCTGGTCTGAACCTCGTTTCGGGCTGCAGTTCCTTGCGAATGAGAAGATCCCCGAATGCACTCTCGCGATTGTTGCCAGGCTGTTTACCAGGCAATCGCTTACTTCAACCCTTATCCGCTGACAGCTGCAAAGAGGCCCTGTTGCTCTTTCATTGTGGACGTGCAGGAGGTTCTCTTGTCTGGCTCAGGAAACTGTGGTGGAGCAAGCGACAAAAGAAGGAGAAGCCTTAGCAAATTTCAGGTCTTCTCGTGCATTGTGATCTCCTGCAGTGAAATTGCTGGGCAGAGGGGGTATTCAGAATTCAGGCATCTTCAGGCTCTCAGGCGCAACCGACTCAGGAAGCATCTCGTGGACCCGACAACTTACTTTTGTGCAGGATGTCCCTGACAGAAAGTAGAGCGGACACCCTCAGGCGCAGTCTGCTGTTTTACTGCTTCTGCCTTTGTGGGTGTGGGCAGGCTTTGTGTGTTCTGGGATGTTCGGGCTATCTGGAGTAGTCATGATGAATGGCATTATGCTGTTCTGTCACGCAAGTCGGCAGGCTTTTATGCAAGAGGCGCCCCGCGCGTCGGATTGACGGAGCCATCTTGCACTGAGAGCTGCATGCGTTATGCAGAACGGTGGTCACACTTACCAGCCAGATGCCGTGCCTCTTCTACTCTACTCTACTGTCATTGCACTCTACATACAACCTCTGTATTTGCGTGTGTTTGTGGGTATTCCTGCATGCGACTCGCTCGTTTACGTCAATTTCTTATGGCCATGTGCCCACAACGATGGCATGCCCGGCCTTTTCTGTCTCACGCACATTCATTGTGCCATGCGAAGCATGGTTTTTGCGATCAACGCTCCTTGCAGTGTGCCAGCCCGAAAGGGCTGCCACACTTTTACTTTAAGCAGCATAGCACCGTCGATGTGAATGTCAAGGCTTCCGATCCGTCACACCCCGCACCCCAGCTCCGTGAGCGCGTGGAATCGCGTGGACAGTCAGCTCAACTTAAGAAGTGCTGTTTATGGTTCAGTAGCTTTTCAACCGCAATCTGTAGTGGCTCTTGCAATGTACCCTTTGGCAAGACTGTGCAACCGAGCTGATCACAGGCTAAAGTGCCAAGCTGTGATCAGACATGTGCTGCACATGGTCTCTTTGCACGCTTGCCAGATGGGAAAGGAAGCCTTGCGCTACTCCGCAAGTTGCCCACGTTGCCTTTGTTTGGGGAAATTTCGGTATAGTTCCGGTAGCCAGTCGGAAGATCAAGATGCAGTCCACTTCTTCGGGTAGAATCAATTTATTTCCCCACGCCTGGCTTTCATCTGAACGTGAGGTGGCTTGCGCCAATGTTGAACCAAAGCAAAAGACAAAGCTGCTCTCAATGCTCTGCTGGTGGATGGGAGTGTAGGAGCGTGCAGGATGGACGTGACTAGACTAAAGCAGGCCAAGTTGCATATCCTCTGCCTTGAGCTGCTCTGTATAATGTGCAGGAGGATCCGTGAAACCGTCTCGCAAAGCGGGTCTATGACCAGATCCCGGAGTCAACTTTCCATGCGTAGAGCAATTGCAATTGCCGCGGATGTTGGACGTGTTGCAGACGCTCTGCGAGGATCAAGCAGAACCAGCTTGGAGTAGATTGAGTTAGATGTCAGTCGTGTGGCGGGGATTCTGTCGATGCAGGACAGCGGCAAGATCCCTGGTAAAGCTAGAAGCAACGTTACATAACGCAGCAATGAAAAAGCTTATTGTCCAGGCTGACATGCAGAAGCTACTTGCGTCTAGCTGTTCAGCTGTTCGACCAGAATGTGTGCATGCACCGCTGCCTTGTCGAGACTATGTCCGCGCTCCCTATTCTACACTGACATTGAGCGTTGGAAGGATCTGCGGGGAAGTGAGTCAAACTTTGCCAGGGTGCTAGTTGCCACGGACTGACCGAAGTTTCACGTGGCTTCCTTACGAAGTGATTAGATTCGCACGACGTCAGTCTGTCCGGAAAGAACGAGCTGTTGCGTTAACTTGCATGCCTGGGTTTGCAGGTGTGGGGCCAGAGCGACCGCCATGTGTCATCTTTGCGGGGGCAATCTGCAAAGACCAACCTTCAAGCTGGAATGCGATATGGTGCAGCACTGGTGGCTCTATTGACTGCCCGTGGTGGTCGAAAAGCCGCAGGCACTGGATCGCTGTCGATTTTAAGGTTGCCGCTCCCGAGTTTGAGCCGCCAGACCCCGGCATTAGGCGCTGCTCGACCCAGGCAGCAAAGTAGATCCATATTTCACTGCAAACCGCCCGCCCAGTCGCCACAGTGTGTTCTGGCCACTGGACTCATAACCTGTGTAACAGACCTCATGACCACTTCCGGCCTGAAGGGCTAGAGTCGGCTAGAGGCTTCTTTCCACACGATTCAGGAGGTTTCCGATTCATGACAACTCAAACGGCCTGCGCGTTTGCCAGGCAGACCTTGCAGAACCGCCCTCAAGGCTTCGAAGCCTCCGTGCACCTCCGTGCTGGTTTTGGGCTTTGATGGCGTTATCTGTGCTGACGCAGAAGAGGTTGCAGCAGCAGCATGCCAGGCTGCCTTTGAGCTCTGGCCGGATGTCATGAGAGATGCACAGGATGTTACACTGAACGAGGCTGGTGTGCGCCAGAGCTGGGTCGAGTACGACTGGCAAAGACTTTTGGAACACAAGGCATCTGCTGTGTTCACTGATGCACCGCCCTGGCTGCTATACAAGGTGCAAAAACTCCGACCGGCGTGCCAAGCAGGATGGGAAATGCTGCTCTTTGCTCGCCTCTGTGTCGAGGAGGCCGTTGCCTGCCGGGCGAATCGAGCCAAAGGGCGGGGTGGTGCACGGCCGCTAACAATCGGGGAGATCGAATGTAATTGGTTGGCACATCCTGGCGAGTTCGGCCTGCGCGAGCTCTTGCTCATGCGGTGGGGAGATCTGAGCATTGCGCAACTGCAGGACGCAATGGCAGATGCCAGGCGTCATCACCGTTCAGAAGGTCTTCTGGTAGAGATAAAGTTCTATAGCGAAGTATTGCGGGTCGTTTGGCTTGCAGTCGCGGCTGGCAGGATCGGCGAGACTGTTCACATTATCACGAGTCGTGACCAGGTTTCCGCAACGCACGCGCTGCAAATGGCCAGCGCTGGGGCAGCAGATCTCCCGTTCGACCCTCCAGACTTCCAAGGGTCCTGGGCTGGCAAGGACGGTTGGCAACTGCACTGTGGACTGGGGACAGTGGAGGATAAGGTCCGCGCTGTGGAATCTCTGTGCAAGTCGATTGGGTCCACATCTGGAGTTTCTTCGAGTAGAACACAGCGAAGATTTTCGTCGCTTCCTTGAAGTCTCTTTTCCAGTCTTTTGCCCAACGAACGCATTCTTGTAATCAAGAGACTGCCAAGGAGGGCCTTATCATTGTTGACGACTCTGTGATATTTCTCAAGGCTTGCGCGTCGAAGCTGAATCTGGCTGCGGTTCGCAACTCAGTGGGTTGTCAAATCATGGATGAGCTGTCGAGACAGTCGAAGTGTGGAACGATCGGAATCGGAATCGCAACTGGTTGCCATCCGGGCTTTTCCGTGGGCTTCTTGCATCCCTTTCTCCGAGCGTGCTTCAGTTTCTTTAAGAAGTCTTTGTTAGAGCTGTAGCAACATCGCCGTGCACCGGATCGTCGCTGTGCGTGTGTTTTGGGAGAACCAGCAAAGCTTCTTCAGGCGCGCCTGTATCTGGCATCATGGGGCTATGTGAGTCACAGACACTGGGCAGACGGCCGATCTGGACTTCCAAGCGCCTTGGTGGATTTGTCTCTGCAGGCGGAACGAGTGTGCAAGCAATGGCCATTGGGATGCCATTGGGCCATGAACGTTCGACTTGTGCATGTAACATCATGTAGCATCAGGATGTTCAAGCTCAGGAGTGAAAGAGCTCTCGGGTGCCGAAGACCTTGCTGCAGTGCTGCCTGCTGAGCCTCGGCTGGACGAGTCCATGCGGTAAGAAAAATCAAAGGTACCAAGTCTTCTGCGCCGACTCGGACCAAAACCGGCCATGACGACTCCACTTCATAAAGCCCCGCTCCGGCAGGACATTTCGGCCTTGAGTTGTGAGCTAGCTTCGGTGCCGCCATGGCATCTTTCTCCCTGATAAGTTCGTCCTGAGCTCTGCAGGGCTCAGTCGGACATGGCATGCGTGTGAACTGCCCCATGCAATGCTGTAGTCTTCCTAGGCTTATCCGGCAACTGCCCAGGGCCAGCCCTTTGCAACCTTCGCAATGCGAGGAGCCCTTGCAGATCCCAGTGGATGTGTGTAGTGTGTAGCGCTAGCTGGGATCTGCGTTTCCCCAGGAGCATTCAGGCGCCATGTTTGGAGGTGCCGCCGGAAGCTTGTCCGCTCACGCCTCAGTCCTTTGTCTGTGAGCTCTCCTTTCATGCTATCTCCATGCAACTCGCTGCAGGCTTTTGATGACGTTCCCGACGATTTTCAGCTTCCATCAGGGAGCGTGCAAAAGGGAGAGAAGCGCGATGCTTACCTCTCCCTCTGTCCGTGCGACTCCGTCTGTCTTGTTCTGTCCCTGTTGCCTTCTGTCCGTCTGGGTCTCCCCGTGTCGGTGTCTGTCTGACGGTCCGTCCCTCCGTCAGCCTCCCTCCCTCCCTCACTCCCTCCCTCTGTCCATCTCTGTCCGTGCCTGACGACTGTACGCCTGTCTCTCCCCCTCTTTGAATCTTGATGTGTGCGTGTGTGTCAAGCTGCCTGACGCGCGACTCAAGGTATTTCAAGAAGTACTGCGCCCAGTGCCATTCGATCTATCCGGACAATCGGCTGACAAGAGCACCAGGGCTGCATTCATCCATGCCATGTACTGTCACCGTCATGATTCACGCAGGTTTGATCCAGGGCTCTGTAACATGCAGGCCGGGCAGACGCAAATTGGGCCCACCTTGTTCAACATTTATGGTGCTCTGGACTAAATGGTTACCGTGCTTACAATTTCTGTCTTCTGAAGACTTGTCTTTTATTGGCAGTTTATCAAATCCTGTACTCGTTGACTTGACGATCATGTATGGTTTTAAGCAGAGGCCGCGCCAGTGGACTTGAAGAAATTCAGAACAAGCAGGCTTGATGTCGCAGACTGCCTCTGAGCGTGCTTTTTCGGACTGCACCGCTTTGCCAGGGAACAGACCGTGTCGACAACGTGCTATGGTTGGAAGCTGCACTGATGTGACCTCCTCAGTTCTTTGCAAGGGTCGGTGGACCGACTTGCTGGTTGCAGATTCCTCCCATCCCGAGAGGAACTACATGAAGAATCCGCGGGTGATGGCGCAGGGGAGCCGGCCTCAGTCCCGCCGAAAGGGGGTGCTGCTTCGTCTCTCGTTCATTTGTCTTCTATGGTTGGAGCTGCATTCGTGCCTTCTGTGTCCCTCGCTTCCCCATCTACTCGTCAGCAGTCAAGGGGGTCATACAGACATGCATGCTATACAAAAAATTTACACCTACACATAATGCGTGTATGCCGGCATGCATCTCGCTTTTTCTCGCTTTTCGGGCGTAGAGTTCAAGTAGAACGCGGCCCATTGGCTTGCACCTGATTAAACCCCACCTGGAAGAGGCGGTCGGTCCCTCATGCGCCGCGCTTCGGCTAGCGAGAAAAGCGCCAACGCCCCGGAGCAGAAATCTACTCGAAGGTAGTGTGCACTCGGGGCTCAAAATCGCAGCAGGCATGATGCATACCGTGAAGCGGCAGGTATTCCTCACAATCGGATCCCTTCCAGGCCATCCATTACCGCAGGGACTCTCATGCAAGGCTACACTAAAGGCACAGTGACTGCGTATGCACCCTGTGGGCCTAACGAATTGGAAACAACTATCCAAACAAGAACGCTAGATATGCACAGGACATGCCGTAAGGTGTCAAGGCAACAGGCTGACAGATTAGATGTGCTGATGATCTGCGCATGGTGAGTATTTCGTTGTGTATGGGCGGCAGCGGTTTTGAATCTGCAACACTGGGAGCTCAACTTCAAAACATCACATGCTACTGTACAGTGCAGTAACAATACGAACTACTTAGGGAGCAATCAGCTCAGGAGTGTTCCTTACTGGTACTCTTTGCCGCATTCGGCGAAGGCTTTCTCGGCCTCCTTCATGGTTTCGTGCACGTGAAGGAGGTACTTGTTGTCGAAGGAGCCGACGGCTTCGGACTGGTAGACCCCTTCTGCGGTAATCCAGCTGCGCGTAAACTCGCCATCGATCTTATCGGGGATCCTACCAGTTCGCCCAAAGGCGGCATTGGTGTGTCCGAGTCACCTTGGAGATCTCCTTGAACGTGCGCGCCTTCGGTTTGCCGGCCTCGTTCTCTTGGGAACTGGTAAAGACGTTCAAGTCCTTCACCTTGTGCTCCTTGGCCTTTCGGGTCTCGTAGCCAAACGACAAACTACGCGGGCTGCTGGATAGTTGCGTCCCCTCCGGCGTGCATGTGTATATATCTTTAAGAGCTACAAAATCCACAAACACACATGTATACAATAGGTACATGCACGTACACATGTATATTCGCGTATAGGCATATAGACGTGCTTGCATACATCTTATGCAAAGCTATGTGTGTGTGTGTATTTATATGTAGATAGTGTGCATACATGCCTTTCCAGACGTTCGTTTGTATACCCATGCTGGCAAACACTTTTGGGCTCGCTTTCAAATACGCAAAACAGCACTGCCATGAGTCCACGAAAACGGAACAATTTTGAATTGTCGATACCTCGATACCGGCGCTTATCGGCACAAATCGGACATAAGCCCATACACTCATATCCGGTCCAGACCCTCCTTTTGTGTACAGCTTGTGTGTGGTTTTGCCGACTGCAGGGAGTAGGGGTGGCCTTGTTGCGTTGCAACCATGTCAGGCAGGTGCACATGTATGTACGCACATGACTATGTTAATTTATTTGTTGTTTGCTCATCTGTTCGTTCGTTTCTCAGTTGACTGACTATTTGTTTATCTGTGAAATTTTGGGTGTTACAGGTCTGTGTGTCTCTGTCTGTCTGCCTGTCTGCCTGTTTGCCGGCTGCCTGCCTGGCTGCTGTCTGTCTGGCTGGCTGCCTGGCTGCTTGCACGCTTGTTTGAATGCCTGGCTGTCCGAATGTCTGAATGTCTGGCTGGCTGTCCGTCTGTCTGTCTGCCTGTGCGAGTGTGAGTTCTTTCGTGCATCCGCGCGTGGTTGTTTCCTTCTCCGATGTCGCCGTCCGAGGCGTGTCCAGATGAATTTTGCGGGCAGAGACCTGAGCCTCCTAAGCCTTGGGAAAGTTCACGTAACAATGCCATTACCGGCAGCTGGATTGGAGAATGTCACTGCGCAGCAAGGCATCAAGGACTTCCAGATACGTGTAGACATCGCCTCTCCTCTGCAGCCAGCAGGGTTTGTTCTTTTCAGTGCGGCTCGCACCGAGCCAGAAGTCTTGCAGATTAGAGAGTCTCGCAGAATCAAGACATCACATTGGCGAGAGAATTAACTTTTGAAAGCACGCAGGAGCCACAGCCAAACGTGCACGAAGTTCAGGTCAATCAAAATCTTTCTGTCCCAAACTTGCGCACACTTGGTGGCCAAGGGGCCTTTGAGCTGCAAGCCCTGTCTGTGCAAGTGCGCGTGCGTGCATGGTACATACATGAGCAAAGAAGTGAGTATTCATAAATCCAGCCGCGGCAGCCTGCCAAGCCATCCACAAATCTTGCAAGCACCAGCCAGTACATCTCACCACCCGTTCAAGGCTGTGCGCAATCAAGCCCTGTTCAACGATGCCGGCGGAAAGCCGTTGGGTGGCAGGGCTGTCTGGGACTTGTAGGCCTACCGGTCCATGATGCTGAATGATGCTCGGAAAAATGCATGCTTGGGCATAAGATGATACCCGAAACAGTGCAGCTGTATCCATGGCACATGTACAGCACGTTCCTACCCCTTGCGGTCGCTTGCAGGCGGTGTGCAGCCAATGATGCTCATCGCCAGTTCGGAGTCGCGGTTTCTTGTCATCTCCGGGCTGTGACACGATGTCGCCCTAAGCCCCAGCATGGCAGCATAACGCGCTGGCCGCGCTGGGCCCTTTGGCCACGAAGAGAGATTGGAATGGCCTGTGGCATTTGATGCAGTATGCTTGCAGGCTGATCTCATCGCTATTCACGGCACACATACGAGAACCCACCCAAGCCAGAATTGCTCGACTAAGCCCGGCACCGCTTGGCCGTAACCGGGGGCTGTTGTCCGAAACGCTCATTGTTGGGCGCAAAAGGTGTGATGATACCCAGTTGAGGAGGTGTTGATCTTGAAGGAGATGAACTGCCCCTAGCAGTTCTGGGAGGCACTAAGTCCAACTTTTGTAACCTGTGTTCAACCCCTGGGAACGAACATATGAACGGGGTCATTGCTAAGGTCCACTATCTGAAGACCCTCGACTGGACAAACGAAGAACTTTCGTGGGCCTGGCTATGCTTCATGTAGCTATGAGGCAAGCAGACAAGCCGCAAGGAGAATGCGCTTCTTCTTTCAGAGTCGTGCCAGGAATCCGCCAGAGAAACCGGCAAGTTTCGCACCCATCCGGTGGCAGTACCCTCAAATTGCTTCTTAACAGTTGTCGCTTCTTAGCGGCTAGGGCTGCAATGAGAATCTGCGGTGTTAAGGATGCAGCAGATGAACAGGCAATGAGCGTAGAAGCCGTGGACCTTTGCCTGCTGCAGCGGTTTTGCTGCTTGCAGTAAGTTTTCAATGGCGCACCACGCCGTCCTGCATTCGCAGCGGACCAGGGGGTGCTCCCCTGCTTTGTATCCGCTTGAGCTAAACCGGCAGTATCCGTAGAGTTCAGCCAAGGACAGTAACTTCTTGTTGCTCGTTGACCATACATGCTCCTGAGTAGGGAGCCTTTCGCCCAGCACCGCCGTTTAAAACAAGTTCGCGACTGCTGCCATCGTTGCAGCAGTGGTGGCCCTGCACTTCAAAGCGGCTCTGAAGTGGCAATGAAGGCCAGGCCTGAAGTCATCGCAGAGCTTCCATCCAAGATGCTACACAAGAGTGAAGACTCAGAGTTGTGGTGAGTCATGGCATCTCGATGTCTATGTCCCATGTACGACCACTGTGTGCGGGCTTGATATGGCTCGATCCCATTCCATCCATTCGCCACTCTGAAGTTCTTGAATCATGTTCCGCAATGCATCTTCGGCTGGCTGGCATTCTGCCGCTGATCGCAGCTCTTGCAGCATCACCGGGCACCAACAAGTCTGAAAGCTGCGCAACCGATGACCACAAAGAAAGCATATCGGCTCCCGTTCGCGGGTTGCTCGCTTCCCTTCGGTCGATTGGCAGCACTGTGAGGTCAGATCTCGCTTTCACCAGGAGGTCATGTGGCGGCACAGCTGTGCATGCTTCCAGAGACATATCCCCTGGGGAGGTTCTGTTCAGGATTCCTCACTCGGCCCTTCTCTGGCGCGGTGCACATCTGGGAACTGCAGTGGTCCAGGCAAGCCACCTCACAGGTGCCGAACGTTTAGTACTGGCACTGGCGGCAATCAAGAAGGGTCTTCAAACACCGCCGCCTCCGATCGAAGCATATGGGGCGTTTCTACAGGAGGAACCACTACCAAACGCCACAATCTTGTGGAGGACCGAAGTCCTGGCTTGGCTGAAAGGCACCGAAGCGGCTGAGTTGACTGAGCATTTCCTTCGACGAATAGCTCAAATTCACGCTGCTGCACCGCTACTTCTGGAGTGCGCCTGGCGCGTCTTAAGGGGTTGGGTCTCACTCGTTGTAGCCTGCTGCTCTGGTGCCAGGCATGACGACATCAAGGCGCGAGGGATGCAGGGCGGAATGCCCCTTCATAAGTGGAGTGCAGGCTGCCTTCGCGCAATATTATTCGCGACATGGAACTTTGCCATTGGGCGTACGGCTTAGTCGCTGAATGCCATGTGCTATGAGCGAGGAGAGTAGGTTGGCGCCTCAGTTATGAGGCCAACGTGGTGTGTCAGAGCCAGTGATGCAGAGAGCCCAGCTGCCTTTCCAGATCATGCCGTTTGCTGTGCATGCATCGGGCACAGGGTTTTGCTGCCATAGCTAGATCTACACATTGATTCCGAGAGCCATGGCTCTTCAAACATCGTGCTGATCGGCTGAGGATCCCGGGCATTGATCTTTGCCGGCGTAAAGATGGCGGCCTGAATCCGGTGTGCCGACTTAAGTGGGGTCGACTCAGGTAGCAGGGTGACTCTGTGCGGAGCAGTGGAGGGCCTGTACGATCTTGTGCAACAGGGTGACTCGACTCAACACTGAAAGGCTCATCAGCATCGTTTTGCAGACTGAGGTACTGAGGAATGGCGACGTTGCCGGGCTTGGATAGAATGCGCGCGAAGTGCTGGGAATGCCTGCTTGCATAGCTGTTGCACCTTGTTCTGACAGAAGTGCTTGCCCGATCCATGCCCGAGGCTGAACTTTTGGCGACACAGACCATCCACGCAGGGGACGAGATTTTCGTTGACCTCGGCGCGAGGAACTCAAAAATCTTTGTTGAGGCTGGCCGAGGCAGTGTCATCAATTCAATAGCAATGGCCCAATTAAGGTTCGTGACCACACAGACCACATTGTGCAGGGAGTTGGACCCCAGCCGTTTGCATTGACTTGCACTGAGTCCCGACTCAGTTGACTGTCGGAGGCACCGGACGATCCTAACGCCGGCATTTTTCTGCCAGCTTGTGTCTGAGCTGGTAGCCCTTTATTTGTGTCACCGCTCTGGCGCACACTGTCTTGCCTTAAAGTCGTTGGAGGTACCGCTAGGCAGAGGGCCTGCCAACAAGTGGAAGCGACATGCTCCCAGCTGCACGTCTTGCCAGCACACTACACATTCCGGTGACCTCAAACCTCAGGTCGCATGTTCGAGCACCTGCAGTGGCCCGCGGAGGCTGGGAGCTCGAAGCTGGATGACGGATGCCGGTTCAGAGGAGAAGAGCTCAACGCACGAGGTTTTGCTTCGGAACGGCGTAGTCCAGGCACCAGATTGGGTTTGGGTTGGAACTATGGCCTACTAGCAAGAGTCGTCGAGGATCCAAAGCATCTTCGCCTTGCTGCGATGCCTCGCGAAGAGTTCACGGCGTGGTCGTCGCCTGAGAGACGGCTGCATGCCAAGCTCTTTGGAACTCCAGGTGCTTGCAAAAAGGATGCACATGTCGTTTTACCTTCCCAATATCACCCAAGCCCATGTTGGCAAGAGTGAGTGAAGAGCAAGGGCTCCGGGGTGCGAGGGAGCCGGGGAGCCATTGAATCGGAGGGCAGCGCCACGGGAAGTGAGAGCCAAACCCGAGTGATGCTCCTGGAAGCTCTGGAAATTCAAGGATGCCTAGTCATTCCTGTCTTCTTCAATTTGGGCTTATCTCACCAATGCTGCAACTGTTGAAGAGGTCGGCTCTCCCGAACAGCAGCAGAAGGTCGTGAAATTCAGAGACGCCAGAGCTTCATGCTTGCCTTCAAAACTCGATGAATACCAGAAACGTGACGGCTCGTGTTCCGCCCCAGAAGGCTCCAGCTTCGAGGCCGCAATCTGGGACTAAAACTCGAGTGCTCGTACAACATCCACGACCTTACATAGATCTGAAAATATCTGAAAGCTTCACAATCCAAGGTCTGTTGGGGCGCTGGTCGCTGGGGCACCGCTTGCAGTATCGCGTGCCTTCCGTACGGAGACACAGGCAGGGAGGAAGGGAACAATTTTCATGTCGGACATCCCTTGCACCTTGTGGCCGAGGCCAATGCATACTTGGTCACAGAGTGCTCCAAGCGCGGTGCAGCTGCAAGGCTGGACGTAATACTGATTCGCTCTGAAGACTTTAGCGGCTCATAAGCTTAGATGCCGCCTGTTCTCCGCACCGAAGACCCATGTACGATTGAGCCCGGATGAAAGAAATCAGCTAGGCTTTAGCGCTGGCCTACGCCGGTGTGTGATTCCACAGAATCGTTTACTCGAAGCAGCACTGGCGACTGTCTTCTGAGAAGTAAGCGGATCTTATGAAGTGCTCACACCCGCTGGCTCGCCGATGATAGTACTGTACTTGTGACAGCAAGAAGAAGTGACTTCGCTGGCATTGTTCCCTTGCGGAGCCACCTGAAAAAGAATAGCCCAACCTTGAGATACCGTCTAAACCCTTGTATCCGTCGGGAACAGAAGCCAGCCCAAGTCGACGTATTGCTGGCGACCGCATTCGTTCAACGATTAGGAACACCAAAGAAAGCGATTCGCTGTTACAGACAAGTAAGCCTGTCCATGTCGGTGAAGCAACACTTCTATGCGCCCCGTTACGTTGAACGACCCATCGTCTTTGACACTCGTGTTTTGCTGTGGCCCTTCGCCGGCAAAGCCCTTCGGTCCGACCCCGGTGCTTTTCTTAAGCTTCCCTATCCCACAGAGGCACTTCAACTCCGCATGCCTGTCGATAGGACTGCCTTTCTGCCTGGCGAATGGTGTCCCGGAACAACGAACAACAAAGGGCTTCATCTCGCAATGTCTTGCAGACAGCAGGTCACTTCTACCTCTTAGCGAGACTGGGCAGAAGCCGGCCTCCCTGGCAGTCGCAAGGCCAGGAATTGGATGGCCTTGGCCGTTGGTGTTCGCTGCGCTTTTGCCGCGACGAGGTATCGCGATCGGCTCGTCGAGGTGAGCTTGGATGGAGCCCTGCTTTTGCGACCCCATAGTGTTCCAGATGTGGTAAAGAGCCGTTGAGACTCACTTTTTCCGTGCTCATGTCGCATGCGAAGTGCTGATTCGTGTTGCATCCCATCGAAGTGTGTTCCGGAAAGCCCGCAGCAAGATCAGAGATCTCAGACTCTGCAGGGCTATAATCTGTGCAAGCTGCGAGCTGAAGAGAAGCTGCGGAAGCTTCATATGCCAGTGCCTTAGTTGTTAAACCTTAGCCGGAGTACCATGCAGCTGACTGTGCAACTTCACACCCCATGCACCCAAAGGCATGTTTCGGCTAGAAGTGCCAGGTGGGCGATGAAGCAGCATGACTGGGTGTTTCGCTTCGTGCACCAGGCAGGACGCGCTTCAGCAACAAACATGTGCTTGCGGGTGGACCTACGTAACACCTCTGTCAGGCAGTTCACACCGCTGATCAGCTGCCACGAAAGATCGGAATTCAGGCGAGTGCAATTGGCACGTGGCGTACCAGAAACTGTGCGAGTTGTGAACTTCGTCAGATGAATGCGCTGTCGGACCCTACCGCTGCATCGGACAGACTGGCTTCGTTGGCCCCTGCACGGGCGTAGATGTGCGCATCCCATCGCACAGGACCAGAACTATATGGCGAGCATGACTGTGGCTTTGGTGAACGCCAAGGTCCGCCGTGGCTTCTTTGTTGAAAGCGCATCCGACTCGTTCCGTTTGCGATCGCGGTCCTTGAGGTCGCCAACTTTGCCCCATATTTCCATACGCTGCTGCAGGCACGCTGCTGACTGTGGTGCGGTCTCAGTCGGATTTGCCTCAGCCGCGAGGTTGCTGCATCACTGTCACAGCTTCGCAAGATCCGAAGGCTTGTTTGCGCAGGGAGAACCCAAGCGGTGGTACTGTAGCTTGTTTGACCACAAGAAACAGGGGCAGGCAGATTCCTAAAAATCGTTTGCAAGGCATCAGGCTTGATATCTGCGAAACCGCATAGCTTGTTGTTCAGGCTTGCGCACGCGATGGCTCTCCTGCAAGGCTCTGGAGCTTTGGTTGCTTCTGAAAGTATTTTAGAAAGCTGCAACATGGAGCAAGACCGCTGGTGCTTTTAGGGTTTAGGGGACAGGTACATGGTGTGACGAAGTTGATCTATCAGCCTTTGACTGGATCAACGCATTGCAAGGTGGGCAGGGAAAGCGATGCAGCAGCCTGTGTAACATGCCTAGACACAACTGTTCCGGGCCAAGTCATCTCAATGCTGCAGCACTTTCAATGCTGTGGCTTCAGGCAAGGATGCAATTGGAACACTGAAGTGCTCCTGCACAACGACGAGCAAGTGTGAAAGTGTGCTGTCTCCAGCAATTGAGCAAAGTGTTTGGTCTCGGACCGAGGTACTTGCTTCCCGAAATTGAGAGTCTTGCACAGGCCATAGAAAAATCGAGCTGTCAAAAGTCCGAATTTTGGTCTCAGCTGTGGATGTGAAGCTTCGATCACTGCTTCGCTTGCGTGGTGTGTGTGTGTGTGGTCAGAGTGGGTGCATCCATGTCAGAGGAGTCGGATACATGTAAGAATTCGTCAGGAGTACAAGATTGCAGATGGCCTTTGAGGGACTCTCAAGAATGGTTCGGCGAGGCTTCGGGTCCGGTTTCTCCGCATACCGTGTTTGCATCCCCGTCTTACCTGCACTGAGGGAGCGCATGGACGTCAAGGATGACAGAGGGGAGTGTACAGCCAGGGATGGCGCCGAAAAGTCCAACCCAGAAAGGCTGTGCAGGAGTTCAATCTTCAGCCACGAAATCACGCGGCATTTTTCGGGTTCTCGGGGGGGCATGTTTCTCGCAAGACTTGACACGAGATCACGTATCTCCGCCCTTCGCCTGCTCTTGGCTCAGAAGTGCAAAGTTGGGAGAGTCACGAGTAGCCCCTGTGCTGTTGGAGCCGCGCTCAGCGACAAGGGGAACCTGAGAAGAATCACATGCTGTCATTAAACCTGAATGCTGCATGTGAGCCGACTGAGGCTGCACGTGCTCTCCAGGCGACCGCGGGGTTTGCGCTGTCTTTGAGCTCATTCGGCTGGGAGCACGACTTATGAGGTTCAATCATGGCTGTCACGGGGGATTACGTGGCGGCCTTTCTTCCGATCTCACGCTTGTTCTATGCGAAATGCTGCCAGCCTGGACATTCAGGATCATCTGGTGAAACTGCTGTTACTCGGTGACTCTGCTGTTGGCAAGTCCTTGTCCCGGGGACCTCGTGCATCCTGCAAGGTCTAGTAGCCTTTCGTGTCAGCAGAGAGTGGGCTGTTTAAGGTCATCGCTGCTGATGCGGTTCTGTGAGAGCAAATTCGATGCGAATTTCGTCCTGACCATAGGCCAGCATCATGTTGCAAGTAGGCCTTGTCCCGGTTGTTACTTCATCATGCAAGAATTGAGACCTGGCCGTCGCCAGGCGTCGACTTCAAATGGAAACAAGTCGAGCGCGATAGCAGGAAATTGAAAATACAGGCCTCAACATGCCGCGATGCTTCATGGACATTGCATGAACTGACTTGTCTTGTCTCAGGTTTGGGATACAGCCGGACAGGAGCGGTTCCGCGTGAACCCTAGCAGCTTTCTGCGCATGCCGCATCAGGTTGCATCATGTCATTGCACGTGAATTACTTCTGTTTGGGGCGCCGTGAGGCACCATTACGCCTGCATACTACAGAGCTGCGCATCTGACTGGGTTTTCGGTGTGGGCAGATGCCAGCATTCGGGTGCATGGTTCGGTCAGCCATGGTCCGCCGCCAGGCAATGGGAGTGGTGATCTGCTACGACATAACGGACAAGGCAAGTCATCATCGCAGCTACAATGACCACATCAATGCAGCCTGTTTGTCCCCTCGTTGGCTGACATTGTCTGGCTTAGCGAAACGGGAAGGCATCTTTTGAACACATCGACTACTGGCTGCAGCAGTTGGAGCAGCATGGTGATGAAGGTGTGCAAAGGCCGGTGAGAAGATTTCAAAACTTATACGAACAAGGCTTATGTCTGGTCTCTGACAGGGTCCTTGTGGGAAACAAGTCCGACCTTAATGAGAATCGAAAAGTCAATGCCTCAGAGAGCGAAACCACATCGATCTTTGAGCACAAGGACGTTCTTTGATCACTCTTAGGTAACCAGAGAAGAAGGTGAAAAGCTTGCCGCGCAGTACAGCATGAAGTTCTTCGAGGCACACGCTTTCGCAATACCGCTTTCCCCAAGACTCAGCAGCAACCCAACACCTGCCATACCAACCGCGACGGCACCATCAACATCAGCGGCACAGCAGCATAGTCGGCAATATCATCATATTTATCTTGACCGGTGTTGAGGGTTCAGGATTGCGAAGCCGAGCACCATGACCCACTTTCCTTTCGTTGGCCTGACCCTGCATCTCAAGTTACTGGTATCGGATAAAGTTACCCAGTCGAGCATCTGTTTCTGCTCGTGCATGTTGCAGACCTCTGCCAAGACGGGGCAAGAGGTTGAAGAGGCGCATGTGGCAGCGCTGGCCGAAAATTGCAAATGCTTTTAAACCCAGTGCGTTTTCTGTGCAGGCTTTCCTTTCCATAGCTGACGAAGTCGTGAAGCAACGATATTCGGACGTGCGGGCCATGATGCTGTCCAGCTGTGGTGGTTTACCTGCTGCAGTCTGCGTGATACATGTGATCCCAGGTGCAACCCAACACGTTCCAAGTCAAGAAACCAAACCAAAAAAAGAAGCAGAATTGCCAGCCCGAGCCCCGGACACTGGACACAACGGACTGCTCGATCGGGTCTGTGCCGACTTCTCCAGGTGTTGACGGCATGGCCTGGATCCCATGCCTCTGAAGCCGGGAGACGTTGCAGAAGTATTTTGCTGTGCTCCGCAATGCTTTGGAGTGGCGTGGTCAGAAGCACCGGAAGCCCGGAAGTGTCGTAATGTTGGTGTCGCCCGTACATTAGGAAGTGCAGGCTCACCTAAAAACATGATGTCTTGCATGCTTCTGCTTTCTTTCACGAGGCTTCAGGGTGTACTCGGCATGGCAGTAGATGCACAGGTCATCCTGCCCAAACGTGAGCATTTTCTTGCAGTAAAGCAGTTTGTGTGAAAGCGACACCGCTTCCACTTGCTGCCCTGCATGCGAGCAACACTCAATGGCTCCTAACCGCGTCGCTACCTCTGCTTGCGTTCTCAGATCCGACACCATGGAAAACCCCATACTCTATACCAAAGCTTCATGTTTAGGTGGCTTTGGCTCTAGGCCATGACCGGAAGTGTCACACTTTGCGGCCGCGGATGCTTTGGCATCCACGGCTGACGCGCCGTCCTGGACAAAGCCGCAATGGCTAAAGAGATCCATGGCTTGCAAAGAGCCGGTATTTTGTATTGGCTCTGTGTTCAAATTTTCGCACTGAAGCGGCATCTGCCGGGATATACCAAGTACTCAAGTCGGCATTTGATGATGTCCCTTTAGCAAGGATGCTTGCGATGGTTGTCGCCTTCCCGACGCATCCCAGCAGGTGACTGCAGACCTAGGCTTGCAGGGATGTCGCCATACCGCTCTGGCATCAAACGAGTCCATAGTACAGATTCAGGCCAACTTTTGACAGCGAAGCAACACAGCTTTGTCTACAAAGTTGAAACAGGTCAAGGCAACATCCACTGCAAGCATTGCTAGTGATTGGATCTCGTTGTGGGGCGAGTTTGAAGAGATTACCCGCGCCGCATGGAGGAGGGTTCGCTGAGCTGGATGTGGCAACTGCAAAACTTGCACTCGGGACGCGATGGTGCAGCGACAAAAGCGTATTTGACATGCATCCTAATCCGGTTTTTGGTAATGGACCGCTGCAGCAAAGGGCGGCTTGACTTGCTTTTGAAGCCTGAAGGTACCACAGGCACCCGAATCTTGTCTATGACAAAGATGATGATGGACCATTGGCTCAAGTTTCTTAGAGCCAGAAAAGTGTACTGGGCATTGCAACTTCGAATGGCCAGCAGTTTTCAGTTCTTCAGCATGTCCTATTTCCGAACACAGCTAGTCAAAGCCTGATATTGGAAGCATTCGATCAGGCGACTCTGCATGAGCCAATGTAGCATTTATGGCATGAAATGGTAGACAGCAGGCACATCTCGACAGCGTGTTAGCCAGTTCGCGATCATCCGTGATGCATGAAGGAACCTTCCCGTCCGCCTGCGGCTGCATTTGCAGATGTCGGGCAACTTGTTCAGCAGGGCTACATTTCTAGTAGCAAGAAGACATATGCTGCTGAAACACGTTCTCAATGATGTTTTGCAGCAGCTACGATGCTTCCAGACATGACCGATGTAGTCTGATGAGGCGAATTTACGACTCGCTAGGCCAGAAGGATAGTCCAAAGGGCCGCATTGGCAAAGAACCCATTGCTTGAGACGTGCTTTCGAGTTGAAAAGAGAGAAGACACGGCGACTTATCGCTTGGCAAGCTCTTTGCAATACCTGGCTTTGGTTTGAGAGTCCTCAAGTCACTTCGTTCGAGTGGCCGAGCAGCATCTTGGCTTGTGCTAGACGGAAGCGTGTCGAAGCGGTTACGCGCTGCCATGTTCCAGTCCCGAGCCACTATCTTGGCCCTTCTGGGCGTCTGCCTTTCCAGCTTGGCCTTGAAATCTCCGCTTCCTGATGCAAGAGGACCTTCTATTCGCCTGCCGGGAGGCCGAGTTCTTGAAACGAGATTTCATCCAGATGCCAAGCCAGCGACTCTCACAGCATTCATGGCCAGCGTCCCCTTCCAGTCCTTCATGTACCACACAGTTTCCTCTGGAAGAAATCTGGTTTTCCTGATGCCCACTTCGGGGGACCAGTTTCGGATGAGGTCCTTGCCAGGCGAGGGATTGAAAGCTCGAAGCACCTCTGAGGCAGGAACTCTCTTCTTCCGTCATGACCAGATGTGCGTATTGACATACGGCTACAGCCGGGATCATGAGTCCTTTCTGCCGCCGGTGCTTTATGTTGAAGCAAAGGATCTGCCGTTGTTGCAGACCTTCGGTGATAAAGTCTGGGAGGGGCAACTCCGAGGAGAAAGAAAAACACCATTTATCATCGAATTCACTTCTGATGTTGCTGCAGGGCTCAGTGTGCCGGTACCGCAAGTCAAAGACGAGATGACTGGGAACCAAAAGGTGGATGAAGCCGTGGCCTTCATTCGATCGCAGACGCGGAGACACTGGTTGGAGCCGCCACAGGAATTGGTGCGCTTGCTGTCTACTGGCGACACCCGTGGTCAGGAGGGAACTGAAGGTTACGTTTTCCCCCCGATGGTCATAGGCAACGGCGTGATGATGGTCTTGTCAACATATGCACACAGTGGGGTCTTAAATGTACTTGCATCACTTCTTGAGAAGGGCATCGGGAAGGACGACATCTTTGTACTCCAGCAGCTAGTGAAGAAGGTCGCAGATACCAACCTGCCTTATCTGCGGTCGCTCAGCCTGGACACGATTTGTGGCGGCTTTGACCGTTTCTTCGCGGCTTGGGACCAGGCTGAGACGGCAGCGCAAGTTCGCACACTGGCTGGGGCCATTTCATTGTTCGGAGCCTTGATGCACGGATGGTTCGTTTTCCTGTTCCCGTACCGACTTGGCACTGAACTCCGTCGTCAAGCATGGTTCAGCTTAGAGCCATCAGAGGATACATTTTCCGTGCCGTTGCGGTTGCGAGAAGGCCGGGGCCTTGGGGTGGCAACGTGGAGTTTCGGGACACCAAGTGAGCGGGAGAACTTCAAGGCGAGCTTGCGATTGCCTGCCAGTCTGCCGGCCCGGACTCCCAACAGCCTTCCGCTCATAGTCAGTGTACAGCCATCTGCTGCGTGGACTTCAATCCATGATCTGGCAGTTTTGTCTCGGGGACTCGTGGAGGAGCATTTATCGGACAAAGGAGCTTTACTGTTTCGCAACCTGCCAGTCTCCACGTTTTCCGAGGCAAGTAGTTTCATTTCTTCCCTCGGCTACACCATATACCATGATCCCAGCGGTCGAGAGAAGGTGGCAGACGGTCTGTACCATTCGTCGCTGGGTGTTCCCGCAGACATCAACATCGCTCCTCATCAGGAGCACATCGTATCCAACAAACCTCCCAGCAAGTTGTTCTTGTTTTGCCAAAGTCCTTCTGTGGACGGAGGTGAGACGCCCTTGGCGCATGCAGCAGACGTGTGGGATTTGCTTCAGAGCACCACGCAAGCTCAGTTCCGCCGTCGGGGTGTTCGCTTTGAGATGGTTCGGGGCAATGCTGGCGATCCTGGCAACCCTGTGCAATTCACACGAAGTTGGCAAGAGCATTTCTCTACGGATGACTTGCAGACCGCTATCGACAAAGCGACAGACGACTTTAACGGCACCGTCGAAGTAGATGATCATGGCAACATCATGCTCCGTAGTCGATTCCTTCTCCCGGTGAAGGTGGTACGAGGAAGGGAAATATTTAGCTCGCAGCTGCAAAACATTTACAGTCTGCGATGGTTGTGGGGGGATGCTGAAGAGTACGTGCCGGACGACATTCTGGAAGACGTTATGAGTGCTGTGTGGAATGCGGCCACAGTCTTCCGCTGGAAGGCTTCCGGGGGGGGGACTAAAACTAAGAGCAACTCAACATACAAGTCACACCAAAACACATTCTGGGACCTTGACTCTTGACTTGCCTCGAAAGCTGCAGGCAGCTAGAGCTGGAAGCCTGCACGAGGTCGATTCACTAGGAACACATGCTTCGATGTCTGGATAGTGCTGCCTAATTGGAGCGGTGCCTTGAGGTTTGTTAAGTAAGTTGTTTCCTCGTACACACACACACACACACACACCTGCTCACTTATCGTGGAGCTTTGTTTCGGGGATACACACCTGTCAGGCAGGCGATCTTCTTGTGGTGGACAACGTGAAGGTCTTGCACGGGAGATTGTCGTACCAAGGCGACAGATACATGGCCGTCGGGCTAACGCACGACTGACCAACGGCCTGGCAGCTTGTAGCCCACTGCCTGCAATCTTTTCTGGATGGTTTTTTTTTGGGATTTGGAGCTGCATCTGTGGTACAGAGAAGGCTTCAAAATCCAGGCTAGGGCAAGATGCGACAGAGGAAAAGGTGATCGGTGTGCTGGTAGGGCGGTGAGTTGTCTGGTCTGGCGAGTGCACCAGGAGCGGACTCTGCAAAAGCTAAGAGGAGATTTCTAGCATCTCGATGACGAAACGCATCGCTTCTCACCGGTGCAGTCGTTCGTTCTGTTCATCCAGTGTTCCCTCTGCCGTTCTGGCCGGCTTGCTGCAACCGCGACACAGTAGGACCAGATAAGTGTACTGGGCATTGCAATGTCGTTTTCAGTTCTTCAGCATTTCCGATTTCCTAACACAGCTAGTCACAGCCTGATATTGGAAGCATTCGGTCAGGCTACTCTGCATGGGCCAATGTAGCTTTTATGGAATGAAATGGTAGATAGCAGGCACACGTCAACAGTGTGCGAGTCAGTTTGTTGAAGTGCGACCACCCGTGATGCGTCCAGGAACCTTCCCCGTCCGCCTGCGGCTGCATTTGCAGAGCCCGCTGCTCGTGATTTGAAGTGATGACTGCGGCTGTGAGGGCACTGTGCAGGCAGCATACGGCCATGATCACAGGGACAATGAGGGTGACTAAAGCATTTGTTCGGGTCGCACAGATTTCGGACTTAACCCCAAGACGCGTCAAGCACACCGGGCGCAGCCTGACGGGGTCCTGAAGCGCCCAAAACCCGAGTTCTAGTGTCGGATTTGGGAGTGGCGGGTCTGAGTGTGCTTCGGCCTCGGCTCTTCCGAGGCTTCCGAGGTCCTCAAAGAAGTCTTCGCCTCGGCCGCCTCGGCCCTCGGCGGCGCGGCGTCAGAGAGAGATCGCCTCGGCTGACCTCAGATCCGCAACGCGAAGTGAGGGCTTCGCTTCGAGGGAGGGAACCCCAACGGGACCCCCGAGGCCAGGCGAAGGGCACGAGCGAGTTGGCGAGGTTTCTGAGATCCGTGGGCATCTCAATCTCGCGACCGCGAGGCTCCTGTCTGTTGGAGGAAGAGAAGGTCCTGGACAGCAGATCAATGGAGATTACGAGCTCTTGGAGGTGCCAGCTCCCGACAGCTCACTCGTATGCGAGGTCCTCGCGGTCTTAGGTCCTAGCATTTCCGAGCCCCTCTCTGCAGGGCACGCGACCGCACGGCCGACCCTGCTGGCTGCGCTTGGGCTTCGGCGGCTTCGGCTCACTCTGGGAGGTAAAACGTGAACTCGAAACGTGCTCTAAGGCCGGGGCAAGCCGCTACCAAACACCGGAACAAACGGACTGGCAGAGGTGCAGAAACTGCAGGGCGGCAGCGGTGCTGTGCAGTGGGTACAAGCATGCTTCTTGTCAGCACGACGGCGAGCTGCGGCCGTTGTACCTTTTCTTCGGTGAAATGGGCTACTGGAGCATTGCCGCGTCAGCAGAGTCCTCATGGTGCGTGTGACCTACCTCTAGCTATTACAAGTGTGTGCGATTTTGAGACAGGTCCTTGCAGCAGGAGTGCACGCGCGGGCCTTGGTTTTATGATGTTCCAGAACTTGCATGTTTGCGTCCGTGATTGCCGGATGTATGCTGTTCTTCGGCTGGGTGGCAGGGGCTGCCTTGCTGGTGTTTTGGGCGGACTTGACACATGAGATTGACTACAACGGGAATGCATCCGTACTATGAAACGTGATGCTGTTTGATTCCGTGCTTTTTTACGCACGGCGGAGCATTGTCAGGTAAGGGCGCTCGGAACCGTGTAGCAAGCAGGCATCACTACAAGAGTCGATGGGTTTGCAGGAGTTTGCACACCCAAAGCTCACAAGCTTACCAAGAGCCTGAACCAGTCTGCCAGCAGAACATACAAGAAGACTTGATTCTAAATCGCGGCTGGGCTGACCGCATCCCTGCACCGACGCTGGAGATGCAAGGTGTTGGCACGGTGCGGTCCCGACTTCTCGTCGTCATCGCCTGATATGTGTCTCCTGGCCGCAGATAGCAGCACAGTCGGATGCATTCTCTCTGTCCAGTGCTGTTGAAGTCGTGCCAGTACTGCAGTCATCGATCATCGGTGTAGGGAGGGTGACTAGATCAGTCCAGGGCTTGCACACGAACGAGCTTCCTAATCGAGCACAAGGCAGCAAGTCAGAGAGATCAAAGAGTCAAAGAGTATCAGAAATTGACAATTGCAGGAGGATTTCACAAGATTCCTCTGTTTGTCTCAGAATGCTGCAAGGTACGCTGCCGTGGACGGTGTTTGCCTTTGGGAAGGCCCTGTCTGTACACATGTGTCATATGTCTTTCCGAAGCTCATCAAGGGTGGATGCAACTGCACTCGAGGCACAGCGAGATGCCAGCATCTTGTGCTTCCGACACGACCTATCGGCGGATGTACCAAAGGCATGGTGTATTGGAACATGCAGTCACATCAGATGACAGACCATGAAAGTCCCGACATCTGCACGGTTTTGAGTCCGTACTTGTTTGCACGAATACGGTTCTTTTTGCCTATCACGCGAGTGCTGTACCATTTGGGGCAAGTCATGAAGCTACCTCCAAAATCCACTGCTTCCGTCGGCACTCATGCACGAAACCATTGAGAGAACATGCCGAGAGTCCTCTGGTCGGTTTGCCTCCAGTCGGAAAGTGCCAGGTGTTGAATGTCTCCGGCTGCAGAGGAGATCATGGGCAGCTGAATGGCAGCTACACTCATTTACAAGGCCCTAACTTCAACACACACGCCAGTGGTCTTCTAGCATCCAATCAGAGTCGTCATCGCTTTCTGCAAACCAAGCTCGGCTCAGGAGTGAGAGTGAGCAGCCGTCCGGTCTTTGTGAAAGACTGCATCCGTGCTCGTGAGGGTGAGGAAGAAAGGACCTGCTGCAATCCTGACTGTTGGACGTGTGATGAATAGATATATTTTTCCTAGGCGTGTGCTTCGCCTTGGCGTGTGGCCGCAGGAAGGTCTTGCACTTCTCCCAGCGTGTGCGACCTAGCGGAGCGGAGCGGCACAGTGCGGAGCCATGCGGAGCATTGCCATGAAGTGATCTGGCTTTGGAGGCTCCGGGAGGTGGTTTATCTCCAGCGTGAGCTTGGGTTCCTTGGAGGTCAGCACCTCTTTTCGGCTTGGGCGGATCTAGTGTCCCAAGTGCAGGTGGATCAACTCAGCACATCCTCCGATGCCGGTTCCCCGGTGAGCTTTCAATGTCCGACCTCACCTGCAGAATCTGCAGACAGGGGATGGACCGAACGGACTTCAGTCCACAGTGGCACAATGCCACAACGCTGGCCAGGCCAGGTTTGGAAATGTCTTGTCGGTGCCACCTTTTCATTTTCTTGTCTTCCAGCAGCCAGCTGCTCTCTGGACCTGTGCTGCCATCACGTCTCAAACGTCCTCGTGCCGCATCGTCAGGATTACGTGCACAGCAACGCTACCTTCTTAGCCGATGTAGAGGTTTGAGGAACGTGGAGGTTTCAATTGTAGGACTGTCGCCATGGCAGTTTTGGAGATCCGCGTGCTCTTGGAGACCGATGTGGTGGATACCATTTGAATCACGTCTCAATTGAAGCCAGCATGTAGTGCAGCACACGGGTGTGCGAAGTGACAACTCTTTGCTTTCATGCTCGCACGATCGACACCTAGGATCTTCAACTGTCGACCCACTCGAACACATGTACATGCCGTCGCCATGTTGGAATAAGATTCGCTCCTGAAGTTTTTTTCTCCCACCCACGCTTCCCTTTTGTTTCACACTACTTTCCTGTGCTTTCTGTTTGCCACATACCGAGAATGAAGCCCGAGATTCGCAGACTACGCCACCGCTGCGAAAGCACTTGGAAAAGGATGGCATCAGGGACCTGTGGCTCTTGTGTGAAAGCTTGTGTTGTCACGGCCATGCATCAAAAGTCTAGCCAAAGAGAGCCAGAGAGCCGATGCCCCCCCCAACACAAAGCCACTGCCTCACGGATTTGAGCTCGTCGGAGTTTGTGTACGGACTTGATGTGACATCCTGGCACAGCTCTACCGGATTTCCTGATTGCTTGAATCGCTCTAAGGTGTAAAAGCTGACGAAGTGAAGGACCTGCCCGGTGAAGCATTTGATGTCATCTGTGTCTTGGCGATGTCAGAACACCTGTAGCTGAGACGGAGTCTTCAGCGGTCAAGAATGAAAGCGGTGATATAAAAAGCGCACAGCCGGTTCAGCAACAGCAGACTCTACTTCTCAGGTCAGAGGGCGCAGCAAGCAGTGGGAAACAAGGCTTGGCTTAGTTAGTTCGCATCGAGTTCTCTTTGCTGCACGGTTCCGAATTCGAACTGGCTGGGAAATGTTGATCCAGTTCGCCTGTGTGTGTGTGTGGCAGGCCATCAAGCGCATCTTCTACGTCGATGCCGCCTGGCGGTAACTAATAGGACTAATGTAAACCGAGACTGAGACGTCGCTTCGCGACAGGATGAAGGCGATGCCTGCACATTGGCTCCTCCATCCATTTCCGATGCCTTGGACTTGTGCAGAAATGGAGTCAGCTGCCCAGTTCCTTGCTTTGCACCTTCTTCTGCCTTTGTCTATTTCTGTCCTTTCTTCGCTTGCTTTTTCCTCTCCCACAGGTAACTTGAGTTCACGTGTTTCGGGGACTCTGCTTGTGAACTTCTCTTGGCTATCGCTTCTCGGGATGCTGACGTATGCTGACCTCGAGGAGGTCCCGGTCGAGTTTGCGTGGCTAAGGTCCTGGAGCTGCGCATCATGCTGGAGGCTCTAGCTGGAGCTGCTTTGGTGTGAATTGCTTCCATGTGAAATGCAGGAGGCGAAAGCCGCAACTGCCCAAAGTCCAAACTCGGCGCCATCAATGGCAACCTGGTGGCAAAACTCTTTGCGGACAGCATAAGCTGTTGCTGACTACCAGTACCTTCTTCGCTCCCAGTCAGGTAAGCGAAAGCAGCGAGGATCAGGCCCTTGTAAGGCACAGTCACCTGAAGATCGTGCCTGAAGTGGTGTGCTCAGCAGTGCACGTGTGGAAGGAGCCGGAAGCACATGTTTCTAGCTGGACGGAAGCTTTAGCCCTCAAGACCTTGATCCAAACACTGCAAAAGCGCTTAAGCTCGAGGTGCTCAAGGAGGGTGCGACTGCCACTTGGCAAAAGGCTACTAGAGCATCAGGCAGCATTTCCAATCGCTGGCAGTCGACGTGACAGCACAGTGCAGCTCCAATGATTCATTGCCCACTTCTCGCACTTGTTGCACACGACCTGACATTGCCGCGTTTCTATCACAGCAGTATTCGCTAATTACCCCACCACAAAAGCTCGAAAGCGCAGCATGCGCAGCAGACGATGCTCTGCACAGAATTTGAAGCAGAGGACGAGGGAAGTGCACTCCCTGCGGGCTGGGGTTGGATCGTTGAAGACCGAGTGCAGTACAAGAGGAGCATACGGTACACTTTACGCTCTCGCCCACAAGCCGGGGTCACGGATTTGTCGTATTCGGTAAGCCTTTCGGTACATGCAACGATGAAAACCTTGAAGGAAACACGGTTCGTGTCGGAAATCCCAAAACAAGCCGTATGGAGCATACTGCCCCCGGCCCGTGCCCTACCTCTTGCGTGTGGGACTTGCCGAAATCTCGTGTGTAAGACCGAAATGTTGATTCTTGATCAGAAGGCGAGTTTCCCGCAAAAGAGTCGAAATCAGTTTAGCCCTGAATTGACTGAGCAGGGCCATTAGAAACATGTACAATTGTACAAGATGGACAAGTCGTGCCCGTGAATCAGGCTTTCACTGACAGAAGCTGTGTGTACAAGAGCCTTGTCTTTCACATTCTATCACGCTGGTTGGGGCCTGTTCTGCTCTGCCAGACAGTCGTTGCAAACTCAGGGGCGTCCCTCATCAACTTGCTGGGGCCACTCTATTCAAAACGCGGTATATCGTCCCTGAAGACACCGAGTTCACGGTGCAGGCGCCAGCGTGTCATCACTCTTTGGCTTCTACAAAGCCTTTGCGCGACACGTTGCAGGCCCGAGCAGGATCGCTTGTCTATCTGTTTAGCGAGGCGCCAGTGCGGCAGCTGTGCTGCAACAGATTGTTCAGGCGTTTTGGTTGAATGAGGCCCACCGTGATGGTGGCTTTCCTATGCTCGGCTGGCAGCAAGAAGATGCTGGGCGTTTTTACTGGCAAGACTTGGACGGCAGCGCGGCTGCTCATTCAGACAGGGACGGTGCCATATCGGCGTCTGGAGTCAACGGAGGGAAGAGACAGACCCCCTGAATGCTCCGGCGCTCCACCCACGACAGGAAAAGAATCATGGCGAACAAAAAAATCAAGAGAAATGTTCGGATGATGTTCAAACGAGGATCATGGGAATGCAAGAATGTAGAATGTATCCTAGAGTTCCGCGAAGATCTCATGCTGTGTCTGCCTTGTGAGCAACTGTGCACAGGCAAAGCTTATGCACTGAATCTGTGGAAGAAGATTCATCCGGGAGTTGAAGATGTGAAGATCCCGGTCATGAATTCCCTCGTTGGTGGGATTGCAGTGCATCAGGCGGGTACTTTCAATCGAATGGGGTTTTCGCATGGTTTGGCTGTTTGGGGCCTGGGGTTTGGGATGTGGGGTTGGCTGTTGACGGTTTGGGATTCGGGGTTTGAACTTTTTAGTTTGTGCTTTGCGGTTTGGCTGTTTACGGTGTGGGATTTGGAAGGTTAAGGGTTTTGGGTTGAGGCTTTGCATTTGGGATTGGGGGTCTTGGGGTATGAGGCTTAGGGTTTGAGCGTTGGCCTTTGGGGCTTCGGGTTTTGGACTTTGGGGACTTTGGGGTCATGGGCTAAGGGCCTGACGGGTTGGGGTTTGGGTGTTTAAGTTTTAGAGTTCGAGATCTGGGATTTAAAGTTTGGGGTTCTGGTTGTTGGGGGCTTGGGTTCGGGGTCTGGGGTTTGGATGTTCAGGGTTTGGGGCTTAGGGCTGAGGGTGCGCTGCTTCGGGGTTTGGGGATCGGGGTTGCGGGGCTCAGGGTTTGGGCTTTGTGGTTGTCTGTGTGTTTGGGTTTGGTTGCTACAGTGCTGCAAGTCTCGTGACCTCAAAGTACGCTTGGCTTGCGAGGCTGGCCAGCAGGCTGAGGCTGAGGCTGCAAAGGACGCATCAAAAGCGAACCTTCTTCTGGACATGCTGAGGAAGACTCATGGTGGCAACACCCGAGAGGTGCTCAGAGCCTTCGGGCAAGCCATATTGCAGTGGCTGAACGAGATGCAAGAGGAACTGCCAGTTCAGTGCTTGACCCTGCTCTCTCCCCTGCACGCTTTGGCGAATGGCAGCTTCCGTGAAGAAGAGTTGCTGTCGTATGCGCAGATGGCCGTGGAAGCCTACGAGAGCCTCGAGCCCAACATCAAAATGGAAGTCCGGGGCAGATTGCAAGACTTGTCGAAGATCCTGCGCTCGCCACAGCAAGTCCACCACGGAATAATCTGCGATGGATGTCAGCAGACTCCCTTGCAGGGCAGACGTTTCAAGTGCAAAGTGTGTCCAGACTACGACCTTTGCCAGACATGTCCGGGGCTCAGTTGCACCCTGATCCTGGAAGCAGCTTGACACCAACAGTGCACACTCCCATCGTGGACTCTGCCGGAACAAGGGGGTCCGCGGGTCGGGACCGCTGCCCATCCGATAGCATCGAGAAATCGGTTGTTTCCCCAAGCCACAAAGCATCAGCTGGAGAAGGCCTCTGGGAAAGAAAGAGCCAATGGGGTGAACACCGTAACAATCTGCACTGTCTGCTTTGTGGTTGGGGTCAACAAGTCGCCGGATGTAGATGGGCCACGAGGCAGGCGCCGAAGTGCACGAATCTGAAGGCCTTGCTCTTCGATGCATGAGGCGTTAATCCATTCAGGGATTGGGAATTGGAGCATGATGGACATAAGCGGAGCCACGCCTGCGAGAAACGTGTCACAAGGCCCCATAGGCTTGTGAATGTGCCGCGGCGGGAGCGAGGTGGACGGATTTCTTGTCTGAAAGACAGCGTTTTTCTGCCGACATGGAACAAGCAGAGCATCGCAACAACCGAGTGAGATCATTAGGAGGCAGCGCAACGTTGCACATGCCGCAGAGCAAGAACAGTTGAAGTCAAAGATAGATAATAGCCACAGCTCACCTGAGGCGTGGAGAAGGATTGCCACCCTGGACATGAGTTCGAAGAAGTGCCAGAATGCCGAGCTCCTTGCAATGTGTGTCCAATGTGGCAACCAACAGTTTACTGCGATGGATGTGATGCACACCCTCTGGAAGAAGCGAACCGCTTCAAATGCACGATCTGTAAAGACTACGACCTGTGCAAGAACTGCTTCAGCTCCAGGCAGCATATCCATCCCGAGCATGACAGTTGGGTTCACCAGGGCGCACAAGTTGCAGAAGCTGCTCCTCCCAACACTCAGAGCTTGGATGCGAAGGCGGCGCCATTCTAAAGCGGACATGGGCAAGGGGCCACCTGTGTAAGTCTCGTGTCATTGTCTCTGGCTGCTAACATGTGATAGTCGCAAGAGCTCAGATTATGCGATCGACCGTCAGAAAACGATTGACTGAATCAACGAACTCACGTGCCCCAATCGGTGCCGGGCGGCTGCCGGCATCAGCTTTCGTTGGCAAAGAATCCTGTAACCTGCCGGCTGACGAACTTGGCAATGCCGCGCAGTTGCTTCACTGTCAACAGCACAATCGGATTCGACACGCCCCTCACAAGGGGTAAAACACTGTCGGAAGGTGCGCAGAGCTTCCGACGCTTCTCTTGACAGGGTCGTCAACGAAAACAAGAATCTTGTGGACATCGAAAAGCTTGGTTCCGGGTTTATGCAGATTATTTGGCTTCCTCTTTGTTTTGGCCGGGCCTGCTTGCTCATTGACTATGGGCTTCGACTTCGAGATTGTTCCGAACCCTTAGTTTGGAAGCAAGCTCCCAACTGCATCATCCGTTTCCGCCACAGGCCAGCATCACCGCCATGGCATCCCTGCTGCAGCACAGCGATCCAAACGTGCGGGCAGCCGCCCACAACGCTCTGGCAAGTGCCGGAGCCACAAGCCATGCCTCCGAGAAGGCCAGACGAATGCATCGTGGGGAAAGCTCTAGCCGGATATCTGTGGAGGTGCAGGAGGACTCAGACATCAGTGATGGCTGGGAGAGGCAGTCTGTGTGGGTGCTTGAGCTTTGGTGTGTTGCTGCCGTGCATACTTGCACACTTCCGAACTTCGGTGGAAGGCTGGACAATCTCGACCAGGTTTCTGCGAAGGAGCAAGAAGGGATATCGAATATAGCAAAAGGTGGTCAATCATTCCCTGCACGGAAGGTCGGGGTTAGAGCTAAACCCGATTTTTGTTGACAGCCTAACCTCGACAACAGACCATGCCTGTCAAATCTGATGCTCATAGCAGCTCAATTTTTGGAGGCTTCTGGAGGCGAAACGGCGAATTCTACAGTAGTTGTCAGTGCAGCCGACGCTGCAGCGGTCGCAGTGGTCTCATGGCAAAAGCAGCACTCGTCGCAGTTTTAGCAGCAGTCGTAGTCGTCGAAATACTGGTGCTAATCGTCGTCGTCGTTGTGGCAGTAGCCGTAAGAGTGGCCATAGACAAAGCAGTACTGCAGCAGTGGCAGCAGCAGCACCATATCAGTAGCTGTAGCGGTGGTCGTAGAAGTGATGGTGGTAGTTGTAGCTGCGGCGGCAGCGGTAATGGCGAAGTAAAGATGTGGCACTGAAGGAAGTTGTAGTGGAGGTAGTACTGGTACCACTAGTAGTCGTAGTCGTAGTCGTAGTAGTAGTAGTTGTAATAATAGTAGCAGTAGTGGTAGCAGTTTACTTGATTAGTCGTAGTGGTGGCAGCAGTACAACTTCAGTCAGCGAGAACGTAGCCGTCGCTCGACTGTGTGCTTGTTTGCAAACTCGCGGCGAAAGTCCGGGATCCCAATTCGCGAAACAGGAGGACTCTGTGTCAGACAGCAATGATGGCTGGGACAGGCAGTCTGCAGCGATAGTTGATGGTTGGCTTGTTTCGGCTGCACATTCTCTGCCTTTGAAGTTCTGTCGAAGGCTGGACAACGTGGATCAAGCCTCTGCAAAGGCGCGAAATGATGCAGTGCCTACTACCCTGAAACAGGAGTGAATCTATATGCGTTGCGAGCGGAGGTCGTCCATGCCAGTGTCTTCGCCAACACCGCTGTTGCACACCCCCTGAACCTGGGCAGCAGTAATCGTGATATGATATAGAGTCGCTGTTACAATGCTGTTACGTCCCGAAGTCACGGAAGCTTAGACAGAAATGACAACTCTTTTGCGTCTGCGACGAGCAGGAACCTGGAAATGATCCACCATGGCTGCAAGGCACAGGGCACATCAGGGCACCTTCTTGCAGGATCTCATGCGCCGATTGCAGCTTAGGTCTTCCGCTTGGCACACCTGGAGATCAATCATTCGGCCTCGACGGAGTCCAGAGCCATTGTGACCAGCTGAGTTTGTTGGGACCGGGTCCGAAGCCGAAGATGGGGGGTGCCGCCCGGTGGTGCCCGGCGCTGCACGGCGAGGTGAAGGCGGTGGTCGTGAACGATGGCACGGAGCCATGGCCAGAGGCGCCAGAGACACGTCGAAAGGATCTCTTTAGCGCACTTCGCTTTGGCTTTGACCAGGCCTCACTTTTAAAGCTCAGCGAGGGCCCTTCCTGGGGCTTCCGTGAACTGTCTCTTGGAGCTGTTCCACCCGGCGAGACGGTCACATGCTTGAATCTGGGACGTCACGTGTGTGATGGTTTTTGAGTGTGTTGCTGAAGGTTGAACTGGTACTGGACCTGTCCTTCCTGCCGGGACATGTGGGCGATCACGTCGTCTCAGTATGGTCCCTCGTCGACTGCAGGGGGGAAGCTTTTGCTCCCCCAATGGTGGTTGAGGTGACGTTCTTCGGCCGCACAGATGCCCGCTAGGCTTGTTCGAGTCGTAGCGGGAGCATTCCACACTTTCGCGGCTTTTGTTCCTTCTGCACGTTGAGAAACTTATTGCTTGAGCTGCAGGCGAACCTAGAGAACAGAAGCTGATTGGCAGCAGCATGGTCAGCTGCACATTCGTCATGTGAGTCGAACTGTACAGAGACTACGTGGCTTGACATGGTGCCTTGCGCCAATTGTACAAACTGGAGACTCCCATCCTCTGAGTGCTTGCTTGGGCCCTTTTCACTTGAAGCTCCACTCGCACTGACAGCTTGCGGAAGTGTTGAAGCGAAGAAAAATGCGGTGATGCGGACTCCGCCGTTGAGGTTCCTTCAGAAAATTGAAAGCTGTTTGAAGGAGTCCGGTGGCCTGGACCTCGTCGTGCAGACCTTACAGACCACAGCGTGCACGATCCGAGCCGACTGCTTCAGACGCCTCAGAGCTCCGAGGTCTCCGGCCTCGCTGTGGCGGCCTGAGGGACGTAGCTTGGATTAGCTTAGCGCTTCACCGGCGCGTAGCTGAGGCCACGGGAGCCTTGGTCCATTCTTCAGATATTGCCGAACTGAGCTTAGATCATTTATCTCCGCCAAAGCATGCAGTGCAGATATGACATGATGCAAATGATGTGAGCTCCGGCTGCATTCTGCACCAAAAGCGGAAGCTCGTTCGAGCGTCAGGACACGCCTTCAGTTTGGTGTTACCGAAAGAAGGCGGCGAGTCGTCGAGCACTTGAGATCTGCAGAGTCAGAGCTGCCTTGCACACGCAAGCAATCGCGAACATAAACTCAGGCTCTGAAGCTGCCAGACAGTGATGAGGCTGCAGAAGATTCGGTTGCACAAGCCCTACTCGACGAACTCTCACTGTGTCCATGCTGCGTGCAAAGATGATCAAATTTGCAGCTTCGGCAGTTTTGAGGTTACCTTCGTACCATGCCAAGAACTTCAAGTTGGAGAGGGACCTGCCAGACAGGCCGCGGAGGGGCTCTGGCGCGCAACTTCCTGCTAAGTCAACATAAACAGGCTTCTCGTAGCATTGGGCGATCTTCGGTGCAGCTCTTACGTGGCTTTGCAGAGGAGGGACGAGTGAGATGTTCTGGCAGCCACAGGCGGTTTCACGAAGCTCTTCAATGGGGAGCCCCGTGGATGACGATCTTGGGGATACCTCCGGCACAGCGCAGATCTGTGCGACTGAGGTGCAGGCATGGCGACTTCCCGTTTTGTCGATGATCAGCACAGTTGCTCTCGTGTCAATCTGAGGGTGAGGACTTCGTCCTTTGCCTCCATTTCCGAGACCTTAGCGGCGGATCTGAAAGTTTTGGTGGCCTCGCCATGCTTCTTTGCTGTTGTCGAAACAGGTTTATCGGGAGGGATCATCTTCTGTGACATTGCGCCGCCATTTGTCGCTTGACAGCCGCCGGGAACACTTTTGTTGAGGAAGTCTGGCGCTGTACTGTGGGCATTCAGTGGCGGATGCTTTGTCGCTGGCTTTGGAGCAAGGTTTGCGAGAGCTGTCGTTCCCTCCCTTCTTCCCTGCTTCCCCCACAGAATTTAGCAGGTTCGCACGTTTGCCTCCTACACCGGCTTGTCTTTCCAGCGGTTCAGAAGTTGTGCGGCATGCAGATGTGACCGATCTTTCACTGTTGTTTTACAGAGTCGGGTAAAGCCTGCCATAGGTGTGCAGTTAGATTGATCGGCAAATCGTCATGGTACCATGCGGGGCTTTGTTCCAACCGCAGTGGCGTGTAGAGTTTGGAATGCAAAAGTGAGCCGCCACCTGTTGGTCTTCGTTCGCAAGACCGCGGAGTTGCATCGTGGTGTGTCTCTGCCAGGCCTCAGTGGAGACTATGTGCGGTCTGATCAGCTTTACGGGGATCGACCCGTTTTCATCAAGGAGCCTCAGCTCAGAAGAATTGCTGGGCGACTTGAGTCTATGTTCTTCGTAGTTCTGTCGTTCAGGCTCCACTTCGACATCGACAAGGCACGAAGGGCTGGAAGAACTGTTTCCAGGTGGTCTGAGATTGCAAGCATCTGTCCTGAAAATCCTGGAAAGGCACATGGACACTCTCATATGACTTATCATATCGCAAGGCTTAGCTCAGCCGCAAACGAAGCTCCGGCCCTGCAAGGGACAGAGTTCCAGCAATCAGAAAGGAATGGTTTGGTGAGGAGTGGATTGGGGGGTTGGCTTGCAGGTCTGTGACAGGTCTTACCCTTTGAAGAACGCATGTAGATTTGCGTCTATCTATACTGTGTCCGTCCAAGCGGGTTTCTCCCGAAACCGACAGTCATCACTTTTTGATGTGCTTGAGTTCGTGCTTCATGTCGTTCAGTTTACACTGAACGTCGCTTCCTCGGAGAGCCTCGCTCCTCGCTGCATCACCTTTACTAAAGTAAATTAACTCTAGCACGTCCTCTCTCGGTATTGGTAGCAGTCAGTAGGTAGTCAGCGAAAGCAGTAGTCGTTGTCGTAGTCGTAGTCGCAGTAGCGTAGCAGTAGCAGTAGCAGTAGCAGTAGCAGTAGCAGTAGCAGTAGTAGTAGTAGTAGTAGTAGTAGTAGTAGTAGTAGTAGTAGTAGTAGTAGTAGTAGTAGTAGTAGTAGTAGTAGTAGTAGTAGTAGTAGTAGTAGTAGTAGTAGTAGTAGTAGTAGTAGTAGTAGTAGTAGTGGGTAGTGGTAGTGGTAGTGGTAGTGGTAGTGGTAGTGGTAGTAGTAGTAGTAGTAGTAGTAGTAGTAGTAGTAGTAGTAGTAGTGGTAGTAGTAGTAGTAGCAGCAGCAGCGGGTAGCTGTCAGCTGGAAGCTGATAGTAGTAGTGGGGGTAGCAGGGGCGCGAGTGGGAGCAAGAGCTACACCAACAGCACCCAAAGGCGCTCTGGCAACACAAATGTACTGGCGAGGTGTCCCTAGCAGCAGCACTCCCGCTGCAGCAGAGTTTGAAGTTTGAAGGCTTTGGCTCCGCTCGTCCACCCAAGAGGTTGAAAGCTTGGACTACTTAAGCAACGAACCCCAGCATTCAGCCCTGAAAAACTATCGCGTGAATCTCTGACGCCTTTATTCAAGTAGAGATCTCACATGAATGACTCTCTCAGTGCTTGTACTAAGGACTCTGCAAGACTGCGTCGTGATTTGCAACTTGGAGAGATTACGTCAACTGACATGCAGGTGGCCTCGAGTTGGACGATAAGCCGAGCCAGGCATTGTGTTGACCATGCGCGCTTCCATGTCTGCACAGCTGACTACATACATGTTTGGGCAGAGGGCCTCGAGCGGACCCTCTTCTTCTTCTATGACGACATTCGCCATCGGTGGCAGGCAAGTCCGTGCGCCGAAGTATCCTCCACCCTTGCCGCGATGTATGCCGAAGACGCAAAAGCAGATAACAGGTCGCTCCAGAAGTGGGTGCCAAGGGCTTGAGCGTGCTTGCCCGCAGCCCCGTGGGCTGGGACGAGGCGGGGAGCCAGCCGGCTTCAGCGACCTTCAGCGACTTCAGTGTCCTTCCCTTGAATGCTTTACAGGTCTTCTCACCGAACGGACCAGAGGCTGCTTTGGTCAGGGCTGGGAACCCTGCAACGAGACTGCATTTTGACCTTTCGAAGCTTACTGTCACCGAGGAAGTCGGCCCTCCCAGGACATCGGGCTGCTGGCAGATCCGGGTTACCTCCTTACCATTGCAATAGATTGCAATGTTATAAAGCAAACGGCGAGCTAGACTTTCCATGACATGCCCACTGGCCCACACTTCTGGACCATCGTCGCGTCTAAGCTCAACGAGCCTGCCCTGGCCATCCACTCGAGACGTTCGAAGCAAATGACGGAGATCCCGCAAGAGGCCCACCCCCCACCCCCCCTCAGCGAGCTTGGCGAGCATGAAGATGCCGGATGCCACGCACGATGCTCTCACGACAGGCGTCGCAACTCTTTCAGGACTGCGAGGCTCTGTCTGTCGCATCCTCGAAGCTGGGCCGATGGCAATACAGACTGAACCGGAGCCTCCTTCCATGGCTCGTTTGCCAAGGTCCTTACACTGGAAGATCGGGCACCCGCACGCACCGTCAGCTTCCAGTACGAAGGCATCAACCGCAGCTCTCGCATCTGGCAAGACACTGTCTGTGTCTGTGGGTGTGACAGGGCCAAGTGAAGAGCTCCAGGCATGGAAAGCAGACAAGTCGCAAGAGTTTGATTCACACACCCTGCCTGCTGCGCAAGCCAACTGAGCCATGGAGTTTTCGGCAGGTGCTTGCAGAGCACCCGCTGGCCGGAGATTTCAGATTGTTCGGCCCTTGGCCTTCGAGAGATGTCGTACTAAGCCGCTGAACTTGGGTTTGGTGTCTGGCAGTGGATACGCACACGGTGTAAGTCGCCACCTTCCAGAAACGATCATGACCCTCGATCATTGATTGGCGGGTCATGTTGCAAATCATGTACAAATGGACGGTGGAGATGGAAAGGCGTGCCTTCGCGAAAGCTTCACGCTGCCTGGAGTGAGTAAGTCTTGATGTCGCATCTTTCCACATAACCTTGCTTGCAGACCACCGGAAGTGCTTTGAGCGCCAGCTAGATCGAAGTCGCTGCGTTGCTTTGTTGCATCTGTCTGAAACTGGACAGATGCTTCTTGCAGGTGCATTCATCTCTTGTTGCGTGCTTGCAGTTTGCTAGCAGCTTGTGTCGCTAGGAGGCCCAACCTCTTGAATTGAAGGGGCATCGGCTCTTGGGATGGTACATAGGATCGGGATATGATAGCAAGTTGCATAATCAGGTTGAGATCTGTCGGGTGTACCGAAACTCCCAAATCCACACCACCTGCGAATCCTGTTGACGGCTGTGAACAGCTTCGTCTCATCGTTCTTCCGGTCCTATAGGGGTGCTCGCAAGTTTTGTAACCGTAAGCTGCACTAATCCGCGCTGTGATCTCCAAGGGCTGGCCTTGATTCGAACGCTGCGCGAGAAGACCTGCAGCCCGTGATGATCCGACGTCGTGCTGATGGCACCCTCCACGTGGAGACAGACCCCGCGATGTGCTTGCAGTGTCATCCGAAAGTCCACCCCACGTACTCGTCGGCACATGAGCTCAGCCACCTCGCTTCGCACTTCCTCAATCTTCGCCTTCTGCTTGCTGCACGTGGCTTTACTCAATCCGGAAACTTTTTCAGAAATCAAGGCAGCAAGTGAGATGCACTGAGGCTTCGACAGAGATACGGAAAGCGTCCGGTATGCCCGGCAAGTATTTTTGCTTTGTGACGTGTGCATGCAAGCTGCGAATGCACGACAGGTATATCGCCGCTCCGCTTTGCAGCCTTGTGGACCTGGGCCGAAGCCTTGCTGGACCGAAGCGAGAGCTGAAGTTTTGCCGTTGAGGAAGTCCTCAATGCGCAAGTGCAGCCGACCTTGACCCGTCTGATGCGGTCGCTGCTGGACTTAGGCCAGGCTTGCCCGCCCAGCTCGGCACCAAGAAATTCTGGAACAGAGTACCAGAATTTGTTTGGCTGGGTTTTCAGATCGGGCCTCGAGGCCCGGCTTGTTTCTCTTCTTCGAGCCACGGCTTGGATACTGGGTCGCCGGCTTCTCACAGGGCTCGGGGGGTCAGCTGCTCTGCTAGCGAGGGCCGAGGGTAGCAGCGATCACCGCAAGGTGAGTACAATATCGCCACTGGCTTCAAGCCACGCTGTCGCGCAAAAGCCTCAGCGGCCGAGATCCTCCAAGCATTTAGGTGTTTTAGCCTGGTCAAGACTCGCTGCAGGACAACAGTGCTGTGTACAGAGTCGGCAGGACGTGTAGCCGTGCGAACACGCCTTTCGTTGCGACCTCAGGTTTGCCAGACCAGACCTGCCAGGTCGCTTTGGACAGGCGAGGGCCGGGGCTCTGATGTGCGCTGACAGAAAGTGGCACGGTCCAAGCCGTTGGAGCGTCGTGTCTATGAGCAGCACGTGAGCAAGACGAGCCATTTGCTCCAGGTCCTGGCCAGGACCGGGCCTGACTGGACACCCGTGCTGCCGCAGGACACGTTTACGTGTTAGCCACGGTGAGGTGCACCAGCTTGGATGTAGGGCCTTTGGATTCTGACACATCGTGAGAGTCACAAGGACGCACGCGACTGGGACGCAGCTGACAGCCAGGCAAGGCGAATGTGGCAGCCAGTCCGTCCATGCTTGACTCAAGTTTTGGTTCGGCCGCCACCAACCATGGAGAACAGTATCAAAAGCTAGCGCAAACCTCAACTTGAAACGACCTATCATCGGGTCGGACTCAGGGTTATCACTGACATTACGAGCCTTCTGCTGATTACGCTGTATTCCAGTCTTGCTGTTGGCAATGTTCAGGCCCCGGGTTCCCACTATCGGCTTGGGCCGGCAAGAGCGCCGGACTCAAGAGGCGTTCAGTGACTTCTTACTGGCAGATCTCTCTCGGACGATCCCAACAAGGCACCACCCAGCACACTGCTGTCCGAGCAACTGACGCACCTCTGCCCGGCTTACTTTTCCTGCGCAGACACCTCTTCATTGAGCCATGGTGTAGATCGAGAAGAGCGTTGCAGGATTCGAACTACACGCCAGGCCAACACCGTGGCTGCACTTGGTAGCCCTGGGCACCGACGCACCTCCCAAGATGGTGTGCCTAAGCGGCTTCGGTGACAGGTACCGGACTGGCACGTCACAACATACATGTTTTCACGGCACTCCACTCGACAGGTTGCATACTCTCAATGGCTCATATGAGCTGCTGCCAGAGTCCGCGCCACGAGCTGAGTTTGCAGTCGTCCCTTCGCGTCATTGCTCTTGGCATCTCTTGGGACGTGGCGCTGCATGTGGTGCATCCGGCTCAGGTGGGCATCCAGAGCCGCATGGGCACGAGTGCAGGGAGCCTGACCATCGTGTCTGCAGGGAACAGCTGGCATTCGGGAGTCCTGCCTGACTCGAGGCCGTCCGCTGCAGAGGCTCAGGGCGAATTGATTTCCCTGCCAACCGTTCTGGATGTCCTTTCCGGCATCAGGATGTAGAGTTTCCCAAGTACATCTTCTTTTGGCCAGAGCAGCTCGAACGCGATTCTACAGAGAGCGCGAAGCAGGTGAGAGCGAGTGCAGAGCAAGTGCAGCCAAAGGACAGGCCATTGGATTATCGGTCCGGATCTCCACACAGCACAGACAGGCCGGGAAGGGCTGGCCCGAAGAGTCGGAGCCATCACCGCTGACCGCCGTGCTTGGCGTCCTGGCACAGGTCTTGCGCGAAATGGACCAGGCCGATGGGCTGCTCAGTCTCCTGACCACTGTCCAGGCGAGGATACAGAAATGCCGCGATTCATGTGTTGGAGTTTGTGGTAGCTGGGAATCTGGGAAAGCTTGCCCGTTGAGCCGCTTCTTGTTCACACTGGTGCGTTGTTTCTGTTGTTCAATCCTGCATCAGTGGTCATGCAACCGACAATAGGGCTCCTGGCTTAGATCTCTACATGGTATATTCTGCCGATGACACGATTGTGTTTCTGGAAGCAAACGAGATCTCAACGACCTTTTTTCGTCTCACCGAGAAGACCTCACAGCAACATGGACTTTGAGTAAAGACCAGTGTTTCGAATATTTTCGAATGTGGGTAAAGGTGACACGCCCTCATCCAGAAAATCTGAAAAAACCGTCCGAAGATTCAAAACATTCTACAAAGAGGTAAGGCCCACTAGGATCAAGTTGAACCGTATTGAAAAGTCATCAAGAACATGGAAACTAATTGTACATGATGGCTGTATGCGTAGCAAGCTACTTTACGGTTTGGAAACAACTCATTGGATTAGTTTTATTTATAGTGAAGAAGCCAAAATGCATGTTACATGAGGGGCGCTTGCAAGATCGTAAACAAAGCTCACCCATTTGTAGACCGTGCCAATAAGAGCCAAAATGCTTCTGAAGCCTCTGATATAGCTTGTCCAAGACGCGGACGGGGTCACCGACAGAAGATACTGTTATGAAGTGAATTCCGCAGTTTAACGACGTTCTAAGCTTTTCGGAGTTTCAAGGTGATCGCTTTTACCTGATGGTGCATCTACAGCAGAATACAGTATTATGGCAAGAAGAGAATTGGGAGGCCCCGGCAAAAGTGGATACTTGCACCACACCCACAAGTTTGTGTGGCAAGAGACACCGGGAATATAATCTTAGGAAGAAACCCCAGTGCAGGATAAGGTCGATCTAGCGCCTGTAGGCAAGGACAGTTCCCTAATCGTTTTGTTTTTGCTGCCAACGCCATCATTCCTCTCTCACCTGCCGTCGATACAGGGTATGGCTTGGAAAATGTCGGTGTGTCGTCAGCCCGTTGTCCCGAAAGGCAGATGGGCGGGCCTGAATGGTCAGCCATTCAGCTCCCACAAGAACGACGGTTGGAGACCCGAGTGACTTCAAGCAGCTCGCGTACTGAGGACATTCGTTTGCAGAAGACCCGAAGATCTTTTGTCGCAGGCAGAAGGCGTTCTGATCGCAAGTGCATGCACACTCTGAGAAAACAGTCTGGCGCCAGAGATGGGAGGCGAGCGGTGGAGTCGAGACCTTCGGCCTGTCCTGCATGGCCCTCTGACTGGTCCATGGAGCGGCGAGAATGCCAAACTGAGAGATGAGGCCCTTCCTCTCCACGGCAAAGCACCAGCCTCGGCAAGGCCGGGGGGGGGGGGCTGAGATAGCCTGCAGCCCCAGGCCTGGGACCGCGTGCAAAAGCCTTGCCACTGTCCCCGAGAAGCACTCACAGGACAGAGGTTGAGCTGCAGCTTTGTAAGGGTGATGCCGATGGTCTGCCTTGTTTCGCGCATGCGTGCCGGGAGACAATCTCGTTAACCATGGCATCACAGGCTCCAAACACAGTGCCTCCGGCCAAAGGGGTAGGTGCTCCCGGCATGTCGGCTTTGCAAAACTGAATGCACATTGGCACCTGCCAAGCTTCTTTCGTTCGAAACAAAGAGCCGTGCACCAAACGGGTTGTGTAAGAATTGAGCTGTTTCTGAGGTTCTGTGCAGTCAATGCAAGCGACACTTACCGCAGGGACGGGCTTGAGCTTAGAGAGCCAAAAGGTTAGAGCGATTTGTGCTCGGCATGTGTGCCGGCGTGTTTTGATTGGCTTTGTGCTACCTTCATGGTAGCGGAGCTCCTGGAAAGAGGAGCGGCCGCTTGTGAAAAGAGAAGGACGTTATGGCAGATCGCTTCGATCCGGTGCCTTCATGGAACGGCGACCCAGGGACCTTCCAAAGCTTCGAGGTGGCATGCCAGTGGTACGAGAAGACGCTGAAGGACACCGAGAGGCGAGGAGCAGCTGCAAGGGTTTGGTCACACCTCAGTGGCCCTGCCAAGAGCGTTGTCAAGCATTTTTCCCCGACAACAATGGCCTCTCGAAGCTGCTGGGTGTGCTAAGGAACTCCCCGCTGCAGACCTTGCCGATCCAGGACACCTTCAGCAAGCTGCAAGGCTGGCATGCCATGAAGAGAAAAGACGGCGAGTCGATACCGGAACTGATAGTTCGAGAAGATGATTTGTTCCGGGAGCTGCAAGCAAGCTTGCGCCGATCGAGGACGCGTGTGATAAGGGTGTCCCGTATGGTTTCCTCTTCGAAGCCTTCTTCAAGCCCGGCCTCGCCGAGTTCTGCCAAGGAGACGGGACGCGAGGCTGAGGATGAAGCAGCCAAGGAGCAGGCCGAAGATGGCGAGCCGGCCAGTCCTGTGGACGATCCCGAGACCGAGGCCGCTCCCAAGGACATGGGCTTCTTCGAGGATAAGCTCCGTGGGTTTCGGCTTCTCAAGGCTGCTGACCAGCGGATGCAGGTGCTGACCTTGACAGCCAACGTGGTCTCCTTTGAGAAGGTTCGGCAGGCGCTCCGGGCCCTCTTCGACGACGAGAACCCAGCAGCCCGGCCTCACCGCAAAAAGTCCGTTTGGTATGCTGAAGAATATGATGAAGAGGCCTTCTGGCAGGGAGGCGAGGATCCGTGGCAGTGGGAAGATTGCCCTTGGGAGGATGAGACCGCCTACTGGGGCGAATGGGCCTGGGAAAGGGTGGCAGGCCGAGCAGGAGGACCCCGAGGAAGAGATTGAGGAGAACCCGGAGGCCAACGACGACGAGGGGAATGAAGAGGAAGCCAGTGCCCTGGCCGCCGAGGGAGCGAAGACCTTACAGGCAGCCCCTCCTTTCCCCAGAAAGGCAAGAAGGGCAAGGGCTTCGGCAAGAGCAAAGGAAAAGGTGGCGGCAAGGCCTCCCGAGGGCGGATGTCTGATGTGTGGTCGCACTGGCCACGGCTACCGTGAGTGCCCCTAAAGGAGGCACGAGGTGCTCGCACGACCCGGGGACCACACCGACCAGGACGCCATGGCCGAGGAGAGCGACCTGGACTACGACGACGCAGCGTGCCAGGTCGTCGCCAATTACCCGATTCGGAGCTTTGAGTTGGACCGGCCGGACGGCGGCGAAGGGGAAGCCGAGGTGATGAGCCTGGAGACGGCGATGATTGCCGTCGTGGATGGTTCCCCTGGCTTCGTGCTTGACACGGGCGCGACGGAGAACGCTGTGGGCATCAAGACGCTCCAGGAGATCATTGCCGCGACCGGCGAGTCTGAGAGCGCGGTCCAAGGTGACGTTGCATGGGACTGCTTTGGGGCAGGGGCACTTTTATACCTTGGACGGGGACCACAGACCCCAGACGAGGAATGCCGAGAGCACGCCAGCTCTCCTCGGCAGCAAGTTCCTCCGCGCGGCAAGGGCCACCATCTCATACGATCGCCTGTGCCTTTGGTTTTCGGATGGCTTGGGAACCCTTTGGGCCACCAAACTTCTCCAAACCCAGTCGGGTCACCTGATGATTCCTGTAACTGGGCAGCTTCTTGACTTGTCGGCCTTCAAAGCGAAGGCTGGAGAAACATCATGGGGTTCGGCTTCCTTCTGCGGGGGACCCTGGCAGGGCGAAAGCCGAGAACTCCATGAAGCAGCCGCTGTGCCTCAGTCTGCCTAGCACTTCTGCCGACATGTCAGAGAATGCGTGCCACAGTGTCCTTGTGAGTTTTCCTAAGGCAGCGAATCGTGACCCAATGTGCGTGTTGCGCCCGCCGGAGCTGGCTCAGCGACTTCGAGATCTGGGCTCCCGCCTTTCACTCCTTCGCCTCGGCTTTGCTGATGGCCCTCGAGGCGGCGCCCTTCGACGATCCACGCCAGAGTGGGTGTCCACGCTGGGACAAGCACAAGGGCGGCAACACCCGCCAGAACCAGTATGCAAGCTGGACGTCGTGCCTGAGGTGCGGCCTGCGTCTGCGCTACGAGACCAAGGCGAGCCATGGCAAGGACCGGACCGGCGGGGCGGGAGGTGCAGGGGCGCAGGATTGTGAACAACGAGCGGGTCGTCCTCAATACGATGATGGAGAAGAAGGCGGGCGATGTGGAGGCCCGCGGCCTGGTGATTGTGAGCGGATCCAGGCCGAGACGGAGGAACCACCAACATGCGACCACCGACGGCGCCAGTCTGGAACCAGCTCCAAGGAAACCGACACGACCGAGAACCTGGAGGACGCCCTCCTCCACATCGAGAAGCAAGAGGCCCAGCTGGCAAAGTTGAGGCAAAGCTGGCGGCCACCTTGGAGGCAGGGGAGTCCGATTTGGAGAGCGCCGAGAACATGAGCACCTCAAGCTGGCGGAAGTCGACCTGATTTCCGACGATGACGGAGAGGCTGGTGAGAGAGAACCAGGGGGCGTGGAGCGCAACCTGACGGAATGCGAGGCGGCAACCTCACCAGCGAAAGGACTTCCACAAAGAAGCCGCGGTTTCACAGGTGCCATCCGGCGCCAGATCCACGCAGCAGGGGCAAGTTACTTTGCCTCCCTGCTTTGCACCACGGCCGTACTGTTGAATTCGTTTGAGACTGCCAACCTGTTTGAAGTGAACGGGGTGAACCCCTTGTGCCATTTTGGCTCTACTGCCGGTGACCTGGGCATCACCTATGATGGCTACTACCTGAACAACGACTGGAAGGTCGAGAAGCCCAGCGTTGCAAAGAAGATCGCGACCAAGCTTCAGGAGGTCAGGCCAGACTTTGCTTGGATCTCCCCGGCTGTTCGTGGCGAGGTCCCGTTTGGAGTCGACGGGGCAATCGACTGAGAGCCCAGCTCCGTTCCTTAGAGGTGGCGGCCATTCTGGCTGAGGGGGCCAAGCAGCAGATCCAAGCAGGCCGGCACGTGGCATGGGAAATTCCCTTGCACTTCCGGTACTGGAAGGGGAGCCGGGCAGAGCAAATGCTGATGACCACGGCTAGCGGCGAATGCGGGCGGCCACTCCACAATTTGATCGTTGATGGCTGCTTCTTTCCAAAGGCCTTCGGCCACAAGCCCGCAGCTGGCTTCCACCCTTCGCCGGTGCCGGTGCCCGGGACACCTTCACCATGAACTACCAGAAGGATTGGTCAAGTTCCCCGCCGAGATGGTCTGGGACATTCTGAAGGGCATCATCAAGTGGGAACTGAAAGGAGACGGGAAGGACATCGACGAGCAGTTGGTGATGTACCTGACCGAGGAGCCTTCGGAATGTGTGTTTGCCGTGTATCCGGGACAGCTGCCGACCACAGCCCCGACCGGAACCAAACTGAAGCAAGTTCGAGAAAACATGCCTCGGCTGCACCGTGCGGCCGGCCACACCTCCTTTGAGAATCTGGCAAAGTTGCTGCAGAGGCGCGGCTGTCCTGAATGGGCCGTGTCATTGGCCCGAGGTTTGACCTGTGATGGAGGTGAGATGCCAGACAGGGCCACCAGCCGCATCGGCTGAACCTCCGCCCAGCCTGTGGGAGGTCCTTGGCATGGACGTGTTCGAGGTGGAGTTCGAGAAGGACGGCGCCAAGCTGAAGGCCAAGGTCCTCCTGATGATCGACCGCGCCAGCCGTTTCGTGATGACCCAAGTGCTTCATGAGTATCCAGCCGAAGGTGCTTGGGAACCGAGCACATGGCACGTCAAGCGAGCGGCTCCCGCGGAAGCCCACTAATTTATGGGCATCGAGGAACGGGCCATCCAGGTGGTGAAGCGAGCCATCGAGAAGCTCGAGAGGGAGAACCTTGACATGGGAGTTGATTCTCTATGCGCTTTGGCTTGTCACGGTCACAACTCCTCCGTTCACCGGGTACAGTCCCTTTCAGTGGGCCCGTGGATGGCAGCGAGAAAATTCACTGCCAATTGGACTGGATCCGCAGCGAGCCTTTTGCAGAGCCCTGGCTGAAGCTGACCAAGCTGTCGAACACCGTGAGCCGACCGGTGGCTGCTTACAAGCCGGGTGACCTTTGCATGCTATGGCGTGCCAAGGTGAACCGACAGTGCGGGGGATGGACTGGACCTCTGAGAGTCTTGCTGCAAGCGTCTACGACGTTGTGGCTCAACCAAGTGCGGCCGTGCACTGACCGCGAGAAGCTGGTGACCTCGACCCAAGGAACCACCATCTACCAACAAGCCGTTGGCCTGGACATTCTGCTGTGAGGGTACCGGGGCAAGCATTTCATGGACGCTTCCTCCGAGGTGCCAGGTGCCGACATTGAAGAGGACCTAGCTCCTGTTCAAGAACTGGTGGCGCCATCGGCTCCGAGACCGCAGGCTTCAGGAGACACCTGGGAGATTGCCGGGAACACGGTGATCCGCGAGCATGGCAACCCCAGGCTATCCCTGTTTGTGCCGACAAAGGATTGTCCTGTCAAAGAAGAAGATCTGTCCGGCAAAAGAAGGACGATCATCCAGCGGCCGGGCGGGGCATACGTCATCAATGATGACTATACAAGCTGGAACCTCGACCCCGGAGATCCCTCATGGAGCGATGGACGGGCGAGACACAGTTTGAGCTGAAACCGGGAATTCCAGTTCCGGTGCCCGTTGCTCAAAGAGCTCCACGTCATGAACCACCGAGGTCAGCGCGAGAAGTTCCACCACCACTTCAAGAACCACAGGGGTCAGCACGAGAAGTTCCAGCACCACTTCAAGAAGCAGAGGGGTCAGCACAAGAAGGCAAGAAGTTCCAGCACCACTTCAAGAACCACGGGGGTCCCGTGAAGAAGTTCCTTTGCCACAGCTAGAACCTCCTTTACCACAAGCTTCTGGTGTCCGCAGAGGTCGTGAGCAAGCACATCTTCCACCTGGGGTCCCACATGCAAAGAAGGAGCGTACCAACGAAGTCCTAGATCAGGCCATGGATAATCCCACCGTGTGGCCAGAACCACCTGTACCACCACCGAGTTCTCAGCAGCGACAGCCAGACGATGAAAGGTCCGAAGAAGAAGTCGTCGAACCACCCGTGCCAGTTGGACGAGAGCCTGGGCATGCATCTGTTTCTCAAGGGCCACCGGCAGAAGGAGTTCTTCCATCACAGCCAGAGTTCTTGGAGGAGGAACATGCAAGCGCAGCTCCCTACTCCACTTCCGAGGAAGAAGGATCTTCCGATGGGGAGCCGCTCCCAGACGGTCCGCGAGATCAAACCTCCGTGAACTTTGCCGAGGTGGCTCCCCTCATGTTTTCTTGCGAGATCGAGGTGGGCCCAAAGGACCTACGTCGGCTTACCAAGAAGCCGAAGAAGGCGACCGCATGGCTTCGCAACAGATGCAGGAGAAAAGCAAGGAGGTGAACTGGCGTTCACTGACGGAGGAGGAGAAGAAAGAATATGATGAGGCCATTGCGGTGGAAGTTTCCAACGTGGTCCGGGAAAGCGCCGCACCGCGAGCTCCAGGATGTCGACTACCAGAAGCCTATGGGCGTGCGATGGGTGCTCACAAGGAAGGCGTCGGGCAAGGCGAAAGCGCGCCTGGTGGTGCTTGGTTACCAACCGCATAACCTCCTGGAAGTGGACACGGCGGCTCCCACATTGTCCAGGACCGGACGGAACATGCTGCTGACGGCAGCGGCCAACACCGGCATGGTCGTCGAGACTGGAGATGTCACGTCGGCCTTTCTGCAGACCTTCGAGAGCCTCGAGGGAGAGAACCTCCTGGTATGGGCTCCGGTGGAATTGGCTGCTCTTTTCGGAGCGGATCCTTCCGACAGCGGCATGGTCATGAAGCTTACGAAGGCGTTCTACGGGTTAGCCGACGCGCCGCGAAAGTGGCACGAGTCAGTGGTGAAGTTTCTTTTGATTTCTTTTGGAAACAGGGTGGCCACAACTTAAGTCAGACAGGTGTGTCTTTGTTCTTCGGGACAACCAGGGCACCTTGTGTGCCATTGCCGGGCTCCACGTGGATGATTTGCTTCTGGGAGGTCTTCCTGGAAACAAGCTCTATGAGGCGGCCAAGGAGCAGCTCCAGAAGCAATTCCGTTTCGGCAAATGGGAGAGCGCCAAGGGCGAAGGCTTCACCTTTGCAGGCTGCCAGGTTCGCCAGACCGAGTCGGGCATCCTCCTAAACCATCAGGACTACGTGAACGAATGGGTTCACGAGATTCCTTTGGATCCCCAAAGGGCCAAGCAACTAAAATCCTTGGCCACTCCGCAAGAGATTGGCGACTTACGCGCCCTGGGAAGCTTGAGCTGGAAGGCGTCACAGACGGGGCCACAGTTTCAGTCCGAGGTTTCCTTGAAACTTTCGGCTGTTCCAACAGCCACTGTGGGGACCTTAGTGGACACGAACAAGTTGATCCGGGAAGTGAGACGGACCGCTTCCCAACGAATCCTCTTCCCGACGTGGCGGCTACCCTGGACAAAGGTGTGTGCGATGGTGTGGGCAGACGCCAGCCAAAGCAACAGGCCAAACAAGTCCTCCACCATCGAGGTGATCGGGTGCCTAGGGCCGGAAACCATCCTTGAGGGCGAAGAGGTCTCCCTGGCCATGGTCAGTTGGAAGAGCTCCAAGTGTCCTCGGGAGAGCTTGGGTTCGAACGGCAGCGAGGATTGAAGCGATTACCACCGGCGAGGACCAGGTGCCATGTGGTATGAACTCCATTGCGGCGAGATTTCTCGCTACACCTTGGGCGAGGACCTTCGCAAGTTCACCAAGGGTGGCCTGGTGATGGACAGCACGGGAATCTACGATGCAATGACCCGCAACGTGTCTGCCCTGCACGGGTTGAGATCTTCCAGGGCAGGCTTCGAGCTCACCGTGTCCGTGAAGCAAGCAGTCGACCTTGAGACCAAGCTAAGGTGGGTGTGCGGAACAGCACAACTGGCAGACGCACTCACCAAAGACGCCACGGCAGCCAGGAAAGGCTTTCTAGAGTTCTTGGCTCGAGGTCAACGATGGAGCGTGGTGCACGATCCAACTTTTGCAGCCGGCAAGAAGCTGTCAAAACGGCAGCTACAGGCCAAGCTTCAGGAAGCTGAGGTCTTTTTCTTAAAAGCCATGGAACAATTCGCTGCTACTTCTCACTACCCTTGGGATCATGATGATGGGCCAGTAGACAGTAGACGACTTAGAGCCCAGAAACCTCAAAGGGGTTTTGGGGATGTAAGCAGTGAGCTGTGTCTGAGGTTCTGTGCAGTCAATGCAAGCGACACTTACCGCAGGGACGGGCTTGAGCTTAGAGAGCCAAAAGGTTAGAGCGATTTGTGCTCGACATGTGTGCAGGCGTGTTTTGATTGGCTTTGTGCTACCTTCAGGTTGGGGTTGGGGACTGGGGGACCGAAGCACATCACTCCATCTTGACATTGTCCGCTCTTTCTGTCCGCATTTGTCACCGATCGCCGTCGCCTGAAGACAGCAAAGATTAGGACCGATGCCTTCGCGCATGGTAGCTCAGGAAGTGCATCCTCCAGCAGGGTTTGGACCCACCAACCTGGACATGGCTAGTGAGACAACGGTTGCCCGAAGCCCTGCCGAGCAGGAGTATACTCTCTCCAGCTTCGGAGGCGTGGACTGCCTGTAGACAGAAGCATGTAGCGAGAGAGAAAGCCAGTGCAGCAGAGTTGATGTTCATTTTGCGTTTCTTCTCGAAGCGCAAAAACAAACACAAAGTCTCTGGCGAGACTGGAAGTTGCACTCGGGGCAGCTTGGTATTGAGAAGCGGCGGTGCAGAGGTTTCGGGGTTGAGACGGTTGACAATGGAAGCGAGCCTTGCGGGCCCACCGTAACCGTCCAAAAGTGACCCTGATAGCATTGGACTCTCGGACTGATGGCATGGATGAGAGATACAGTGGCTTTGGCAGTGTCCGCCACAGGCGAATTCGCCCAGTCCATCGCGGAGCCTGCCAGGGCCATCCGCCCTGCCAAAGGGCGCAGGTGAAGCAAACGGGTCTCTTCATTAACTATGTCTGCTGTGTGCCCATCTCCTGCCACGCTACCATCTTCACCGGCTGCAAGGTGCAAAACGGGCTGACGGAACGATTTCCACACCTAGCCGCAAAGCAGGCAGTTGGATAGCTAGCTCCACTAATCACTGAACAGAACACTTCACATGCAGTATGCAGGTATGGAAGAGAAAAAAGAAGGCACAAGTCCGCAAGTGCAGCCGAAGGAAGTCAGGCCGGGGTCTTGCCTTCTGTTCCAAAAAACAACCTTCTTGAAGTGCTCTGAGCGCATGAGGATGGAGCTGTCCAAAGAAGGCAGCTTGGGTGCAGCGCGCACCCAAAGCTTCAAGCCGCCCACAAGAGCTACCAGCCCTCGAAGCCGGCGGTCAGCAAGCCCGTCACGAGCTACAAGCCCGTCACGTGCTGAAAGGGGCATTGTCTGGCGACCTTGAGCTCAATTCACTTGATCGATTCCGCATGTCGGATCTCGTGGCTGAGCTCCATGTCAACCATAGCAAACCAAAGCACAAAGTTCACACAAGTAGCAAATCTCACTCCAATCCTTGCCTTTGTTTGACATGCACGCTCGCATCGCTGAGCACAAGTCTGCGGCTGAATGTGACAAAGTAGCCTCATTCTCCCAAGAAACTTGGGAGGTTTCGGGCGATATCCCATTCCGTTCCGCTGCTTTTTAAGCACCTGATTGCGAATTGTCAATGCGCCACAATGTTGCCAAACGGACAAACCCGCTAATGTCCCGCGCACGACTGCAGAATTGACGGGATGCATGGCCGTCACCCCCTGCGACAGACGTGTACTGATGGGTCTTCCTCTGCCCTGGCATTGGACATCATTGGACATGCAAAGGCCCAAGATGGTTCACGCAGTCTGGAGTCGTGGAGGAAGGCCTACAATGCTCCCCGCAACCATACGGTTCGAGCCACGAGCCACAAGAGCAGATAAAGCAGAAGTTTAACCAGAACCTGGCACTGCAAGGCCATAACCATCCAGATTGAGAAAGAAAGCACACTCTCAAGTGGATGGCCCCTGGCTGCGTCATTGAGAGAAATGTTTGAGCCGGAGGAGCCGGAGAGCGGCCCTCAAGCTTGGGGAACAGGGAACTGGGCAAGAAACGCCGTCCCTGGGTTCTGTCCGACTAAGGAGCAAAAACGAGAGCAAGATGTGGTACTCGCAGCTGGTAGGTTCGCACACCGCAGACATGAGACCGGCCTGAGTTTATAGAACATGGCCACGGCTGTGCCAGGCCCTTCTTTGAAGGACTTTGGAGAAGGCAAATGGAGGGCTGTCCTGGCCTTTGAACGTTGCACTTCGAGGTGTCATATCACAGTCGTATAAGCTTCTACTGCAGGTCGTTCCTGTTGACAACATCCTGTGCTGTCCACCTTGGCACGGGGCTGAGACACGATGGAAGCTCCTGTGCTGGCAATTTCCAAGCACCTTCTCAAAGGAATGCAACCCATGTGCTCCGGATAAATACCACTGATCCGGAGCAGCTCCAAATAGAGGCAACAGGCCAGTGGTGCCGTCTCGCTGCATGCTTCAAGCGCCTTGACACAGTGAGTCGCACATTGTTGGCAGGCTGCGACTTGGGAAATGGAAAAGGGAAGTGGAAGCCAGAGACTCATGATGACTCTCATGATGTCTTTGTGACGATGTGCTGTCGATTCCATTGGGGCTCATTGAGGCGGCCTCGTGCCGTCAAGGAGACTGTGACATAGACATGTGAGGTCAGGCGTGCTTGGGGCCGATGGCAATATCTATTGTCCACCTTGGTGAGCCCCGCCTGTGACACTGATGCTGCTTTGCTTGCTGCAAGTTGATGGTACACACGGCCGGTAGTGCAGCCGTTCCTGCTCCAAGTCTTACGACAGCCAAACTACAACGCCATGGCAGAGGCGGTTTGTATCTGCATTGAAGATGTTGTCATCAAATCGATTGCCAGAAGGTTGCCCAACAAATTGACCGTCAGGTGATGGAGGGCGCTGCTGCTGAGACCCTTGGTGTTGCCGCGTGCTGTGCAAGCTGCTGCAGCTGCTGCTGTGGAGGCGATGGGCCAGCAAGCTGTTGCGACTGGTAGCTTCGGGGCACATACAATGGAACTGGGAGGTAGCCCGGAAGAGACGTGTGGACTGTGCTGCGCTGGCTGCAGCCTCGAAGCTTTGGGCTGCGCGGGATGCTGTGATGCCTGCTGCTGCTGTGGAGGCCTGCGAGGCGATACCTAGGAATACCTTGCGTAGCGACGCACGTGCCTTGGCAGGTGCAGACGACCCAGGCGCTCTGATCCAACAGCAATCTCCACTGCCGATGACTCGCACGATGAAGAGCACAAACACGCTTGTTGTCAGGTTGTTGCACTCTGGCTTTGGACACCTGTGGGCTGCTTGCGTGCTGCGAGATGCTTGGCTGTCTCTCCGGCTGCAGTCTCCAAGTTTTATCTTAATGGTGTTGCGAGCTTGGGATGACGCAGGCTTCAGCTGCTGCCCATGCTGCTTCCGACAAAAGAAGGACTTACGGAAAAAGCATGCAGAATCAAACACTGCAGGGTTTACCTTGGGTAAGCTATCTGCTGGAGCTGCGAGCCTTCTCAGCCAGGACCCGCAAGTCGTGATTGCGCAAGGCCCTGTCATGTACCCTGCAACCTGGCTGAACCATGCCGGAAGTATGCAGCAGCAGTTCCGTTTGACATACTTCAGCGCCAGGCAAACTTCACCCCGGAGCAGATGGCCATGGGACCACCAAGAATGATGTATCCGCCCGGGACATGGCACGCCAGTCTTGAGAGAAAGACATCATTCGGTCTGCAGATGTGCCCAGGCCACAGCCTCAAATGATGGGCTATCCTCAAGCACAGGGCTATCAGTACTAGGCACCATTTCTTTGTTGGCCTGGAAACCTAGAGCCGACTTGAGACGTGCCTTCTGGCGAACTTTTGCCTCACAGCAGAGGAGCGGACTTGTAGAGAGAGGCGACATGGCCGGGAACTTGGCCGATGTGCAAAAACACATCTGATCTTCTGTATATCAGCCTTTGGAGGATATGAGCCCCATGCGTGCTTTGTACAGGAGGGGCAGTTCAGACTGCAAAGACCCCTCACACCTCGGCGGCATGTACAGGTGCCTCCAGAAATTAACTTTCAACCAACGGGTTGATCACAGTGCCATGGTTCCGTCTAAAGAACAAAAGCTTGCTCGGCCGCTATGCCAATCTCCCACAGTAGCATGTGTGTGCAAGCGTAGGCCCAGCACCTTAAAGTTGTAGACTGGTGGTCAGCTTCGGCAGTTCGTTCACAATGCGCTGATCTAGACACAGACGTCAGCGCGACAGGCTTGCAGAGGGTATGTTAACTCGCCTGCATCCATCGTGGCAGGTTTGCTTCGCGAGTCCTGCGAATCGACCCGTATGCAGATATCTCGGCAGCCCGTTCTGTGCCAAGCATTTGTCAAACTTCACCTTGCCATCTGCACAGGTGGGGACATCGGAACTCATTGGTCCTGAGTTTACGCTACCCGATCCAGTCAAACTGGCGCAGGCAGGGTAAGCATGGAGCCATCGATAGGCTGCGGGCGACCCTTTTGCCAAAGGAATTTGGGGACAGCATCGGTGATGGTGATGGCGACGTGTCCGACGAAAACTGGGGACGTCGCCTGAGCATGGTGGCCAGGCGAAGTGGCACCACACTGAGTGCACCCCTGATCTCAAGGTAAGTGGATGGATGGAACTCTCGCGGCTAATGGTTGCCTGTATTGTCAGCCATGGCCCTGACCTTAGGTGGTGAAGCTAGCTGCATGCAAGCAAGTGCATGTCTCTGCTTGATCCAAGGTGCGCAAGCCATGTGCTCAAGATCGACACTCGAAATGGGTCTGTGGAACTCATAGGTCTACTCCTCACCCGCGGGGAATCGTGCAAACATCGACGACACTGCATCTTCAAACTCTCCGCCAGTTTCAGGTCGGCATGTGAAGGTCTGCCGCGTTCTCGAATGAATGCCCAGGCCCTGACCTCGGTTGGGCTCCGGACAAGTATCGCGCTGCGGTGGTGGCCACTGATGGAGCTGCTCGTCCGAAGCATTCTCGGGGTGGTCTCGCGTGTTCTTTGGTGTGCGCAAGAATCCGCTCAAGTTAAGTCGCAAGCTGAAGTAAAGGACGCTATGCTGCATGACTCCCTGTATGCTGGCTTAGTTTTTGTTGCAGGTCATCTACTGTCCACCACATTCGGTCATGAGCTGAGTACCGTCTTGCAAGCAGCGAAACACCTGCAAGTCTTCGATGAATAAGCAAATGGACGACATGTACAAAGCCTGCACAGCTTGCCAGAGTATTTTTGCGATAATACTGCTGCCTGACATCATGAGACTCAATCAGAGGGATGCACCAGGGACAGTCAAAGCTCTTGTGCCCTTGTGTCAGGGCGACGAGAATGCAATCGTCATCTTGCGAAACATGCAAGTCCCGGCGACAGCCCCGAGCATGCAGAAGGCAACAACAGCCACGACAACAGGGTCCAAACAAGGGCAGGAAGTGGCTGAGATTCCCGCAACATGCATTCATGCTCGTGGCTGCCATGAAGCGAAAATGCCGCGGTCGCATTTGCTCAGCCCTCCTAACATCAGAAAGCTGCGGAGCGATGGCACTGTACTCAGCCTCAGTTTACCTTTGCTACTGCCACTACTACCTTACTACCACTACTACTACTACTACTACTACTACTACTACTACTACTACTACTACTACTACTACTGCTACTGCTACTGCTACTGCTACTGCTACTGCCGCTACTGCCGCTACCGCTACTACTGTTACCACAATCACTACTACCAGCACCACCACCACCAACCCTACGAAGTCATGGCCTGCAAACCCTTGCACCGTAACATGAACCGTGGCGATGGCTCAACAACCGACCATCCAGCAATTACCTAGGCCAGACGAGTGATGAAAGTTGAAATCTCGACAGACACGGTGAGCTTTGTGGGTGAAGATCTCAGTATCAGTCGACAAACCTGGCACTCCGAAGCACAAGTGAAATGAGGACCTGACTATGGCACCAAGCCAGGCAAGTCCGAAGCTGAGACAGCACCTGCAAAGTAAATGGCAGCCGTCGTCCATGGCATGGTGGGCACAGCAATCAGTGTTGCGGCTTCAGGTGGTGGGCGGGCGCCATGACCTTGGTGAACACAATCCTTTGTGCCCCACATTCCGCTGGTCAGGCAGTGTCCAATCGGGAGGTAGCAGGACTGAACTCTGATGTCCTCTGCAGGTGCTTCAGATCGATCTCTTCCGACAGATGTGCACGTTGGTGGGCAGAGACTTCGGTAGCGGCGAGGCTAGACCTGCTAAGATTCCAGTGCACAGAGAAGGGTAACTGCTGCGGCACAGGCCAAGTACCGGTCCATCGTGCAAAGCAACGATGGATGCTTCTACTGCCCACCTTGTAATGCACCGCAGGCAAACGTCCCGAGCCTTCTTGAGTAAAAGTCCAACGGGCGTCGGTGTCCTGCTGCGCCTCCAAGTTGCAATCCCCGGCAAGGTGCTGTGCATTGATCCGCTAACACCGGATGCTGACTATGTAGGCTGCGGGCTAAGTGCAGTACATGTCGCACCACAGTTTGGCTTGTATATGGAAGTTGCGAGGTCCAGACCTTTGCTGCGGCGGTTTCAAATGGGATGCTCGGCTACGATTTCCTAATGCCTCAACCGAATTCAATTGACGCAGTAGCAGACTATCCACCGAGGTGGTGGCTGGTTTGGGCGAGGATGGCTGTGTTTACAGCTGCCCGGTGGCAGACACTACTCACTGGACATAACTTGAGTCGTCACACTACAGCCTTTTGCTGAGGTCCTCCTTGGCTGGCACACAAGTCTCTTCGTGTGGACGTGCCGACACGTGCTCGCCTTGACAGCCTCGATTATGCAGACACATAGGGTGCAGCAGTGTGCATTGCCCAGGATGGGCTAGGCAGATAGGCAAGAACCAAGGCATGGTCCATGTACATGAAGTGAGTCTTTGGACATGTTCTTAACGTGAGACACTGACACTGTCAGGCTGGGGTGGTGGCAAGTGGGAGGCGATGTATCCACATGAGGTGCAGCTCAAAATACCTGTCGCGGGCTGGTTAAGGGTTTGACATGACTGTGGAAGGATGGCTTCTTTTATTGCCCTCCATGCTGCGACCAGACCTTACCTGGGGGGCTGCGCAGCAGAGATTCGACTGGTACGGCAAGTTTGTCTTTCTACAGCCCTGTGACTGCATGCTCCTGTGACCCCGAAGTGCCCCCTCGTTTGTTGGTCATGGCGGGTGCCTCGCGAATTCTGAAGTTTGTGAGGAACTTGTCCAACAACCCAACGACAGCTAAGGGCCATTGCAAGATGCTACCTGTTCATTTTATACAGGATTAGACAGATGGCAGTGACGAGGCATGCGGAAGGAAAGGAGGGGCCGCCTTTTCCCAACAGGAAGCAGACTACGCAGTGCAGGGTCGGCGAGGGCGCTCGGAATCTGCACCTGCACTCGCCAGTGGCTGACCTTCCGCATAGTCGGCCTTTGACGTATCGTCTTTGCTCCGGATGAGACATGCAGTCATCTAAGAAAAGCTATCTTTTTGCCGCCTTCGTGGACAGACTGTCTGCGATCCGCGTGTTGAATTCAGAAACGGCCAGAGCAAAATCAAGTGGAGACATGTCGGACCCGGTCCGTTCATATCGTCCACCTGCTATTTAGACTCGCGAGCAGGCCCGGCCAGACATAGTGATTTTCGCCCAAGGCCACCGACACCTTGAGCCTGGATACGCTGATTGGAACAACAGAGGCCCGTCAGTTCGATTTTATTTAGTTTGCACTGTCGTGTAGACAACGAGCAGCACGAGCTTCATGAATCCATTCCTGCAGTTGTTGACACCAGAGCTGGGAAGGGAGCCTAGGAAGTCTGATCCCTAGCCGGCAGTGGAGCATTTGTAGCCCCAGGAACTGAAGTCCCACCTTTCCTCTATGCTCGCCGAGGTGGCGGTGTACAGGCAGGTCTGCGGCAGGAGAACTGTACTGCCCGCCCTTCGAGCATGACAAGGCTGTCGTCAAGGAGACTTTCCAAAAGCAAGAAAGCTGATCGGACTTTTTTGTATCTTTCAGGTCTTGAGACTGACATTCAAGAACCTGCAGCTGGAGTCCCCATCTGGCCCTGCGCCTAGCGTCCAAGACCGCTGGTACCTTGAGGCCAAAGAGCGAATACATTCCATACCGCATGCATGAATGCAGCAGGAACCAAAGATTCGCCACTCTCCAGAGCTTCGAGCCGCGTGCACGAGTCGCGGGCCTCCAGCCTCTTACAGGGATGACATGGGCGGGCCGCACCTCCAAAGTTGGGTGCGATTTCCACACAAAGCATTGTGGAAGAAAGCTCAGACCTCTACCGTGCAATCAGGAGGCAAGATGCCATGCCTGACGCCGCGCAGTGAGTCCAACCTGTTTCCAAAACATTGCAGGCGATTCGGTGACTGCTACTGGGACTGTGGGCCCGCACCCGGAGATGCCCTCCCGAATCTTGAGACGAAAGCCTAACACAACTCAGCTTCAAGACTGGTGTCGGTTACGGACTGGCCTTTTTGGAGCTCTCGTGATCCCTGTCGCTACTGATGGCTGCTGGCAAGCTATTATTATTGTTATTATTAGCATTTAGATCTTCGGCTCATGATCTTGACCAAAAGACTCGGGGTGATTCGACCTGCACATCCAGAAGCCATCCATGATTTTTCGAAGAGCAATATAGATATATAGAAATTGATATCAACATATTGAGAGGTAGCGTAGGTGGAAATTTAGAGTAAAGTTAGAGTAAAATTTGCGTATTCTTCTTTTGCAGAAATCCATCGATAAAAATTATGCTTACTCTTTTAGGATGTTGTTGTGATTTAAGCCAAATTTGCAAAATCTATGCGTGCGTATTCCGAAGGGTCTCGCGTGGTTGATAAGATAAATTTAGGTTTGGCGAAGTAATAGGTTCGGCGGTGCTATGTGCCGTTTTGTTTGATTCGTGCAAGGCTATATGTATCTGAGGCGAGGGCTGTGGCGGATATTATAAGTGTTGCCAATCATCGAGGAAGTTTAGAGTGACTGCAAGTTTTACGAATATTCGTGTTAGGGAGGATTTCGGCTTCTCGTTAAGGATTTTGAGAGTTGTAGGATTATAGGGATTGATTTGAAGTTTTTAGGGTGTTTTAAGTATGATATGAGACGGGGTAGAGCATAGTTACTGGGCTCAAACCCCTTAAGATCGATAGGGAACGCACTAAAATGATAGGATTACCTGTACGCTCGTCGAAACATGCACTATATTCCGTTTCAGAACGTCGGATATCGATAGCAAATCTATAAGATTAAGATTTAGATCTAGAGAAAGATTTGTGGGACTGAGGGGGTAGGGGCAAGGCGTAGGTGTGCGTCTGGGGCGAAATCAAATAAAAATCAATTTATCAAATCTTAAATAACTATGAAAAATGGTGGAATATGGATATTAAAGAAAAAAGGTAAAAGGTTTTAGAATAGAAGATGAAATTTTATGAAGAGGCACGTATTTGGCTAGGATTATTTTATTTGTATTTCTTTATATAAATGATGATTTACTTCTATATTTCTCTAAAATATAAAAGTCTATCGAAAATGTTAAATGGAAGGTTTCAAGGGTATGCAGGTCTATCGAATTAAATATTAATTTTGTATGGGGATTGCTTCGAAGATTCATTAGAGGTCTATCGAATTAGATATTAAATATGAAAGGATATTTTGTCTTAAATTTATTTGCGGAAAGTTTGAGTTGGATTTCTTCTTTAGGTTTTTGGATTGGATATTAGATATGGAGCTATAATTGATTTATTGTTTAAATGGATCTAAAATCTGCTATCTAAGGTCATGATTTATATAAGTGCTTATTGTATTTGAGAACGCACTTGTTTATAGGGATTTGATTTACTTATCTCTTAGATATAGTAATAAGAAATAGTAAAGATTAGTAAAAATTAATAAAAAGATAGTAAAAGGTAATAGGGGAGAAAAAAAAATAATATTAAAACGTAATAAAAAAGAGCGTAATGAAGGGAGTAGTGGGCAATATAATGTAATAAAAAGTAGTAGGTTTTATAGAGTCGCAAAAAGAAGCAAGATATTTAAATGACCGCATTAATATCGATTTCTAAATTGAATAAGAATCCGCGATATTCGGATTAATATTGATATAGAAAAATACTTTTAATTAAAATGAATCAAATGACTAATATTAAATAAAAATAGAAAATAATAACGAAAAATAATATAAAGAATCTATTATTTCGATTATGATAATAATATATTACGACTCATTCCTAAATCATCCGAATTCCTCATTATTATCTTAGTAAAATGAAAATTCCTTCCTTCTTTTAAAAATTATTTCTTCTAAATTTCATCGGCTTATAAATATAAATTCAATAAAGCGAATAAATATATATATATATATATATAATATAGAAATTTCAATATCTTAATCTTAATTATATATATAAATATAAATACAAATATATCATCGTAGAATCTATAATGAAAGACTTCTCAAATAATTTTATAGAAAATATATTTATTAATTTATAAATAATCCATATCCCTATCTACGATTAATATGAAATCTAATGGAATATCGATGTATTTACGAGATATAAAGTATCTCGATATTTATTTACTAATTGAAAAATATTATCATAAAGAAATTAACCGAATAAAACGATCATAAACCCCGACATCATTTTTTATTAAAAAAAAGAAAAATATGATACCAAATCATTCTATAGACAATTCAGAGAACTTATATTCTTAAATTCTACGAACTATTTCAGATTATTATCCCACTAACTATTCAAAACTTTCATATAATTCTCATCAAATCATATACTGGATAAAAGTCATATCTATTCAGAGAAAATACTTAAATATTCTAATTCTAAAAGGTAGAATGACGAAATCAACCAATTTAAACTACCTAGAACATCTAAGAAAAACGAAATAATATGGGTGATTGAATGATAGTTGAGAAGAACGGATGTTTAAACAGAATTGTAATAAATTTAGTCGGCATTCCCGGTTGATATATATATATAGTTTTGATTCCTTGATTTCTGGCCATAAATGAATGATTCTTTTCGTTGGCAACAACCTTATAAAGACGCTACTCGATATGTTACAGAGGTTTCGTCGGAACATGTCCAAGTTCTTATTCCAGTACAATGCGCTCTAGATTTTTCTGCGACGTGAAAATGATCCATCATGATAATCGTGTCAAACTATCTGAAAAACATTATCTTTATTGACTGATGAACCGGATGGAAATGCAATCGCCTTGCATGAACTCTTTGATTCTCTCCGCAGCATATTTCTAAAATCTAAACGCATTCGCCATCAGTCCTCCAAGTAGTTGGCAAATCATCGGCCATCCAATTGGCTGAGGCGCCTTCCAAAAAGCGGACAAGGGCATGTCTCCCAGCATCAACAGGCACGCGCCTCTCGATCTGGGCCTGTCGCGCAGCTGTCTCTCTGACCTGAAAAGTCTAAGACTTGTGCCTTTGCTAGACTTGTAACTTCAATCGGGTCATGCACCATAGCTGCGAGCTCTTCATTCGCCCACTGCACCTGTATCCATCACATGCGAGCCATGTGCGCTGAGAGTATAAAGTTGATTAATTCTGTACTCGCAGTGCCTTATAGTAGAGGGCATACCCGGACAAGGTACCTGCCTGCAATCACGGCATCTGCAACTTGCGCAAAGCTAGCACGGCCTGAAATAGGGCCCCGACGACAGTGAAGCCTGCAATGAAACTTCGAAGTCTCGCACCAAGAGGAGCCTTCTTCTTTGGCTTCGCCTGGTCCGCAATCTCTTACGTCCGAAGTTGGACGGCCTGGAACCAGCCTCAACCTGCTGCTTCACATCAGTTGATACTTCGGAGAACGTTCTCCTCGCTGGGCTCAAAAGCGGCCTGCGCAACTACTGGACGCCGGCGATATTAGAAACGGAAATCGACAACGAAATGACTGGTTGACTCTGGGCTGCATGCCGCATTCTGGATAGCTTGGAGACATTCTTACTCAACCTCATTGCAATGCTGCATTGGTGTCACATTCCCGACAAAGACATCGCCCGAGACGACGATTGGCACCCTCTGCACGAAGCTCAATGAAAAGCAGTGTGGCAAATTGGGCTCCCAGCATGCTTGTCATGCTGTGTAGGTCTGAGCCGGCTCTACCTGCTGCTCTGAGCCGCAGACTTCCGCGAGAGTCTGATGGACAGTTGGATTGGCAGCCCGCGCCAGCAACACTCGCTAGTAACGCTAGTAATCATGCCAGACGTCCGTCGTTCGGATAGGGCTGTCGTCATTTTGACCCGTGCAGCTGAGGAGTCAGTCCATGCATCGACAGATCCCAGATTTGCTGTCGGCCCTAAGCTGGAAAACTTGCTGCAGCACGGCTCATCAGAAGTTCTCAACCTGAGCTGCGGTTGTTGCTGCCAGCATTCTTGGAACCGACGACGCTCCACTCGATTGGACGCTGTGACGCTGTGAGCATTTCTGAAGGACAGCGTTGCCCCCAAGGCACATCAAGTCGAAACCCAGAAGTCAGTTACTTTGTTTGATCAAGCATCAACACCGATGGAAAGAACAAGACAGTAAACGATCATTTTGACCAACAACTTCGGACAGGAGCGACGACGTGACTGGCACCATGCTGCTGCCTGCTTGCCATCCGAAAATTGTTGGCTATATAACGTGGCTTCGAGGCTCCATTTCTTGAGTTTCGTGCTGGCTAATATTGTAAGCGGGCATCCCCACACATTCTTGCATGCAGGAGTGGATCAACGAGGCAGAATAGATCGATAGATCTGACAACCCAAACTTCGGCCAATGTTTCTTCTTCCTCCCGTGACGAAGCTTGGCTGGTGCATGCTGGTGCATGCTACGGCGAAGAAACGGTAGTGATCACTGATCCTAAGTCCGTCAGTGTGTAAGTCTCCTATTGAGGGCTTCCACACATCCCGCACAAGCTGGCCCAAGTATCTCAAGTGCCATGCAGGTTAATTTGCAGAGTGTTTGAGCCTGTCGAAATCTGAACTTTGTCAACACAAAACCCGGGACTTGAGCAAAGGTCGGCTTGGGAGGCGGAGCTAGTTCCTTGAGGCCTGGATTTGTTAGGGGCAGGTTTGCTTGTTACTTTGTCATGCCTGTACCTCTGTTCTAGGGTCTTGCACGTCCACATTCTACAACCAGGAAAGCTCGGACTCTGGTGTGTGTGTGTGTGTCCAACAGTCCCAGGGAAGCTAAAGCTTGCTGTACCTGTGGTGCATCTACTCGTTTCATACATGCAGACAGCCACAGACCCCTTCGTTTGCTTGTGGCGTAATGATTATGACCAGTCGGATTCCATGATTCCCCGTGCTGGAGGCATCTCGCAAACTTCGCAAAGTAGCTCGGCAATCTTTCCATGAGCTCTGGGTTTCGGACTGCATGAGCTGTGGAGAAGACCAAGGCACCCATGATACTGACCACCAGCACAACAGGCCCGATATTGTCCTGCCGGCGACACAAGAGCCGCTGCAAAGCATCAAAAAGGCACAACACTTGATCCTCGTAGCGCATGTCGACTTTATAGTCCAGGCCATCTGCGCGCCAGTTGAAAACATGCACTGACCAGGCCTCAGCGACGGGCAGAATCTTAGGATGTGTCGAGCAGAACGGCAACCGAAACTGCGACCCGGCAATCAGAAAAACGGCAGCCAACACAAGCAGCCGTCCAATTGTTGCATGAGCTGCCTCATTTGTGGGAGCTACAAGAATGCAAATGCAGATCTATGCTTTCATCAGCTTCGTGGCATTGTTGTCCCCGTGCCTCCTCAGAGATGTGGAGCATCAAAACTCCTGATCAAGTCTGAGTCTCGGTGGCCCTGGCCTCTAAGCCTATGACGCACGTTGCCCCTGCTGTCATTGTCTAACAGCTGGGCTCTCGACCAGCAGCTGCTACGATGGTGGCAAAATGAATCCACTCCAGAAAGGTGCGCTCGTTTGAATACCTAAGTGGGGGGCGTTGCCCGAGCGGTTGAGCAAGCCGCATCTGCATTCGGCGATGCATCAGGTTGCCTTCTGCTGGCACGTTACAAAGTCTTCGGCTGCACCGCAACGATTGCCCTTCTTGTGGGCTTGTCCTGCAAGACAGGCGAATTGCTCCATGCACCACCATCCTGTTGAGGACATCAGAATCAGCCGCGGCAAGCAACAAGCAGCGAGGTCGTTGCTTTTCTGGACATCCGCTCCCAGCAATCCTGCAGCATTGGATAGCCTATAATGGCCTTCAGCCCTGTGCCAACCCGTGCACTGTGGTGCCAGGCAAGCATCACCTGTTGGAGCGTTCACCAAAAAGTGTAGGGGCAGCACGCTGCATGAAGCCTTGCTCTGCCACCTGGATACCATTCGCATGCGTTTCGCAATCAGCAAAGCCGAGTTGGCGTTGCTTGTCAAGAACCGCCTTCGGTGCCGGTGTACTCCCAGAGAGCAGTGGCCTCAGGCTTTGTCGAACCCACTTCGCATGCCCAAGCCGGGCATGAGCATACGCGCTGTTCCTCGCATGCTATTCGAGACTTCCAGTCTATAGGCTAAGGAAGCAGCGCATTGAGCTTACCAGCATCATCGGCGGGCACCTTCTTGATATCTTCCACTGGCGACACGCCTCCGCAAGTTTAACGAGCAGAACCGCGCAAATCTGTCTTTACCCTCGAGGCCAGGCTCGGGCCCTCCACGGGCCTCTCTTGGCCAGAGCGATCCGGGTCAGGGCCATCTGCAACGCGAAGGCTCTTGGATTCCCGAAATCCAGAGTCGGAGTGGTACAGCTTTTCATGGAATAAAGATGCAATCACAGATAAACACAAACCGTCACTGTGATTTCGAGGCGCAGTCGAAAACGAGTTTCCACGAAACACGCGCGATTCAAAGATGGCAAGTGTTAGCATTGCGATCCTCGGAACGAACGTGGTCGTCAACGCTTCGTCGGATGTCGAATGCGGCAACATCTCAGCACTTATTATAGTAAATTTACATAATAGTAGGTTTTTGTGTGGTTCGGGTTGTTCTTATATCACTGGTGACTACGCGGGACTCCGCTGGATCACTGATTTAGATGGGGCGCGGGACTACGCAAACGCACCATGGATAGTTCTTGCCTACACAGCCTATGTGCTATGCAAGGGCAGTTCCTCAAGCATCTGGACTTCTGTCAGGCTTGCCTTGACAAGCTGCATCACTACAGAGACCCGAGCTGCTTGCACAGGTTGTATTGGAGTAGTGGAAACCACACGAAACCGCGAGAATGTACTTTTTCCTCTTCGCAACAGAGCGTCCAGGGCCTAGGGCGTTTGTGAACATTTTGCACACGTTACTGGACGCTTCTAGAAGGAAGGGCCAGGAGAGGTAAAAACACCGCTGTAGCGCACGAAATGGCACTGCAAGTCTGACTATTTGACTGGATGTGGCAAAGAGATGCGAGGCTAACTCATCTAGAAGATTCTGTGTTTACGAAAACCGCACTGCAGGCTCAGGAAGTCCCTACTCCAAGCTCGCACCTTCCGGTGCTAGGTTGGGGAGGTTTGATTTTTCAAGCCTGCGCGAGCACGCCTACGCAGCTCTTACCCTACAACAACCCTACGCGGGACTGCGCTCCTCAGCGAAGGCTACGCGAGCAAGCGGATACAAGACCTCCTTACATCGCGTAGACACGGCCAAAAAACGCGACTTGAGAAGCAAACAAGAAACCTTTGACTGTGACTTTCAGGAGCTTGTTGCGCTCCCGTCCGCATTCCGCGCAACCCATATAACGATAGGCTGCTACTTTCGGCGTCCACGTCCAGGGTCACAGCGCAGGGCTCGACGGTATCAAAGACAGGGTAGAAGTAAGTGGACTCCAGGGACTTGCCGTGCCTGCCCGTTAATGCTTTCTTGGGTCCGCGCAAGTGCAGCTGGGCCCTGTGATGGCTGCCCGATGGGTCGAAAACCACAACAAGAAGTGCGGTAGCATCCACCAGAGGCGGGAAGGATTGAAGGTGCCACAGCCTGTGGAATTCCCGCACGGTAGCTTGGTCGTCCCCAACGTCTCGAGCCCACTGCGGGAGAGGCCCATGCTGGCATGTGCAAACAAATAGAAGATGTTTGAAGCCTTGTGCCCAATCGGAAGGGTAGCTTTCCCGACCGATGCAGAGTGGGATCTAACGGTCCTCCTACTTGGACTTTCTTATGTTTGTTTTTGCAGGCTAGGTGCAGGCGACCTGGCTTTGTCAGTGAGAAGTTAAGGATTCTGAGCTGGTCTGGGTCAATCTGTTTCAGAGATCTTCCGAGGACAAAGGGAGTCTCCGGGTCTACGGAAGTTATGGACTGCGACGAAGGGGACCTTGGTGGCGGACTCTGACTCGCTCTGGCTCCTACCCGTAAGGCAGCACAACGGCTCCTTGGATGTCTCCTTGTCCCGTGCATCAACAGGTTACATCAAAAGCGAACGGCCTCCTGCTCCTGCTGAGGTGTCGTCCCGAACCTACATTGACAGTGCCCCTGAGGCTCAATCTCACGGCAAGCTGAAGCAGCGACAGAACTCCAAGGTCGAAGCTCGTGCAGTAGTCGTGCACTGCTCTCAGTCCATCTGAGCCAATGGAATACATAAAAATTCGTGTGATGGCCATTGTGACTCCCCACCTGTGCGGCGCATCGTCATCCCTGCCACTGCCACCTTCGCAACGAAATATCAAGACGTTGTATTGGATAGACCCGTCCTTCCGTTGTTGCAAGGCTCCGGCTTTTGACACTTCCTTCGGAAGGTTCCTGCGGCCTCAGAAATTCCACCCGGTTGTGTACCGTCACGAAGAAGCCGTCGGGTGTCATTTGATGGCCCGCAGATCTCTTGAATGGCCCGGGCATGTGAGCCTCGTTCTCCTCATTGTCCTGAAGGTCGGAGTAAACCTGGAGGCTCGGAAGCCAAGAACACATAGCTGCTAGCAGGCAGCTTTCAAATCGAAAGGTGTGCTCCGTCGCACCATCCGAGGCATCAACGTTTGCGTACCAGTGCGGCATTTGCAGCTTCAGCCTGGGCAGAGGCAACTGCCGGCCTTGGCCTTGCCCTCGAGGCATCGCTTGGGTCGCGGCCCCAAGGCGTGGAAGCGGGCGATGGCATGGGCTCCTTTGGAAAAGCCGTTCGCCTGTCAGCTCAAAGCACCCCTTTGGAATCTGCTCACTCAAAGAACTCTGCAGAGCCTGTACCACACTGCCGTCTTCAAGAAGGCCTAGCCACCTTCATTCACGGAGAAACTACGAGACCTCGCGCGCCCTGACTGACCACACCTTGGCCAGGAAGACTCCTTCAGACCAGGAGGGAATTTCACGGTGATGACCTTCAACGTGCTGCACAGGCAAGCGCTCGAAGCTTCTCTCTCTATGGCCCACGCCATGTATGGAAAAAAGTCCACAGAAGTCGGGCTGCCTGAGTCCCATTCCTGCGATAACCGCTGTACACATTGACTGGCGAATCGAGAACCCTCGGCACGCCTTGATTTTACCGAAACGCACATCCTCATCAAGGATGACAACAATGCCACCTGAAACATGACTCCGCCGGAAGCGCCCAACTATTTCCCTTCCCCTACAGCATGTGAGCATCCAACAATCATCCTGCAAGATTGAGCGACTGTAGCTCGCCTCCAACATGCATGTCTCGAATGCACCGGGAAGAGTTTGAGTATGAGTGGCTTCAATATGCGCCTCTGCCATCGGAATCAATGTATTCCCAAATGTTCTTGTTACCTCCGGGCTCTACTGGAAAGACCATGCATCAAAATTAAGACGCTCAGGCAACCGGCCTCCTGCATTTTGGCGGTTCCCACTAGCTTGTCAGCTGGAGGGTCCTCGGAGTCAATGCTGACGGCCAATGGGACTCGACTTTGCACACAGCTTCAGCAAAGCTCCAGGCACTGCCAATCACACCACGCACTCCAATAGCCCGAGCATCCAAGACGGTGCTTGGGACCTCCGACTCACCGCACTGTCAAAGTCTAGGACACTCCAACTGCAGACAGACGATGAACGAACATGAGCAGATATCAAGATACTCCAAGGACCGAGAGAGAAGCGAAAACTGACAAGTAACACCGGCGAATAGGACTCTAAAGCATCGCAGCGTATTGCTGCGCGCTTCCGGGCCGGAGGTCTGGCAGGGCCCCTACAAAAATCGCAGCGGTTCTTTATTTGACGGAAACACGAACTGGGCCCCCTTACTAGAGAGGCGCGGCTACCTGCCTGCTGTCCAATACGCAAGCCCACGGGTCACGGCTGTGTGTGCGCAAGTGCTCGTTTGCTTCTCCGAGCATCCACGGCCCTGAACGGTGACAAATGCAAGTCGTTTTACGCTGTTCCGAAAGTCGGTGGACAGATTTGACGCTAAAAATTCGTGGAGCACCTTGCAAACATTGTGGAATCATGAGGAATCATGCCCACAAGAGCATCTCGGCGAGGCTCGACATGACCGGCTCGAGATGACCGCCGCAGACCATGAGAAGGCAGAATTACCAGGCCTGTCCCTTCAGCAATCGCGCCACCTCATCACTCCTGCAGAGTCTGTATCTCCCAAACAATGCAGGCATCCCCGAACAGATGGCCTGATGAGTACTTCGGTTCTCTTCTTGTCTCCTTTCGCCTGGCTGATGGCATCTCTGACTCTTCAGCTTCGTTTGTACTGAAAAGGCCTGATACACGACGCACGCGACTTGGTTCGGATCACTTCTTCGAATGTGTATCGCAGCGCTTGACCTTGCACCAGCTATATCTCATGCTCATGCAGCAACAGCAGCGACAACAGCGACTTCTCTCTTGCATTGCCCTTCAGCACAGGGCGACATGCCCTGGTTGGACGGGAGCACATCATTGTAAACCTGCATGCTGTGGAAGCCCTCATCAACTTGGACATCAGCCTGGAGTACAGTACCTTGAAGTCCGGTGTGTCGAGAAAAACGGAGGTCGTCTTGGGTCGCGGCCTAGGTTCCGCCGAGATACACTTCACAGGTTCTTTGCCTGCTGGCTCCGGGCCACGGGCGCTTTCGCGCCAGCGCTATGGGCAGTGACATCCTCATGCTGTGACAGATTCGCTACAGCAGCTACAGCATGCAGCTTGTGGCTAGTCATCATGTCCTGAGCAACATTCCTTGGCACCATGAAGGCTGCGAGTTTGACTCGGAACTTCATAGCAGACTGTCCAGGGCTGCAAGATAACGGCTCACACCATGCTTTGCCTTGCTTTCACGACTCGCCTTTGCTTCCAGCAGGTAGGTGCTCTCAAGTGAGGATCCTGGACGATCTGTTTGCCAAGCATCTCTTTTCGTTCAACATGAACTCTCTGTGAGCAGGGCTGGTCTTGTCATCTGCACCAGAGAGACTGTGCTTGACATCACTGTACCTGAAGGCAAGTACTGGCAAGTCCACGAATACTTCGCAGGTGATGCAACTCAGAACTTATCGCATCCACACGACGAGAGGCTTCTGTGCCCTGCACTCCATCTTGCCCTGCTTAAGTCTGAAGTCTCAGGCTGCGACGGTGCTGCACCCTGCCAGATGGTAAAGACTCTCCAGCGCTATGTTCCCCGTTCGTACGGTCGTTTTCCCATCTCGTGCTCATGACTCTTCCAGACCAACAGAGACAATCCTTGCAGGAACAACTGAAGCAAGCGCCTTCCTTCGTAAAATCTGGGCAATGTCGCCAAACTTTGCCAGCATGTTGTCCTTGATCATCGAGCATTCATACGATTTTGTTCAGTCAAGGTGGGCCAATGAAGCTGCGGAGGCCCTGACAAAGTCCGTCGCCATAAGCGGGGCTTTCGCTACCTGGTCAGGGTTGTATGTTGTCTCATCCACGAGTCATCTGGCCATAGGCAGCCACAGCAGGAGCGATGCTCAAACGCACCGTCCAAACCGTCATCCCTCAGTCCCTGCTCGGGGCTTCATATTGAACTGAATTCCGTGGCCAGCCTGAGTCATGAACCACTGCATGATGAATTTCTTGCTCGACCTCATCAAATGCGAGAATGGAACCGAAAAACTGTTGAACAAGCGTGCGGTTTCGACGCGGCTTTTCTGCATCCGTGCTGCTTCTCGTACTTCTTCAATGCTTTTCTGAAGCCGGTGAAGTTCTGTTGCACGAAGAACCTTTCCCCGCAAAATACTGGTCTGGGGAAGACTCGAAACTCCCCGAGGATGTTCTCTGAGAGACTAACTTCAGGTCGCTAATGTCCGTGCCCACCTCCTCCAGCCTTTGTGGAATGTAAGCCACTTCTAGTTTCTAGTCGCCAGATGTTGCGAGGCTGTCGGGCTTCATCTGCCTTCGGCACAATGCCGCAACGGGCTTGGCGGCCAGAACATCCTGGAAAATGCAGCGAGCGGCACCGCCAGCAAGCACTAAGTTGGAGGTCCGGTGGTAGTCGACCAGGAGTCTACCATCTGCTGTTCGCTGCACGAAGGGGAGCCCAGAAGAATCAAGTAAATCGTATCAGTGCAGACTGGATGACTTCAGATCTTGTCGAGACGCTACCTCCAGAATCAAAAGACTTGGTTGCACTAAGCAGCTGAATGGCTCAATACTTAAAGTTGAAATGCAAGACATCACAGTCGAGCAAACAACAACGAGCCATTCGGTTCTCCATACTCTGAACATGCCCCAAAGGATGAAGCTGCCCAAAGTCTTCCCAAAAACGTTGCATCCCACTGCGACTAGATCAGCGGCACACTCATACAACGGAAAGCAAGGAACCAGCAGGGCATCGCAAGTGAAATTCAACCACCAACACTTTTGAGGAATGGCTTGAAGTCCGGATGAGACAGTGTGGACAGCTCTCCTGCTTCAAGGCATCCAGGTTCCGATGAATGCGCGCCTCGCGAGGCCGATGAGTTCAGAATATTCCGTCCCTCTCCGTGCCTCCCTCCCTTTCCGTCTACATGGGATGTGAAGGCTGGGCTCCTTTCACCCCGCTACTTCGGCATCAAATAGCAAAGCTCGCAACTGAGATCCGCTATCCCGGCGTGAAAGTCAGCCCCTTTACATGTAGTGACAATTGCAGACACCCAATGGCATGATGGTATCCACTGCAGACTACAACAACTGTCGAGTCGCGGGGTTGCGCCTTTGGGATTCTCGGCTTGTGCCTCGCTAAATAAGATCAGGCTTCAAACGGCCCGTCCCTCGCTGCCTCGCTCGGGAGCGATGAAGTACATGCAGAACACGAGTGAACCAACGGACGCTAGAGCTCCACAGAGCAAGTTAGTTATAGTCCCACTGTGACACACACACACAGACGCACACACACACACACACTCTCTCTCACTTCTTCAGCACTCTCTCTCTCTCGTTGGTCCGTCCCTCTCTCGATCTCTTCAGACTCTGGTCAGTGATGCAGTCCCCGCTGCCTCTTCGGTTTGGACAAACTTCCCAATGCGGGACAACTCCGCGGCTGGCAGAGGGCTCCAACTTGATTAGATGCTGACAGGTGTGCAACAGGCCAGGCTTGCTGAGGATGTCATTCAGGCGAGCCTGCACGGCCACACACAGGATTCCGCCAGGCAGGCCGGAAATCCTTTTTGCTTTCGCCCCACCTCCGGAGGCAGCTCTGGATTGGGGCCCAGTCGCAGGAATGAAGATGACCAATGCGTGACCTTGGTGAAAGGAAGTCATGAGGTACTGGTGGCTACGGCAAGTGCAAGAGAATAAGCCGAGGTCTGACTCAACAGTCGCATTGTCTTTATCCTGCGAGGCAAATATAGATGCTCATGCAACTTCATCCCGCCATCATCCGACTCACAAATTCAATAGTCTCTCCGCTCCCAGCCGAGCGCAGACAGAATCACAGAGATTCCGGGTACTCGCATTTCGTAGCCGCCTTCTACACCCTTCCTCCCGCTCCTAAAGTTTGCATTGAATAACTGGGGGGACCTTCGACAAACGACGACAAGCGGCCGGTGTGTGCATGAATTTTCTCGCCTTCGTTCGATCGGAAGCAGATGTGCATGTGCGGGCAGGCACACGAGGGGAGCTGGCCTACAGCCGAAGATAAGACAATGGGCCCTGCGGCAATGCACACATGCGGCGGTACCAAAACCGAAATCCGATTTGCAAGTATGCGCCCGTCCTGCCCAGTGTAAACCGAGATGGCCCTCTTGAGGTCCTTGAGACTGCCCATTTCTACCGTCTTGATCACGGGTTCAAGAACAAGTCCTCGTATTGGATCCAAGCACCCTGAAACTTCGGCCAGTTGTTCGAGTTGTAGGTCTCAAGCGTCTGGCCGAACCTTGGTGCACGCAGAACCCGGATACGCGAATCCAACATGCAGTGGCTTTGCACGGAGACATCTACGTCTACATCTACAATGACAAGCGGAGCCGTGCAGCCACATGAATGCTTTTTATCCACTGTTCTCGACGACGCTGCGCGAGACTGCCGAGTAGAGCCCGAGGATCACCAAGAGTCACCGAAGTCGGACCACGGGTTCTTGAAGCCGCGAACCGAAGCAGCCGGATACTTCGAAGACTGCATATTCCAGGAAAGAACTCAGCCCTCCTGACGAATCAATGCCAAGGACCTCAAGCCAGTCTTGCTGATCAGAGGTGCCATGCCCAGCGGTGCCAGGCTGTGTGGCTGTGCATCGGACGGCAACGGGACGTGATCTAGGGCCCACGAGCACGTTGATGCGCCAAGACATGTTCAGTTACATCATCGCCCGCCGGAGCTCGGAGCAGACAGAAGCACACTCTTCCATGTGTCTTGCACGTGTGTTGTGAAGGGACTTCAGAGATGACAGAGAAATAATGCATCGAACACGAGTAGGTCGCATCAAATTGCCAGGCATCCTCCATGCCACAATGAAGAACAAACTTGCTCCGGCTCCGCCCATGATGCCCAAGTCTGCACGATTCAGGGGCCTGCTTCTGTAGACTGACTTCCATCTCTGCGGCGATAGAAGTGGCTCCTCGAGTGGAACTCCCCCTCACACTGGACCTTCAGGCAGGCAAGAAAAGCTCGCAATGCATTACAGCAGGAATGCCGTGCAGAGAGGGACCCTGAGCATGTGGACTCAGCCAGCAGTCGAATAAGCCCTAAGCCCCAAAGCCCCAAGCCCTAAACCCTGAAACCTCAAACCCTAAAACCCTAAATCTGTTTTCCTGGCAAGTTTCTCATGACTGGGCTTGCTGACGAGCAGGAAACCAAGCCCGGCTGAGTGGTGGGGCTCTCTGCTTGAGGAAAGACTTGGGAGGGCTTGGCTTCCTGTCTCCTTCGTTTTATTAGTGCCGGCCAAAGAACTGTGGAAACTGCCAGGCCAAACTTTGAAGTGGACTCACATAGAGCCGGTAGCTGCAGCTCATCTGCAGATGGCACTACTGCTGTGACAATGCATGCCCGACCAGAGCCACCTCACGAGCGTGCAGAGTCAGAACAAACTTCAGCAAACACAAGTGGAAACTGCCAAATTCCGTGCCTGGTGCCAAATGCAGCCTCACATGACATGGAGAGTAAGCAGTCGCCATAGCAAGAGGGGCACAGCAAGCCACCGCAGCAACAGCTCTTGCGGCTCAGTATCTCGAAGAGTTGCAAGAGCTCTTCCTGTTTCAGGCTTCCCAGTATCGCGACTTCACGCTCCGAGCGGTCGAAGACAGGAAAGCCAAAGCTGATCCTGACGCAGAGTAAGAGCATCGAGGCTCGTCCACAAGCGAGCCACAAATTGAATACAGATGCCAAGGAGCTCAGACCAGCATGCACCATGAGCTTCGCCCAGCGTCCTCTTAGGTTCCAGCCATCTTCCTGCACATGACGGGATGCCTTGTATGTTAGTTTTCTCGAAAGCATCGCGAAGGGTTCTTCCGTGCGGAGCCCTCGAGAGAAGTACATAGATGACAGACATAGAATCGAGCACACAGATGACATGCAACGAGTGAAGTACATAGAGTCGAGTACATAAATGACTTACCAACACTCTAACTCTATGCACTGTATGCTATGACTCTATGTACTTGACTCTATGCGTTTGACTCTATACGCTTGACTCTATGACTCTATGAGTCTATGCACTTGACTCTATGACTCTGTGCTATGACTCTATGTACTTGACTCTATGCATTTGCCTCTATGTACTTGACTCTATGACTCTTTGACTCTATGCTATGCTGTGACTCTATGCACTTGACTCTATGACTCTATGCTTGACTCTATGCACTTGACTCTATGACTCTATGCTATGACTCTATGCACTTTGCTTGACTCCCTACATCTCGGTATATCTTATTCTCTCTTAAGCCAGGGGCGGCACCGTCGTGATCGATCGAGAATGCAACCCTTCACAGGGATTGGACTGGTCGAGCGCCCAAACGCTAGGTAAAGTAACACATTTTAGGCGCCACGCGCAACCCTTTGCATGGATTCGCCTGGTCGAGCGCCCAAATGCTAGGTAAAGTAACACATTTTCGGCGCCACGCGCAACCCTTTGCATGGATTCGCCTGGTCGAGCGCCCAAATGCTAGGTAAAGTAACACATTTTCGGCGCCACGCGCAACCCTTTGCATGGATTCGCCTGGTCGAGCGCCCAAATGCTAGGTAAAGTAACACATTTTCGGCGCCACGCGCAACCCTTTGCATGGATTGGCCTGGTCAAGCGCCCAAACGCTAGGTAAAGTAACACATTTTAGGGTTCACGCGCATGCATGGATTGGCCTGGTTGAGCGCCCAAACGCTAGGTAAAGTTACACATTTTGCGGTCGACGCGCAACCCTTTGCGTGGATTGGCGTGGTCGAGTGCACGAACTTGCAACCCTTCACAGGGATTGGCGTGATCGCGTGCGCGAACGCGAGGTAAAGTTGCTACTTTGAAGCGCTTTTAAGCAACCCTTGACAGGGGTTAGCACTTTGCTACCCTTCACAGGGATTGGCATGGTCGAATGCACGAACGCGAGGTAAAGTTACTACTTTTGATGTGCATTAAGGTGAAATTTGCAACCCTTCACAGAGATTGGCGTGGTCGAGTGTTCGAACACGAGGTAAAGCTAACACTTTTGCTGGGCATGATCCATCGAAGGTGTAGTAGTAATAGTAGTAATAGTAGTAATAGTAGTAATAGTAGTAATAGTAGTAATAGTAGTAATAGTAGTAATAGTAGTAATAGTAGTCATAGTAGTATTAATAGGAATAGTAGTAGTAGTAGTAGTAGTAGTAGTAGTAGTAGTAGTAGTAGTAATAATCGCTGGTGATCGCTTGCTACTCCTGGCCTATCACATCGACTCGCCTCAACGCTTGTGCAATGAGGATCGCCGCGTTTTGGTTAAGTCAGGCTTCATGTCATCGTGGATTACCAGCTCGACGATCTGAGGACTCCGACAGGGGCATCAAAGCAGCGATGGGGCGCAGCAAAAAATGATTCTTCTTGCCTGTTGCGGCGCCTCCTTGAGCAGTGCTTTTGGTGCTATGCTATACCGACTGAGGTCATGCGATCTTTCGGGCAGCGGGTGCTCCGTGAAAATTGAATCCTCCTGAGTCTCCTAGGCGATGAGGGTTAGCCGATTCTGTTTGTATAGTGGCGATGGCTGATTGTATGTCAGGCCTGCTTCTTCTGTTAGCTGATTCTCGATTCGCAGTTCCTGGTCAAGGATGGCCAACGATCAATCACATGTGTCGGTTGCTGGGACCTCGGTCCGAACCTTGAGCATGCTAGGCTCCGTGGAGCGATGCTCATTCTTTTATCGGGAGTGTCAAAGACATTGCTGTCAGTCAGCCGGGCAATATGCCCGCCCAACGGCCCGCTAGGCAGACTTGGACTCTGTCGCGATCGAGAGAGAGAGAGAGTAATACTCGCAATGCTAGTAATAGTAGTAATAATAGTAGTAGTAGTAGTAGTAGTAGTAGTAGTAGTAGTAGTAGTAATAGTAGTATTAGTAGTAAGAGTAGTAAGTGTAGTAGTGATAGTAGTATAGTAGTAATAATAGTCGTAATAGTAGTAATAATAGTAATAGTAATATTAATAGAAATAGTAGTAATAGCCGAAATTATCGTAATACTAGTGATAGTAGTAATAGTACTAATAGTAGTAATAGTAGTATTAGTAGTAATAATAGTAATAATAGTAATACTAGTAATAGTAGTAAAACAGTAGTAAGAATAGTATTAATAGTACTAATAGTAATAGTAGTATTAATATAGTAATAGTAGTAATAATAATAGTAGTAGTAGTAGTAGTAGTAATAGTTTGAAACCTAGAAGCACTAAACCCAGAACCCTTTGAAACCAGAAGCCCTAAACCGCAGCGATAAGCCCAGAACCCCTGGAACCAAAAACCCCTAAACCCAGAAGCCCTGCACCCAGAAACTTTGAAACCCAGAAGCACTAAACCCAGAACCCTTTGAAACCAGAAGCCCTAAACCGCACTGCCAAACCCAGAACCCCTGGAACCAAAAAGCCCTAGTCCCGACACAAGCTGACGAGATTTCAAACACATCGATCTCGGCATTACTATGTACTTCATAGTTAGATGCACTTCACTCTATGACTCTATGGTTCTATGCACTGGGTTCTATAACGTAGCGCAAAACTCTTCGCTAATGATGCTTTCGGGCCAAATGTCTTCCAGTTTTCATCAGTGCACTCGCGGCCTGCAAGCGCAACGATGTGGCTCTCAAACCTTGCTGGCGACGAGACGATCTCTCACAGTGACATGGAACGGCCATGAACCCAGCACGTTGAGAGCTGCCGCCACGTGCAAGTTGGGCCACTTGCCGGTCTGCCACTGTCGCATTTGTTGCCCGAAATCCTGCCGGACAGGGTGGTGATCTCATACATGCCCAGAAAGCGCAACCGAAGGCGTCCTGCAAAAACTGCATAGCTCGTTCCACTAAAATCGGCGGCATCTGGACAGCGCTGAGGATGTATATGCTGAATCCTTCAAGCAGTGATCAGACTCATCGAAGCCTATATCAAGATGCGGCAAGCAGCAAAATGTCTGGAAAAACACATACTTGGCTGTTGGCCTGGCACGCCATATGAGTCCTTATATCATCGTGCTGCTGAGTCTAGCAGAGCAGAGCAACGCTTGTCGCTTCGATAAAAGAGGCCTCGTCGACTCTTCTTTCGGACAAGCGTCACGCATGCTGCATCCAACGCTGTATCCCAGCTGCTGCTTCGTTCGCAGCTCATCGAAGAGGCTCTCATACATGACATCTTCCAACAAGGCCAGAAGCACCCGGACCCGAACCCGGTCCTGGTGCCGTGGGAACAGGATTGCCTAGAAACTGGATAGTACAACTACCGAAGGTGGATTGATGCACATCTGACAATCTGACAGCCCGCGAATCCCGCATCCTCCTGCCATTGCCACGTGTCTCGCTGAGGCAGTTGAAAATAGATCTCGACTGCAGAGTTCGATTGCGTGGTGTCGACTGCAGATTGCATCCATACTGTCGCCGATCCCACAGGAAGCTGCACCACATCCACCTCTACCTTTGTCTGAGGTTCCAGCCTGTAGCCATCAAAGACTGTTCCTGCCCAGCCCATCAATTCCTCTGCCGACGTATTCCCAGAAACCAAGAGCTCACACCCCATTACAGAATTAAAGCTCTGGACGAAGGCCATGAGTTTCTCCGAACCGCAGGAGTTCAGTTGTGCTTCCTTCCATGAGGGTCTGGGCATGGACGGCATCAGCAGAAGCTTGCGAAGATCTGAACAGTGCGCCTGCGGCTTCAACCATGAATTCCTGTAGCTTCTAAGCAGAGCCTCGTGCATTGCCAGGAAACGGTCTGCTTTGTACTTCTCCAGCTTCCGACCACACAAGGTTGTCTCCACCAGGCGTAAAAGCTTCTGACTGAAGCCTCCAGCTCTGATTGTCAAGCCATAGCTTGTACTGTTCACCGCGCAGTGCAGTCTCGCCTTGCCAGCGGCATAAAGTGTCTCATTCAAGCTGTCATTGAAGCATAGTGCATAGAGTTCCAGCAACGCCCCTTTCTGCACGTTGTCTGCGTCCAGCGAGTAGTATGGTGAGTGCATCTTCACTGAGACTTGGCTGCGCGGCTGCCTGAACCGATCTGCGCAAGGCAGGTGCCACAATTTCAGACCTGACGCAACGCAGGACGTGTGCCACACAGGGAAGCGAGGAGGCCTACAAGTTCCAGGGCGCAGAAGCCCCTTTCGTGCAAACCCTTCTGCCAATCCTTCCGCCCCTCCTCCACCTCCTGCTTCCCCACACACTTCTGCAAGGGCGAAAGACCGTCTTATGTATTGCATCAACCTGGGACAAGCCCTGAAGGTTTGAGATAGTTCAAGCATGTCTCGTTCGCCCAAAATCACCTTAATATGCACCGGCTTATGCACTCGCTGCAACTATGCCCTTCCTCGGAGCAACCGCATCTGGTGGCCTGAGCAGATCCGATCCTTCCACGCCCACAGTCCCAGAGAGATTTCCAGGATTGAAAATTCTGTGTCCAGCTCTGGTCTTCAGATTTAACAAAAACATTCTCAGGATTGTTTCTCAACGTCAGCATCCTGTGCCTGCAGCGCTGGATCTGAGAGGTTGAGGAGACGGTAAAAGCCTTCTCACCGTAGGGAAGCTCTCGTAGCCTGTCTTGGGTTGTGGGAACTCCTCCACCACTGTGGCATGCTGCAGAATGGAGAAGTCAGTGGCGATAAAAGGGTTCGGTGGTGGAACATGCAGCTTCGCTGCCGTATGCAGCGATTCCCAGCTCAAGAGGCGTGTCTCTTCAAGCGGGGAGTCCCAGTATTCGGTTCCGAAGTAAGGTTCCACCTTCGCTTCACATCCAGCCAACTCGACAAAATGTGGATCCACATGTCCCTGCCCGACAGCGGCATCTTCCATGCATGGCTCCCCTTCTTGAGGGATGTCTTCGTTGACGGCATCCAGGCCACCTCCCGAAGCATCAATCCCGAGTGCACGAGCACAGTGCAAGATGTGAAAGCCTGCCTGCCTGCTCTGCCATAGGAGCTGCTCATCAGCATGAAAAAACATCCACGAACTGAAAGCAAGTTCAATATGGACCTTATCTTGAGATTGGGAGAGTCTAACTCTCCGACCGAAAGCGCTCAGGGCTCAGAACTACAGAGCTATTGCTGTGCGAAGCAACCTCACGAGGTCCTCTCTGAAGCCAGAATATATCCACGGCGCAGTCAGCAGATGATCTGCTTCATGGTGGTAGAACGGCAGCATGCGCTCCTGAGTTCACAGCATCGTGCATAGTGACATACTGCATCATGCGTGCTCACTTCAACTCGCTGTCGGGCTCAGGACTTGCTTTTGCACGGGTCGGAATCGATCGTGTCACCAGGGCCGTCCATCCTGCTACCCTCAGGAACGCAAGCTTCCCGTGCCCGGGCAAGCCATCCTCAACCTCCCCCAAGTACTTGCCGAGACTCAGTACACAGTTATCTAGCTTGACTGGCCGTCCGTGTTTTATGCAGTATGTCATCAACGACAGCCAGAAACGGACGACGCACTGCACAAACATGCTTGATCCTGTGGCAAACACGAATACTGGTGAAACTCTTTGGCTGAGCGACACTCAAATCGATGACCAGGTCCCCAGGATCCTGGTTGCTGATGAACCGGGAAGGCTACGAGAATGACTTCTGTTGCAACCTGTGAACGAGCCGATCCTTCTCCTGCAAAAACCTGAATGAGCATTCTGCCATCTGCTTCTTCTCGTCATAGAGGTACGATGGCAGGCCACCGTCGGGATACCTCCTCAGCATGTCCAGGTATTGGAAAACAGTCGCCACCACCTCTGTCCAGTGGCCAAGGCCATTGACGGTCAGTGTGATTTCAATAGTGAAGATCATGGAATTACCTGGCTGGCGCGTGGACCCAAGTCGCTGCAGCAGCATGATCTTCAGATGAGCGGCTGCTGTGGCTGAAATTATCACCTCCTGCCCCAGCACAAAGATCCGTGGCCCAACCCATGTCTTTCAAATAGGACAGGATGGACCCATGTCCCTCATCACCTGGCATGATTTGACAGCTCGATATAATGAAAAAGCCCAGAAATATCCAGACTGTTCCTCAACATCCACACGACATCCGTGGCCTATGAGACTGCTGAGGTAGCTTTCTGGCTTACCTCGGGGCCGTCACTCATGAGCGCCGTCTCACACAAGGCGCTGCCCCAGCCCCAAGTGTTGAAGAAACCTCCAGCGCAGCTCGGCCACTCTTGTAATGTTTGAGTTGTGAAGGCAACTGCCAGCTCAACCACAGCACATGTCCATCACATATAGGCCGTACACGCACCAAGCGAGGCAAGTCCTCCACGGCCAGCGAGCGGCATGAGGATGCGTGAGGCTGTGCACAGACAAGCGGAGCGTGCCCTAGTGTTGGAACCAGTCCTTGACGCACAAAGGCAGGCCATGAGCTTCAAAGTCCAGCTGCTCCACACCAGTAGACGGAGGAATGACCGAGAAGGCATCGACAACCGCAAGTTCTAACGAGTCCAGGCTTTCGATGCCAAAAACACTCACCCGCATTCTGCTAGCCTGACACAGGCTGGCCATAGACTCGATACCTTCCAATGAGCAGGTGACCTGCCTTGTAGTGACGATCGAAGAAGTCTCTCAGCTCTGCGTGGAGGTCAACCCCCTGATTCGGATAGGTCGAAGGAATCATCATAAGACTTAGCCAATTCCAGAAGGAGCTATGCCTGCACGCTCTGCGAGCCTGAGCTTGGGGATCTGCGTGGAGACTTTGCATGTTGCCCCAGCCGAAGCTCCTAGCGGACCCAGTTGAAGCAGGAGAATTCGCGGCTGGTGCTTGTTCCGATCTTGGCCGCACATCTTGCATGCTGCTTGCGCATTTACTAAGTCGCGAAGCATTGTTTGACGAGACGTGGCTGTGACACGGACGAGGCTTTTGGAGACCCGGTACCAAATGTTTGGTACTGATCGCTGAGTTTCTGCTGGTCTCGTCAGGCTGAGAGGTCCTCCAGGGATGCCCCGGCGAGGCGAAGCTCGCGAACAAGGTCTCTCCACGGACATGGTCCTTGGATCACAACCCGAAACCCCCGCAAGGCAGCCAAAGCGAGGCCAATGCGAATCCAGCAACAAGTCGGGAAATAAGGGTCCAATCGAGTGTCGCTTCTTCGCTTCTTCTGAAACTCAGACTCGATGGCCTGACATTCTGCTCGTCGCTGTGCCCGTCAACAACATTCTGCCAGGTGGTTTCTCGGCGCCTGGAGCTCCCTTGCAGATGCATCTTGTGTGAAGAGCGGCTCATGCAGAAGCTCTGCGAACATTTTCAAGGCATGGTGGAGGGCCTCTCCAAGCAGATCAGATGAGCAACGAGCTAACTGCATCGATTCCCCGGCCGCGCGGCCTTGCGATTCACGTCGAAGTAGAGGCCTTCTGGAATCAGCTTCGAAAAGACCCTGACAGCCGAAGCCTCCACGTGAGTGCCAAGGTGCAAGTATACTCGCACTCCGTGTAGGCATTGGACTCCCCTCCATTCTCGGACAAGAACTCCTCGAACTGTGCCTCGCCTGGATAGCGCCTGCTCCCAAGAAAAATCATGTGTTCGCCTTAGTTCGCCATCTCCGATGTGACCACGGTTGTAGCAGCAGAGACCGACATGCAGTCATCCAATTTGATCTGCAAATGGCAGTAGTGCGCCAGGCCCTGACAATGACCAGGATCGCTGAAAGAGCCAACCTGCAAACGGGAAAGAATGGACGACAGCGAGACCTTGGATCCTTGTTTCGAGTCGCTAAGCTGACACAACCTGACTATGAGACCCTGAACCAACACTCCAGCACAACGCCTGTATGCTGCATGCGCAGGCAGACTTCTGCTTCTGCTCATCGGAGTTGGACACCAGGAGGGCTTCGATCCCGTTTCCCAAACGGATCAGACGGTAGCCTTGCAAAGGACAAACAGAACGGCGATGTGGCCTGCTCTTAAAGTCGCGAAATATTCCTGAACTCCACACCGAAGGGCTGTTACGATCATTTGGAGACTTGGTTGACTCGAGCGATGTGCCTTGGCTTGCTCGGTGCTGCCGCATGGGAATTGGTCAACGTCCCAGCTTGCCCATTTTTGATAGGTCTAAGCCCAGATCACCTCACCTATTGCATTGCGCAGCCTCTGACCACCTCTCCATGCCGCTACGGCACTGAGGTCCCGAACGTATGCTGCCATGGGCTGGCGCCAAGCACCACGAGCGGCGCGCACTAACCACGACGTCGTCAAAGCCGAGGCTCACAATCCCGAAGTGGAGAGCCGCACTCGGCTCTCTACCACAAACCAGGCGGCATGGGCGGTCTTCTGATACATGGGTCAAGACTCAAGACCCAGGCAAGCAGCTTGAGACGAAGGGTCGCAATCACGCAACCTAGAGTAAAATGTCTCCAACATCTCGAGATTCCGCTGCCTTTGCCTTTTTCATCTTTGCCGGTATCATAACTGAGCCTCCAACTTCACCATGGCGGCGCGATTGTGTCTGCTTGGCACGTTATAAACTTTTGAACAGGTGAGGCCCCATCCATGTACGTCGGTCGTATGAAGTCGTGCATATTATGATAAACAGGTGAGGCACCATCCGTGTACGCAGGTCACATGAAGTCATGCATTTACAGCCACATTTGGAACACCAAGTGGAAGAATCAGACTAGTTGCTGCTACTGTGTATTTTTTGCGGTAGCCATCGCCCCTGAGCTGGCAACAAACACCTGGAAGACTGCAACAAGTTTTGCAATGACTTCCATCACGAGCCACATGCTGTCAAAGGGTCGCAGATCTGTGTCATGGACTGCGATAGCTTTGTCGGCTTTGTAGCGGGCACACCCCTGTGCTAGAGCCTCACTGAATTAGAGCTGAGCCGCTCTACTAGGATCTGTACATGGTTTGTTTCGGGGAACCCTAATTAGGCATCGAATTTGCAGCTGGTGCTGCACCGCTTCACAAAGCCCACCTGGGACTTTCGGAGTGGCAGGCCTTGGTCAAAGCCTGGGTCAAGGCTGCGACTCAGTCGGCTGCGGGGAGAGAAGATTCGTGAGAGACCGTGCCTCCAGCTCACGTTGCAGGTCCTGCACTCTGACGGGAAGGCATGGAAAACAAGCTACCCAATGCTTGCTTGTGAAGAAACTCTCCTGAATGCGACGCTCGCACTTCTGATGGTTTGAGGCCCTGCTCCGCTGGGCCTGCAACATGAGCTCACACGACAAAAGCCGAGAGCACGCTTGAGGATTTCTCGATCGGCTCTCGTCATGGTAAGAAATGAAATGTCGATGTGATTTTCTGCTAGTGCATACCATCAGGATTTCTCGTTTTCAGACCAAATGATGGACCTGTGGCTACACCTAAACTTGGCACTACTAAACAGTCTAAACCACACTAAGTCGCTGAACACGGCCTCGTCCTGCCTCGGGTGGCTTCACCAGTGTGACATGGTGTGACCACAACTAAACTCAACGAACTAGCCTAAAGTGAAATCCAGGGAAAAACCGAACTATGTGAACTCACGATAGAAGAAGCAATTGAGTTTAGTCGACCATGCTCGTTGCAGCTGACGCAACTGAGTTGAAGTTGCTAGAACGAACTACATTACGCACTTGTAGTTGGCTCTCCCTAGCCTGGCCTGACCCGCCCCCAATTAGCTTCACACCTACCTGCCACATACTTCAAACCTGATATGCCAAATGCCGACTGTCTACGAATGCGAAATGTCGCTAATTCATCTGCTAACGAACTGACCGTCACATGAATCCTAGCGACACACATGCTCACAAATTTCTCCACGCCTTCAGCTCATTGCGAAGCCCTGTCTGTTTCTCAGAGAGTTCTTCGCGCTCCTGCCACATTGAGACGCTGAAACTTCGTCTCGATCTCAGGGACTACCGCGTTGCTGAGCGACTCTGTTGCAGAGTAAAGCACAATTCTGACGTTGTCAATAACGGCCTTCTCCTTGGCTCGACAGCGAGCTGCGTCGATGCTGATCGCCTCCTCCGTGGACAGAAGAGTGACCAGAGCAGTGCAACCTTTTCGAAGGTTCTAAAGCTGCAAGGCATCACCCGTGGCCCGTGTCCTCGAGCTCGGCGATTCGCACTTTCGCCAGGCTATGCTCCCTAAGGGCAGCCTCTGAAAAATGGACTTTACTGCTCGGGACGAGCCACACCAGCGCTTGCCTTGATGCTGCGCTCCATTCCTTCTCGAGTCTGCATGGCGACCTGAGTATAATCACCAATGCCTGTCGGAATGGTGAGAAAACGACTTGCCTCGAAACGATTCTTCACCTGCTGCTCTTCGCGCTCCACGCGCCTGTATGTACAGACCGGATTCAACCAGCTTCTTTGCCAGGCAATCATTCCACACCATCCCTTCACTTTGAGTTGGCACTGTGGTCCAATCGATGCCGCCTCTGCATTAACTGCACTCGCTCTTTGGAGGCTTTCATGGTGCGCTGCAGCCTCGCTCTCAGGGTCGCCTGCCATTCTGAACACCAGGGAGCTGAGAGGCTGAGATCGACGTGCCGAAGGCCGTGCACCTCGTGCTCGGCCAAGCAGCCCTGGTTGGTAGAGCCGCGTTCTGCCTGCAGTGACCCCGAGTGTGATGAGGAATGCATCTTCAGCGGTAGTGCAGCAAAGCGTCGACCGATCTAGATGTGATTGGCTTCACCAGCCTCCCGAGCAGGGCTGCAATGTTGAACCTAGGACCTAGCTGCCTAGCTGACCTACACTAGTCACTAGTTGTTCAGCATACCGTCCAAGCGAAGGTTCCTGCCTTGGTTCTCTCTGCACCGTGCGGGTGCTGAAGGCCGCCGCTGCCTTGCGATTGCTTTGGGCAGAAGCTGCTGAAAGGCAAGAGGGTGCGAGAGCATGCCTGCGGCGACTTTCTTGGCGGAGCCATGGGAGAGAAAGGAAGACTCTTCGACTGCGGCGTCATTGGAGACACTCTGGCCTGGAGGGGAAGGCAAGGCGGACTTCGGACGTAGTGCTGGCCGTAGGCCTCTAACCCATCGCACCGAATGTTTCGGACGTGGGCCTCAGCTCCGACAAGCAATGCTCCGCGGCCAGTCCACTGTGGGGCCGCTGCTTGGAGGAGTTCGTTCCTCTGGCACAATCTCCTCCTGGCGACATCGAGTACATGAGCTGCACGAATACTGCCAAGCTTCTTCTGCACGTGTCTTTGGAACTGGGGGCCCTGCACCAACTCTTCGTGCGTCTTCAAACACCGCTGAAGCTTTTCGGCAACACCCTGACAGAGGCATTGGTTCAACTGGCATCCGCTCGCACACGCGAGAGCTCCAGTCCTCGGGTAGCTCTGCTAGGTAGTCCAGCATGGAGAACTCAAGAGGCTCCTGCCATCATCGCAACGAAGTCTCGGGCACAGCGCCCATAATACCAGCGCCTCTACATCCACATCAGCTGCAGACCTTGAATGTGGACTGGTTGTTCCAGGCCAACCATGCAAGAACCGGCCTGTTGGATGCCAAGTCATCTTGTGTCATGCCTTGGGAAACAAGAATCGCGTCCCGGAGCACTTCAATATTTCCACAGTCCCCTATCTCTAAAAATCTGGCCACGGTCGCCAAAGACAGGCGCAGACGAGTCATGCTGTTTGGCGAGTCAGAGCACAAGACAGACAGACAACACCACGACTTCCCTACCGTGATGAGTTGAGGCTACATAGGCCTGAAAGCAACAGCCATGTTCATGAACATGCAGTTCGTGGCACAAACTATTGACAAAAAGGCAACACATCCAGCGCTTGTTAACTAGAACATCTTGAAGAAAGCGTGGTGGGTGGCTGGGTGGCTGGGTGGCTGGGTGGCTGGTTGGCTGGGTGGCTGGGTGGCTGGGTGGCTGGGTGGCTGGGTGGCTGGGTGGCTGGGTGGCTGGGTGGCTGGGTGGGGTTGTGCGTGTTTGTGGGTTTGGCTGGCGTGCTTCTCTTTGCCTGAGCTTGCTGTCGACCAACACAACGAAAAGATGCAAAAAGGGTACCGGGCCTGTCAGGCTGCAAACAGCCGAGACCCCGGCAATTTTCTTCCTCGCTGTCCCACATGCAGAAACACTCGGCTTCAGGAGCCTTCGGCATGTGCAAAAACTTGGCGGAGACACGGTAACAGCTTGCACTTACTTCCTTCCTTCCTCGTCCTCTTCGTGCCTATATGAACCCTCTGTCGACTGAGTTTCGGTGTACTCGATGGTGATGATGATGATGATGACGATAACAAGGATTGCAATCACCAGCATTGCTCTGCTCATGATTACCGCGGTTCCTACCATTACGAGACCCAACCTTCCAATGCTTGCAGGCGACGCGTCAGAGCAACTGCAAGTATCTGAAGTACTACTGCTAGTACAAGCAACAACGAAATGCCAACATTTCTATTGTGGTGTCTGTTCCTTTTCATTTGGTCGTATGTCATGACTGACATTACTGGTTTTGGTACTGCTGCTCTTGTCCTTCTCCCTGTTCCCTTTCTGTCCTTGCTCACTCTCTTGCTTGCTTGCTTGCTTGCTCACTCTTCTTGTTGTTGTTATTGTTTTCTGCTTCTTGCTCCTCTTATTCTTCTTTCGGAATTTCTTATTTGCTTGCTTTCTTCTTCTTCTTCTTCTTCTTCTTCTTCTTCTTCTTCTTCTTCTTCTTCTTCTTCTTCTTCTTCTTCTTCTTCTTCTCTCTCTCTCTCTCTCTCTCTGCCGGGTGTAGGGGCGGGTCAACGTCCCCAGGCCGAACGGCCCACCCACTACCTTGAGTGGATATATGGGGAGTGAAAGGGCGATGACTTTGTTCGACCGAAAAGGTAAAAAGAGTACGTATTACGGAATAGTTGGTTTCGGTCCAAAGTCATCTTTCATAGACATTTGAATTTGCGAAGGTGTTGTTGCTCCCCCGGATTGTGCAGACAGCTTGTACTCCAGGTCGCCCCCATGAGGGCAAATTGGTTTTGGGGAGCAACTGCTTTGCTTGTAGCATTTAGGTTCGCGACTGTGTCAATCCCTCCCTCTCTCTCTGATGTAAGCCCTTCTTCTTGGCGTCTTGGTTCCTCTTCTTTTGCCTCTCCGTGCCTCACTCCGCAGCAGGAATGAGGGTTCCGTGAGCTGCCGACTTCCCCTCTGTTTGTCGCACACCTATGCGCCTTGCCGGTAAGATGCGAAGCTAGTGAAAGGCGAGCGCTGTTCTGTCCTGCTTCTGGCCTTCGGTTTAGTCTTCTTCTCGTCCACCACAGGTTTCCATCTCTGCTCTCGTTGTTACTGTTCTTCTCATTATGCTCCTTCTTTTTTCTGCCTTCCCTCCGCGGCTGACAGCATGGGCTGCTCATGGGCACCGCCCTGCATCAATAGCAAGTGCCTTCTTGCTAGCGGATTCCCCTTCCAGCAAGGCGACCTCCTGGAATGCAGGTCTTCTGCATGCAGTCTAGCCACTTATGTCCTAAAAGTCTCAAGTAACACAGCCCATGTGATCTCCTGCAGATCGTCAAGGGGCATCTCCGTGCTGCTCGAAGCTTCTTGCTCCGAACAGACCACAGAGCTGGGATCTGTGGTTGCCATCGAAACGGATGGCGCGGCATCCGTTTCGATTGGACCCAGGCCGATGCCCGGCAAAACGGTTGCCTCCTCGGACTCCGGGCCCGCGAGGCCTGGCTGGTCTTCCTCGATGGGGTCCAAACTGGCCTCCATCGGATCCTGTCTCGCGGCGACTAGGAACAGCAAGTGCAGACCTAGAGCAAGAGCAGACGGGTCCTGGAGCTGGTGCCCAAGCTCCATACAAGGCTGCGAGGAGCCGATCTTCTCACGGCATCGCTGCTCCCAACCTCAGAGGTCTCAGACGTCCCCAAAACTCAGATGTCGAAGGCCGGAAAACTGTCGCCCTTTAGACTTTCTTTCCTCTGCGACTGCTGCGCGCACGCACATTCCCAGAAGAATTCATTCGGATTGGTCGCAACCATGGCAATCCAGGATTTGGTCACTAGAAATGAAATGAAAGTCACTGTCGCGCTGGAGATCGACCATGCAAGGGTGGGTGGGGGGACAGTCGTACGTGAACAGCGATCCCACATGAAGGGCTCTGGATTCGACACAGAAAGCACAGGAACTTGTTTTCAAGTGGCACAGGCAGCAGGAGCATTGCAGGTAGGCTTATGCACAGGGCACCGATGGTGATAACAAGCTCCAGCTGCACTGATTTGGATTCGGATCTTTGAGCTTCTGGCAATCAAGGTTGATGCGTCCAGGTGTTCGAGACGGGGACGGCCTGTAGGTGCCAAGAGAAGGGGGAAAAATCATGGCCGGGACTGACGTCTTCAAGATTTCGCTCAAGGCTTCCGGCCCGGGACTGTCGGTGCTCTGAAACTTTCGAGCCCGCTGCGTCACCTGAAACACTGCCAGGCGTCACCCACGAGCACAGCGGCAGAGCGGCCCCGCCCGTCCTCGCCCTTCTTCTCCAGCGAGACCAGCTCATCACGTCGGCTGCGCCTCGCAAGAAAAAGTCAGGGCGAGCTCGGCTTCCAAGCACCAAGTGGACCGAGTGCCTCACCTCTCCTTTGTCTGGTCCAGCGGGCGGGTCCCTACAGGCAGCGGCAGCGGATCTTCGCCCATGCGAAGCCGCCTGAAACCAGCCAATGTCAGCACGTCTCCTGCAAGGTTTCTGAGCCCGAGAAAGCGACTGCCGGCGCAATTTCTGCAGCAGCTCTTCATTGGCCATTCACCTCCAGCCCAAGGTTGCACACAGAAGCCAAGTGCAACGGCGGGCTTGGGCCGGTGCCCCCCTGCTGTCAGCAGTGTACGCAACCGAAACTGCTAGCCAGAAGCTGCAGGCCAGTTAACTCAGCCCCGGCTGTCGACACCTCCACGCATACTGCATAGTGCTCGAGACATTTTGCGAAGTGCTTGCGAGTGGCCATTCCGATCCGGTGAGAGCGATCTGGAATGAGCTCCGAGCAAGCAGGTATTCATTTCCAAGACTCGTCTTTGCATGTTTATGCGGCTTCAAGTTGGCTTAAAGGTAGCAGCAAGCCCACTTGTCTCAGAAGTCTAAGTTACCTGAGGGCTGGCCCGGTCGGCAGGATGCATTCCACAGAATGTCAAACCCGCCAGAAACAAAACATCTCTGCGAACGAAGAGACTGCTCACTTGAGAAACAATGAGGCTCCTGATGATCGAATCAAGGTCGAACTAGCCATAGGCGGCCAGACCAGTCTCTTCTGCGCATATGCCCCAAAATAAAACAAAGAGACACATTTGCCTTCACTTTGCAGCCATGGCAGGACTCTCAGGCAACCCACCCGAGATATCACGGAGGCCAGGCCTCGTCTCAACTCCCTTGCGCAACCCACAGCTGCAGCATCTGAGCACAGGACTTCTAGTGTGCCCAGATCTGCCAGCGCTGGCAGCAAAAAACAAGACCTGAACAACAGGGCCTTCAGCACCAAACAGACCCTGCAGCACGCGGTGCAGCATGGCCTCACGCTCTTCGAAGCGTGTTGTGAGCTTTCTCCTGCGTGTAGGCCAAGCTGTTTGCCGGGAAATGGCTCAAGGAGAGATCTCGCTCCGATTCTGCACACCTCCAGTTCACCGCGCCGGGTCATGATGTGGATTGCCCGACGGGCCTGAAGCAATGCTCGAACAAGGCGTCAAAGTTCTATAATGTTCTGTACATCATCTCTCTTGGAAGCAAATGGCTTCCACCACACATTCTGAGATGCCGTCCACCTGCTCAGGTACTTCTCCACGAGACACCATATCCTTCTCCAGGGTGAACTTGTTCTTCCGACCTGTCCACATGCACTGTAATAACGCAAGGGGTCGTGACAACTGAAGCATCTCAAGGCGAGGAAGTGTAGTATGTGATGTACCGACAAGCTTTTTTGTCACATGGGAGACTGCTGTTTGTCAGATTCACCACGCGAAGTCAGAACTCGTTTGAGTTCTGCTACGATATGCTACGGTTGATACATTCCATAAGTTCAATGAAAGGATGTGGGCGGAAACAGAGATCCCGAAAACCAACTTCTCCACAGATGTTGAAGCGGCAACTGCTGTCTCCCCCCATGTCTCCCCATCTATGAAGCAGCTGCGGGACATTTGCGCTGTTGCAGGCCAAAGCTGCAGCCGCCAGTCACGACGCTGCTCTAGCAGCTTGCGTTAAGGGTGCTCCTTGAAAGTCTGCAGAAGCAGGCGGTCCAAAGTCAAATAACTCAAGGCAGCCAAACGTTGCTCAACTGAGCGCATATCTGCCTGCCTGCTCGCAAAGACTGGGAGAGAGTTCGTGGCTAATCGAGGCTAAGACATGAGAGCTGAGGCAGGAAAACATGTCAGGAGCCGCCAGCCGCACCTAGACTGATGGACATCACACGATGGCTTGTGAAAAGTGCGAACAGGGTAGGTTGATCTCCTTCATGCTCACACTTCCGCAAGTCTTAAAGTCGTCCGGGTTGTTGCAGTGACAACGCCAATCAAGCAACTCACCTTTGTGTGCTGCTCACAGGCAACCGACTTCGCAAGCCTTGTATATCTCACTATGCACCTATAAGCCACCCGGTCCCTCATCTTGACATGCCCTGTATACTTCATGCAGCTACTGTATACGGATGACTGTTTGGCAACCTCCAAATTTCTCAACCCCTCGCTGTCACATGGTTTTCGCCCGTTGTAGCTGCACTGGTGGAAACTGTGCATGTAGCACCGTCGAAATAGCAACCAGTACCTCGAATTGCAAATACGATTAGGCATAGCATTGCCACCGTTCGGGTCCAGTGCGATCCAAGCATCCGCCGCTATCAAGTGCCATGAGGTCAGAGGGGCATCCTCCAAAACTCCCTGTGCCAAGGTTGTCAGCACCTTGCCAGGCATGTGGCTAGCTTGCACGAGCTGGTGATAGACGTAATTTAGTATCCTTCTAGCGCCCGTCGCTTGCCGCGTCTTCATCCAGTTCGAGCGCATCTCGTGGATTTGACAGGTTTCTTATCCGGCAATAAGGCCCATTGATAAACGGCTGTAGTTATAGGCGTAACTAGTCATAGCAGTGTCTGCGACTCAGAGACTTACTGTTTCAAGGCTTTAGCAGGCCCTCATGTATTGAAGATACTCCTGTAGCCCTAGTCAGCCTCTGAACCGGGATGGTTGGGATCTTGTTGGTGTCTTGGAGTATCAGTCTGCAATTCCGATTGGAGAGAAAGAACATATTGTTGGTGTTGGATGCGATTTCTGGCTCCGGTTGTGTCGCTTTCGGTTTTCGCGGCTCTGGCCTTTAGCGGAGGGATCTGCTTCTCGTTTGTTGCCCCTAAGATTAGCTTACTTATTGAGCTGGGGGATCCGAAATTTTGCTTGACGGGTTGCTTCGCAAGCGCTCCTTCAGCTAGGTTTGGTTTCCCGACAGGAAGACAAGAACCAAGGACGTAGGAGCTAACAAGAGTTAGAAAAAGATGGGGGCGCGTGCTCCTTTGGATCGTAAGATCATCCGAGTCTTCTGCCAAGATCGACGTCAAGGCGGTGTGCTGCAATCGAGGAACCCACGAAGACTGGAAAAGGGTATGCCCTCAAAATACTCATCCCTGGCTGTGCCAGGCTGGTACAGACTTGGCAAAAGTAAACTGAAGCATAGAAGCCGAAATGCAGACAGGCGCTCGAACAAGCCGGCCCACAGCTAGTACCAAGCTACTTCAGCGGCTCATATGCATTTGGGGATGGCTTACCGGGCAGCGTCTCATGCTAGGCTTTTGTCCTTACAGAACTAGACTCTACATTGAAAACTGATGAAAACTGAGAGCCTAGTGCAGCCTCAGCACGATGCCAGAGACAAGCGCAAAGCCTTTCTTCACGGAGTCAGAGTACCTAAGGAAACACCCTCCAAGCGATGAGCTCCCGATTCAACAAACCCTGCGACGAGAACTCGGCTTTGTGACCAGCCCGACGAGGATGCCTCCCACAGCCTTCGGACTTCGGATCCAATGGCTGCGCTTCTCCGATTCAACTACTGCCATGCCAGGTTCAGAGCACCTGCGTTAGGACGGGCACGACACTCATCGCAGACCAGCCCTGACCAGTAGCCGAGCTCGTGACATGGTGTGGGCATGACTAAACACCAGTTCGTGCCTGGTAGGGTCCCTGCAGAAGCCGCCCGCGCTTGTCGCTTATGCAGACACCTTCAGAACTGCAGTGCTTTCGCTGCAAGGGACAACGGCACAAGAGCTTATTCAGACGTCTGGTGAATTGCTTGCGCCTTCGCAGCCTCGGAATCATGGTAAAAGAAGCAAAATCGCACACGGGTTGACGAAATGCGAGGTTCACGATGCATCTGCAAAAGACACGATCTTAGAACTTTTCGATCCACACCAGGGCACGAAGCCTGCTTAATATGGCGGTAAGAGGCATTGAAGGATGCGATTGTTGTGCTGGCATCCTCGCCCTAACGCTCAACATGAAGGAACCGCCCTTCCCTTGGCACCTGCGATGAGGCAGGCAGAGCCCCACCTGTGGCACTTAAGAGACGACTGGATTTATGCAGAGGTGTCCCACATCTGTTTGTGGCAAGGCACATCGAAAGCTCCATTGAATAGAGCCAACTGTTCCTTGCTACAGCTGTGATTGCTTGCAATACACGGCAAGTCTTGCAAAGCCGATATAGCCAAGATTCCGCCCAGCGGAGCCCTTAAGCGTCCTTTGTGTCATGGCAGCTGTCAGCCCAGAGCTCAGAGCTGCGACGACCACTGGAAGAACTCCAAAGAAAAGCCCATCGCTGGCACTGCCGTCCCTGCAAGGTTCACCAAGCTAGAAAACTCTGGCTCGCATTTGACAAAACTCTCGGAGAAAATGTGGTGGCCTTACAGAGTGGTTCTTGAAGCTGGAACATCCCCTCGTCCCCAGCAGCAGCGCTGAGACAAAGAGAAGCACCAAAGCGAAGCACTGAATTCGGGACTGTCTCCTGCCTTCAGGGTCAGTACACCAGGTGTTTCAAGCCGGTCCAAGCCGAAAGTACATAAGCAGTCTGCAAGTGCATAGGCCTAGAAGCAAGTAACACATCAGCGCTGCTGACAGAGTCTTCGTCTGGTTGAGAAGATTGAAGCTGAGCGAATCGATATGCGCTTGGCCTCAATCCACTGCTTCCGCCAAGTCTGGGAGTCTAACAGTCTTGCCACGCCCCAAGGCCGTCTGCTGCTGTGAAGGTCTGAGTCTAAGGTCAAGGCCGACTTGCAACAGCCAGCCCTGCATCGAAAACATTATCGCCGGTATACCAGCTTTCAAGACGGACTCGCCTTGGCTTATCGGGTCTTGTCTCCCGTGAAAACGACAACTTCAGCAATATCGTTTCTGATCAAGCTGCCACAGTCCGCTACAGTAGATACCACCGCTAAGAATTTCAGCGTCTTGGCAATCTACATTGCTGACAGTGCTGATTTTGCTATCCAAGCACGCAGACTCCAGGCGCGGACGATATCTGCAACTTCATCTCGTGTGTTGCCAAACCTTTGCACAAGCTGGACTCAGCCCGCGCAACATCTTCCAATCCAACCTAAAAACTTCCTTCTCGGCAGCTAAATCCAGCAACCGACAAGTTTGAGCTGCAGTGCCACTCTGCGATTTGCGCAGTTGAACCCCGGCGCGATGCCAGGCATCACACAGCAACTCACCCGCTTTGTCCCGCTTTGTCCCGCTCACAACGGCTCACTCCCAAACTCACGTCCGCAACAAGCTCCGAGAGCCGGCGAGAACTTATTCCCTGCCGCGTCCGCCAAGAAAGCCCACAGATGGACAAAACAAAACCAATGTCCTGTCCTGCTAAGCCGACTGATGCAAGTTACACCGGAACGAGAGACAGCGAGCGAGCGAGCGGATACATATGCACATAAGTTTGTTGATCTTGCTTATTGGTTGTGCCTTCTGTGGATGCTGTTGTGAGGCTGGAAGCGGTGAGTCTGTCTGCATTGTTAAAGCCCGAATAAGGGCCACTGTGTAGAGAAATCCTGTCCGGCCTTGCTGGAAATGGGCCTTTGTGTCTCTTGTGGCGGCAATGCGCTCTCGATGCTTCGCATGCCTGTCGCTCCCGGCTTCCCTGGACAATAACCTAGCCGCGTCTGGTGTGCAAAATTTCCGTCTTTTGCCACGAACAAGACTGCCATCCATTGAGCCCGGTAGCATCAAGATGAAAAGAGATATAAGTATCTTGGAGAAGTTGGAGCTCAACAGGAAGACTTGAGGAAGATGCCCCCGTGGCAGCAGCTGCTTCGACAGCAGTGGCTGCAAGCCGAACTGTGCTGCCAAGAGCACCTGAGGTATCACGGTGGAGCTGACTTTCCAGGTGACATAAAACTAGGAAGGACAAAAGACTCCAAAGCATGTCCAAGGATCCAGAAACAGAAGGCTGCTGTGTTTCGAGATCACGTGACGCAGGGATGCAATTTCCGCACTCCAGTTTCGCTGCCACAGCATGTCCTGAGCGGTTCAGGGTAGGTATCACTACGACGGGGTCAGACTCCTCCTACTACGAGAAAAAGTGCAAAAAAATCAAAACAGTGAGTTGCTTCCGCCTTCCCCGCACCCATGCAATGGGGGAAACCACATTGCAGGCAGGCGGCCCTCACGGCAGTAGATGGTGTTAGCCTTAGGGCAACTGCACAAGTCAGACAAGAAGCGTGAACTTGCGTATACCGGAAGAATAACTGTACTTCAGCAAACTACGGCTATGCCAAGGATCATCTTGCATTGTATCAGCACTGATGCTATACGAGGCCATCCAGCACCATCGATTTCAGCGACCATAGCACGGCCCGGCCATTCAGGAAGCTGACCAGCACGCGGGCAAACGTGAGGAGGCCAGGGGTGTGGCTACCTGGCTCCATTGCTTAGGCTGCTGAATGTTGGAATCAAGCAATGCTCGGCTGCTTCGTTCTACCAACAGGGAAGGATGTGGCGAGAGCCGTAAACTGCAGTCCAAAGATGGCATTGCCTGTGGACTGTCTGACACTCGCAAGGCATCGCAGCCTCCATGAGGGATGAGTCGACGAATGACCTCACCACAAGCATGCTACCATGTTGCAGCATTCGGACATTAGGTTGAGATTTCCAATGCTAAAGCCACAGCCTCTTCAGCTTCTTGCAATGCCTGCACCAGCAACGAAAGTCACGGCAATCAGAAAAAAACGGAAAGCACAGTTAGCAAGCAGCAACACGCTTCTTTGGTGTGCAGCCTAACTATGCTTTATGCATGACCTCTCGAAAAGCTTGCCGGGATTGCACTGAACCAGTCTCGTCGCACAATGACACGTGTGCTTGAACAAGCTGCTCAGTCAACATCTTACCAAGCAGTTGCAAATTTCCCTCTCTGAAGGAATGTTGAATCTCATGCAGCTTTTCAATCACTCAGTAAAGCTTCTTTGGTCGGATGAGCCACTGATCAACATTTGACTTGTCTAGCGTCACCCATCCTTCATGTCGTCCTCGTTCATGGTATCCAGCCCTTAGCCCGTGTCAATCAGACATTGAACTTCTACATCTCTTTGCCGATTTCTCGCTGAGTCCTGAGCCTGCTTGCCGCTGTCCGTCAGGATTCGCCGAGTCCAGGGTAGATACCTTGCCGGAACTCCACAAGATGATGCTGAACGAACTTCTGCAGAACTCTTTTGCATGGACTCTTCGCGTTCACAGGCCGGGCGGGCGGTGAACATGCGCAATGCTTCTTCGACATGACCGATGTCAGCATCCTTGCGGCCGAACAGCACCAAACAACTCACAGAGGACCCGAAAACACTTCACTGAATCAAATCATGTAGGTAGAGCGAGGATGCCGCTGTAACACACTGGCTCTGTCCACACCCGAGAAGCAGCTTTGTAATCAACCGCTTGTAAGCCTTCACCACACGCACTTCATGACATAATGAGGTTGCGTAGTAGACTACCCACGCGACACGCCCATCATTGTGCAGTCCTGCTGCAGCTCCATCTTTGCCAGGCCTGTGCAGCCGAGGGTGACGTTTTGGTTGGCAAATGCTGGCAAGCATTTCAGTTGGACCGTGTGTAGATTGCCGACAAGAGGCTTTCCGAGATTCGCACGATTGCTTCCAGCTGCCTTGCCGAGAGTGTGCAGAAAGGCATCTCGGGACGTGGGGAAGCCGCTAGGCGCATGTGCCTCACCGTGATGGGTACCACCGCCTGTGAGCAACTGAAGGCGCACTGCAGACAGCTCAGTGGCCTGTGTTCCAGTGTTCCACCGCATGAGAGCCCGGAGCCGCAACCCACAACCCGCTCAGCCGCTAAGCACTTCACCGGACTCTGCCTCTGCTAGCATGTAGTTGCGAGACAGAGACTACTGCAAAGACGTAACACCAAGATAACCGTGTCCTGGATTAGATCATCCCAGTCTTGAGGCCCTATCCTGCCCCGAAGCGCGGGTTCTTTCAATGCAACTGCATGCAGAATGTACAGCGAGGGAGCCCTGGCAGCCTGACTGTCTTCCTTGATCTTCTTGCGAATGGTCAGGTAATGGTTGATGAGAACCTGCCAGTCTGCCCATTAAGAAGCAACATTGTCAAAGCCCGTAGGAATTTGGAGGTGGTGGAGGCCTCTTTAGCCTCAGGCTTGAGTCGTGGGCTGCACTTGCTGCGGCAATATGCTATGTACCTGATACGAGACGGGACTCCTGAGCAGCCTGAGCCGCCGCTGTGTCATCCTTCGGCGCACTTCCTCAAGTCTTGCACGGAGAATGGTGCCTTGCTCTCCTTCCGCGGAATCAACACAAGAATCACTAAACATGAAGGAAGTGACGTCTGCGGTCCTCCTGCTTGCCTTCGTTGTGCAAGCCGATAAGATGCATAGCAAGTGTGTAGTCCTTTTCCTCATCCCTGATATCCTGCAGAACGGGCTGCCGGTGCTTAGGTGCGACAAACGAGAAAAGCCTAACAGCGTGCTGGAGACTGAAGGGAATGGCCTTGACCAAGAACATCATGTCAAATCGCGTAAGGATTGTGGTTTCGAAGTCCATCTGCACAGCACGTAGCATGCAAGCTTTAGATGCACCAAGGCCCTGCTCCATGTGGTTAGATGTTCAGGCCTGGTCAGCCGCGCCTGCCATCTCATCATAGGAACCAAAGCGCGGATTGGCAGCCGCGAGGACACTGCGCGAGGCATGGAAGTGAACTCATGCCAATCAAAAATACGTCTTGACTGATTTGCCACAGCGAGGTAGCACCTGCAACGCGTGTTGAGCCTCAGTTGCACGAGAGTGAGTCCAAGTCAGCAGAAGTGGAAGCCTGCATCCGCTCTGTGAGTCCACGGCATCGTAGTAATGCCAGCTTTCGATATTGAGATGGTTTGCTGCTCCATCGCCTCAGCGAATCGGCAGTTCTAGCTGCTCTGCACATGGAGTGCGCAGAAACATTTTCCGTCCTCGTGGATGGCCACACGATCTTTGGCATCCATCTTGTCGAACTCATCGATGCACACCTGGTCCGTCGAATGTTCAAAGCCGCAAGAACACCCGGTGGCATGCTTCAAAGCTGTAGATGCCATAACCGGGTCAGGTCAAGGCAATGCCGCCATCGGCCAGAACCATAGCTCCACCTCCATACTGTGTTGGCAAGCCGCCACTTGTCGGAACGTCACTGCCAAGCTCAGAAACGGCAGAGGACTTGTACCTTCAAGAGCGAAACCGTTCTTCTCCTTGACGATCGCGGCCTTATCTGCACAGAACTGCTTCTAGATCCGGGCAATGCTGAATTCCGAGACGATGGCTGTCAAACCCGCAGCGCTGCTTCCTTTTCCACTCGTGTACCTCTGTACGAAGTGCCTCTATATATGCTATCTTCAAGCAGCAATTGCAAGCGGCTCAGCACCGAACACTGAAATGGGCGCTGCTTTCTCACCGAACTTCAGGATCTGCACCATGCCCGAGTTGGCGACACTTCACTACAACCCTGCACGTCCCTGCACGAGTACATGCTTGTCGCGCCTGACTTTTTGCCGTCCCCGGATCTCCAAGTAGCAAGACATTGATGTCACCTTTGCATGAGACACAACATCAGCGCTATGCCCGCTCCCACGCCGAATTGGCGCGCCTCGGATGCGATTGCCGCTGGGCAAGAACTTCCTGGAGCCGCCGAAGAGCAAGCCTCGACTGGAGGCGTTTGGCATATCCGCTTTGGGCATACTGGCTCGCGTTCCTGCAGTGCACCAAGGACACTGCAAGCAACGGCCCTCTTCACATCGTTCACAACATCCTAGCAATCGAGCATGTGCAGTACAAAGATTATGAATGCATGGAAACCGCTGCAACGCATCCTTCTCAGTGGCACAGATGGCAGGAGCAATGGACCTCAATCTGCGATTTGTTGCTCCAGAAACGCAAATATCTTGAAGCGCCGCACTGACTATTTTTTCGGATGGAGCACTGAATTAGGATGTTGTATTCGTGTTTGTGTTCTGTTCAGGGTGTTCTTATGGGGTTTATGGTCTTGAACTTAAGGGGTTAGAGTTTAGGACTTCTGGTTTTCAGTGGTTTGAAGGTTTAGGGTTTAGTTTTCGGGATTATTGAGGTTCAGAGCTTAGGGGTTTAGGGTTGAGGGGTTTAAGGTTTCGGTAGCCAAGAAGCCAAAAGTGGGCAAACAAGAACAAAATCGCGAAGTGAAACAAGAGCTAGCATCAACTGCGGAACTACAGATACCCACACCAGCCACACCAACATGTCAAGCGCACACAAGCGGACGACGCACACACCAAGAAGCATGCTGGAAGATCTTCTCCCTGATGCCGGGATCCTGGTCTGCACCATCCCACAAAGATCAGCACAAGTAGATCAAGCTCGCAAGACGGGTCCTTGGCAAGCTGCTCGAAACGCTCCTCCTCGTCCGCGCTGATCTCCAAGGCTCCCTGACTTTCCGGCAGTGGAAGGCGGCAAGCCATGCGATCATGTCAGCTCGGTGTCCTGAGAACGATTGCCTTGGGCCCGCTGCAAACCCAAAACCTGCAGCAAAAACATTAACGCCGTCCGGAGCGTGAATCGAGAGATCCAACAAACTCTTTGCAATGCCTGGACGTAGGAGTATTTCACCGTATTGGTGCCCTGATTCCTGCAGAAGATGTTCTTCCTCACTCTACTCAGGACGAAGAGCGGCAGTCGCGGCAGTCCTGCCCCTTGTAAGCTTGTCTCCTGCAGCCTTCTCCGAGGCATTGAAAACACCTGAAGCATAGCAAAGCAGAGTCTTCTCCACGTGCCTCTAAGGGCACGCCAAGAGCAGCTCTCAGGAGGGGACCGACGCAAGTGAGACGTGTCCCAGGCGTGCACAAGTCCACATCGTACCTTCGGCGCATGGATACAAGTCCTTGCCAGAAGCACGCACAGGCGCAAATGCCACGCGTTCAATCCTTACCATTCTTCCCTGCCTCTGCACTGTGCTACCCTTCACTGTTGCACATGAGGATGGCCCAAGCTAGGGACATGGATTGACATGCCCGATCACCAGGATTCAGCTGCGGGTGCGTTGCTGTACAGTTCGCGCTCTGACACTGCAGGGCACATCTGCGCACAGAGATCGATGGATCGGGGCATCTCTCCCACCGGTACCTGTCATCCCCCTCTGTGCTGCACAGAGTCAGTACTGAGCAGCAAAGGAATGCAGAGCGCAGGAGGCTCACGTGTTCGGGGAGCTCCTGCAAACGCACCCTCTGATCTGCGGCATACTCGCTGAGCGAAGCGTCAGCCACCTTTCAAGCCGATGCAACATTTCTCGGCAGCGGCGCAAGTTACATTGGAAACATGCCGGCACTGCGAAGGAGTTGGGCGGGCATCTTTCCAGATTCCTCATCAAGAGCACTGCTGTGTTCCTTGCCTTCCTAGCCACATCATCATTGGTTTACACTTCCAGATAACCACATGCAGTCAAAGTAAATGAGGATCAACACCTCATGCCTTGCCCTGAGAAGCAGTACCACGACCATACCGGGTAACGCCGAAAACATAGCAAAGCCCGGCAGAAAAGACGGTGACGATAGCACAGGTTGGGCTATTGACCAGCAGTGCTTCTGAGCGCTTCGCCCTGCACGGAGAGCATTCCCTTTGCAAGCCGCAGGAATGTGGGCAGCTGTGAAGCCGCCTTCGATATAGACCTCAGAGGAGGACCCGAGGAGCTGTTTCTGCTCTTCCTCCTCTTTCTGCTGTTGCTGGTTGTTGCCGGTGCCTCCTCGACGTTCTCGCAGTTGGTGCACCTCAAGACCACCCTTCGGACCTGAGGCTGCCGTAGGCTTGCTAAATTTGTTTGCTAAAGCCCATGTGCAGCAAAACTCCGCGCCTTGCTCCTCGGAGTTCGAACAGCCGTGCAGATGCCCTGAATCACTACGAGCTTCTCCACCTGCTTCGAACTGAGATGCTGTAAGATGCTGCAACAGCTTTGACACGTTTGGCAAGCAGCTTCTGGAATGGAAATCTCTGTCGCATTAGTCGGTCCTGCTACAGATTCCAGAGCCGCGACCAGCCCCTACCCCCTGGGCCTGAAACTGCAAACCAGGGAGCCTGCCTAGGGTCTGCCCAATTTCTATACAGTAGCGACTTTCATCACATCTGCAGTCCCATTGCTGGGAATATGCACAGCAACGAGAAAAAATCTAGTTGCTTCGTGCAGCTTGCCCGAACCTGATCATGTCTGAGCTCGCGGATCCTTGCGCGTGACAGAACAAATTCAAAAGAGTCTTGCGTTGGATAAGGGCTCTCAGGAACCAGCAGTTTGGGCTTCTGTGTGCCAGCTGTGCCTCGACGGCACGAACATGGAGGACTTCCACAACTTATACTCAGGCTTGCGAAAAGAAGTCACAGAGGCGGATTGGTCCAGGAATGTACTGTATGTCAAGTTCGCGAACATGGCTTCCCCACAATTACCAAGAAGCACCTATATGGGGGCAACAACTTCTCGATAAAAAATACAGAATCCACATCCGACAGATGAGATCATGTCACGCGCTCCATCTGAGCACATGACCGTCCAAGTTGGTGCTTACGGCGATGTTCAACTGCTGAATAGGAGCCTGTAACAAAGATAGGCTGCAAGAACAGGAAACAACAATGTTTTATTAAATAGTCTCTGTGCAGAATGTAATGTCCCGTGATGCCTTACTACGTCCCCTAGGAGCAACCTTCCGCGAGGGATCCTTCTGCAGCTCAAGCTCCCTGCACATCTCCTGCAGCCGCACTGGCTAGGCGCTCTGCGACGAAATGCAGCTGACTCATCTGCGGCTCCTGCAGCGCTTTCTCGCAAACCTTGATGAAGACATTGGGACCTCTGCTGCACGTGACGTTGCTTTTTTGAGCCCAAGCTCTATAATTCCTCACTCTATTGCGAGCTCTGAGGATCCGGGCGCCTTCTCAGGAGCGTCTCGAGAAAAGCACCATCCTCCGAGAAAAGTTCGAAGGCTGCGCCCAGGCCCCCAGGCAGTGTGAGCGCATCCCCGCCTCTCCCGATGCCAGATCGTGCATGCTGACCTGCGCCACGACATGGCATCGGCATAGTCTGAGATCTCCAGAGCCGTGCGGCATAAAAGTCGTGGTTTCTCTTCCGACGCAGCAGTCTCTGACTCTCCTTCACCTCAGCTGGTACTGAAAAGAGCCCACAGAGCGGGCTCCCTGCAGCCTCCTGCCGATTCTGCAGATCTGTGTAGATCCAACAACTAAAGTACCAGCGACAGCCCTCAGAAGCGTCCAGCTTCGCTTCGCTGCGCTCACAAAGGAAGCTTCTTCAGAAAATGTCAGATCCCAAGAAACCTTGCTTGCTATGTCGCAGAGCATGCAGCGAAACGAAATGCCCGCAAAAAGCCTTGAAAGTGTGGCTTCTTGACAGGCACGCTTCGAAACTTTAGTGTCGAACAAGCTGCTGTGCCGCAGCAGTTGTGGCAAATGGAATCAGCTTTGGGAGCTGCTCACTTCGCATGTAGGGCCCAGTAGCAAGCAGCCAGTCACGACAGAACTCGTCCAGAGCCCGTCAAAGTTTGTAGGCGGGCATGTAGAAACTGCGTGGTGTGTTAACTCTTAACCCAAATCTGATGAGATTTGGAAAGGTACTGAAACATCACCCACCTCTACACACAGCATCAACGAATCATATCTCCAGCAGAGCTGTCCATGTAAACCTCAAGGCTGCGCAGGTCTCCCTGATGCGCTTGTGACAACCGACACAAACTTGATTCCGAGAGATCTGGGCAGCACGCCCATCTGGGGAGCCCTTTGTGCAGTTCGGGATCCACCGCAGTAGCCCCAAGCCTAGGCAAATTGCTCAACGCTGCTCTGTTGAGGCCCGAGCCAGTCTGAGTCCGTTGCTAAGCTCCCGGGAGTACATCGGCAAACTCCTCGGTGTTCTTTGAAGAAGCGGCTGACTCGCGCAGCTCAAGCATCGACTCAGGGCCGGTCGCCGCTGGCCATTGGTAAGCTGTTAAGGGCTCCAGCCACATTGATTAGTCTCCCTCTATCCAACCAGATCTGCTACATCTGCGTTAGCTAGGATCAGATGGCATTGTGTGGCTGAAGCCCCTGACAATGCGCTGGAACTCTGGCACAGAGCACCTCGTCAATGCGCGGACGCTCTTGGCGATTGACGTGCACGCTTGAAACACCATAAGCTAAGATCTGCAGGACATAGGGTGACATAGGACTGGACTGACAAAAATCATGCGGAGGCTACCTCACAACATGGCCCTGGTCCATAGAGACGAGGCATGCGCCAACTGTCAGCAAATGATGTTGAAATCTCCTGCAGACAAGCAAGCGGGAGAAGCTCAGTCATGCTTACTTGTGGGCAAGGCCTGATGTTGAGATGTGTTCTCCTAGATCTTTTTCTTGAAGACGGGAATCCGTGTTGATGCAAGTGCCTTTGTTGGCCTGGCACCAGAGAATGAAAACAGGGACTTCAAGCAGCGGGATCTCACCGTGCAACTGGCAACGACTTGGATCCCTGCCGCGGGAGTACGGGATTCTCGGACACGCTGTGAGCTCACATTCGAGGTGACGCTCAAGCCTGGTCACCAGGGCTCTGCCAGGCGAGGCAAACAGAAACGAGAACCGGCGAAACTGCAAAACTGGTGACAAGCATCTCAGGCACCCAAGTTAAGAAAAAGGGTGAAATGATCAAGACGCCTCTACACTGTGCACCTAATCTATGATATGACAAACTCAAGGCAGTGCACCCGGACATTGTGCACAAAGTGCACACTTTCGCCTGTTTGAATCTTCAAGCGAAGTCTGGTGACATCAAAGGATGGCGACGGCGAGATCACCTGAGTACAGTGGAGGAAAACAGTGCCACCAGGGACCCCTGACACCCTGTGCTGGGGGAAAGGCAGTTGCTGTGGGCACCAGCTTCACGCTGGCACGGCCTTGTCGATGCGGCGATGCGGCGATGCGCATGAAGCATCTGCGCCCGTTTTCTTCTGACCCTCTGAGCGTCAGGCACGTCGTCCTTGGCGAGGGTCGGCGACGTGTGGAATGGTGCGCCGTCCGGCGTGCTCCACCCACGAAGCGAGCCTCAACCAAGCAGCAAAAACGTTTGCAGGACGTGCTGCACTGACTGTCTCTGATCCGAAGCGGTTCCAGCCTGACGCCCTGGGACTGATGACGGCCTTGCGTAGCATATGGCCATCGGGCAAGGCGAACCACAGCGGAAGAGGACTATGAGAAACTGAGTGCCACACCCCTCTGCCGTTGATTCGGTCGATGCCTTGGTGTGCATCTTGAAATTTGTCAGCTGCCGGTCGTGAATCCGGCTGCAAGATGGGCTGCTGGCATTCAGTGCAGCTGAAGTAAGTCTTGCCACTGGCGTCGGCGAATATGCCGGTACTGGTGACTTGATGCTTGCCACTTCCTCGCAAAGCAAACAACGAGATAACACGAGCTGCACGCATGTGCCGCGTGCCAGCTCGAGTTGCCAGTGTTCCTCGAAGACCATGTCTTTGTCCATCAGCGTCTCTTTGGCGCAGACCTTGTAGCCAAATCAGCAAACTCTCAGAAGTCCGGCTCGTGAAAAGCACGAACTCAGGACAAGCACTGATGGAGAGGGCAAGGGCAACTCCGGTTTTGGCTCAGCATTGCAAGGGGTCGGTGACCTCACTCACCCGTCCCTCCACTTTTGATCTCCAGCTAATCTGCTCAAGTCGTGCCTCGCCGGGATCATCTCGCTTGGCACGGCCTGGGTATGTCAAATATCCCCACTGCTAAGTTCCCACACAAAATCGAAACTTTCTACAGGCCCTACACATTCAAGAAAGAGAATGCATCTAGGCCAGGGGCTGCCAGCACGACCCGTGGCTGCGCGACACGAGCGGCGGAAGCCTGCGCCTGCACCCGCTCCAAGACTACCAGCGGCTCGAGCTATGGCCAGTGCATGCCAGTGCTGTTGCCTGCTGGCGCAAGATGGCATAGGTCAGCAAAAGGCTGAAGCCGGCCACGCCAAACCTGAATGCGTCAGAGTTCACATAAAGAGCCTGTATCCCTACAGACATGGCCATGGATGTTAGGAGTTCGGGTCCCGGCACGCAGGACGATGACCCACGGACCGAAGGAGTCGGCCTGGCGTGAAGGCAGCAAGGATTCACCCTTCTCGTCGTTTGGGCCAATGCGGGTCAGCAGTGCGAGGCCACTTGAGGTGACCAACTCTGCAGGCCCTGCACGGACGCTTCGAGAACAGGCTGGAGATGCAAGCTGCGCGGAAAACCCGCAAGAACACGCGCCTGAACGGGTGTCTTCAACATCGATCCAGCGGAGACGGGCTGGACGAAGGCCCGGGCCTGGTCAAGGCGGCATAAGGGACAAGCAGGCCGCATGGCTGCGCATGGCTGCGCATGGCTGCGCATGAATGGCTGCACCCTGCCGCGCCTCCGGTGCAGCCCCCATAATGAGCAGTGCAGCTGCCTGGTCTCGTGACCCTGATCTGCACTACAGCTACGGCAGCTATGGTGCTATGTCGAGGAAGAGACCGTCAGGAGCGCGGCCTCGATGACCTCACAAAGGAGGACACGCGGCCGGCCCGCGCGCTCTGGCGCACCATCTCATAGCGAGGCTTTTCTCGCTCAGGCACTGGCCCATGCTCGCTTGACGGGACGTCTGCCTGCTGGTGGATACGCGATCATTGACATGCTTCACGTATAGAGGGCCGCACTTGACAGTGCTTTCACAGCGGCAAGGAAATTCAACAAAGGGGATGTCATTCCGGAGTCTCGCGTGAAATCTCTTAACAAGAAGCCCCCTTTTCTACAGTCACGCTGACAGGTACAAAACTCGGTGTGCTTTTACATGTTTGTCAACAAAAACGAAGGCCCGACATCAAGGAATGACACGCAACGTGCAGCTCCGAGATTCCGACTGTAACCCGGTTGAAGTAGAAGAGCCATAGGCGCCTGGGGCTCAGGATCACTGTAACATAAGCACTGCTGCATAAGAGTCTCCTGCCTGCAGGTTGCCTTGGCTTCACCAAGCCCTTGCCCTTGCACTCTTTGATCCACTGCATCACCGCTATAGTCTGATGCAACCATATGCAGGAGTTTGCAGAAGCAGGGCGGGCAAAGCCAACTTTTCTTGCTTACATACCATTTCGAGCCTGCAGCACCTTCGTGCAATCGAACACCAAGTCCCGCCGCGGCACTGGTAAAATCATTAACAGCATGAGGCTCAGGCTGAAAGGCTTTCAACAACGCTGCTGTCTTGCACGGTTCTTTCCCAAGCCTCGACGTTCTGACAAGGGTGCCAGCTTTGGACCACCCCTTTTGCTCAATCAGAGCTCGTCTGTGCGCTCCCCACTTCTTCTGCCTCGTCCTGTGAGCACGTGGCAGGCATAACATTGCCAACAGTGACTCGGGTACTCGGAGCAAACGCAGCAAGTCGGCAGCACCGTGCAGCTCTTGAGCATGCGCTGACCAAAGCTCCAAACCTCAGCTTGGCGAGGCCCTGCTGCTTCGCACGGAATCCGGCGAAGTCTTAGTCGCAGGCACTTCGGGAGATACTCGTCACATACAGATCGAAGCGGAGGCGGCGCCGCCTTGTTCACAATGTATTCTCAGCAAGAACGAACCGATTGTCCAAACGACGCCGGCGGCACCCCTGCCCATTTCACCGATATGTCATCACACTGCCTTGCAATTTTTTGCAGGCGGCAGTTTCACCTGTGCACTTGCACCTGCGAGTGGTAGATGCCGCTCTTGTGCGGCCTCTGACTGACACCTTTCTTCCAGCATCTTGCACCTGCGTTCATTGCATAAGTAGCATTTGCCGTAAACATCACCATTCTTCATAAGATGCCCTAGGTGTCTCAGGGCAGGACACTTCTCCTGCAAATCTGCATAAAATCGCATGTGCGGTTTCCTGCAGCAACTAGCAGCATCTAGCAGCGGCACAGCCCTCCGTCAAAGACATGTCCGCACCTGTCAGACCCAAGATCTGATCGATCAGCTTCAACACCGACCAGCGCTCCAGTGTAGGATATGCTCGGGCTCTCCAACTGAAAAGGTGGCGAGCATCATCGTCACTGAACAATAAGCCCACACAGTCGGACGACATAAGACCAACAGGCTCATTTTGCAACCAGAACCATGAAAGAGTTTAAGAACTTCCCGACAGCATACGAAGCCCGCCCGTCCCGACTCTTTCCAGTCCCGATAAGCGACTTACAAGACACCTTACACCACCATCTAAGCGAACCCCCCGGCAGACCGGCACCCAAATTTCAACTAAAAAGCTATCCGGAAGAAATCTTCCTCATGCCCATATGATGAAATCTGCCCGAACAATTCCCCGTTATACACCAAAGGAAGCACACAAAGGCTGTAATCAAGACATCGAGTTTTGTAAAATATGCCGTTGTGATGTTCCTCATTAATACTTTGTCGGTTTCAATGGTAGGATTTGCATATAGTGCTTTGGATGCCGCAAGAAACATTCAGTTTATGTGTTTGTGTGTCTATGTATAGATGGGCGCGTGGTCATTCCCCCCCCCCTACATTTCAGCATCTTCGGTATTGCGCCCAATACAATACAGTGCGAAGGGTGCACAGTCATGCCCCATACCGCGAAGTACGGTATAATTGCACACCCATATATTTCAAAACACATGAAACAAAATATGGCACATACACGGTTCTAGCAAAATTACGCATAAGATGCCCCATACCACGAAGTATGGTATAATTATAAACCGATATATCTCAAATCACGTAACAGAAACTATGGCACATACACGGTTCAGAATATAAAACATACAATATCTAGGAGATGAGCAGTATTTCGTGCGACACATTGATATAAGACAGAATGTAATCTAGCATGATAGAATACTGCTTTTTTCCGAATGGCATTCGCCAGTATATCACATTATTTTTTTTGCAAAATACTTGATGTAACGGCTGATGCTTTACACTGGTATAGTATCGTATAGTACCATATAACATTGTCCATGATAGAACATGTTATGCTCCAACACAGCACGAATTAAGTTGGCATGGTACAGCAAACATTTTGATGTGATGTAACCTGAAAAGAAAAAGTATCTGACAACCAGATGCATGCTCTATGTGAAACAGTACAGTCTACGACCATCAGATATAGCGTGGTATGTCTTAAATTGTTATTGGTCAGTATGAGATTCATGATGAACCATACCAAGATGTTTAACATAGTACGACTTATTGTGAGATGATACGACGCGGTATAGGGTGAGATGATCTAATATAACCAAGCCTTCGGTACCACATGTAATATACTCTCATGTTGTATAGCTCATTATGATCTGTGTCTAACTCAAAATAACCCATGCATCAAAAGATGGTACAACACAATGTTTGGAAGAATATAGTATCAGTAGCAGACTAACATATGCCGCACAGCATGATAGGATATCATTTCTTGGGCTTATGTATGATATCAACTATGTAGAATGCAACTTAAACAAAATTACGCATAAGATACCTGTATAGTAAAGCTTGGTGTAGGAAAGAAGAGTATAGTGAACTGTAAAAGTTTAGTGTAGATCACAATGTAGTATACTGCCTAGAAAATAGCGTATACTATACCGTGCCTCCGCTCCTTTTGTCTGTCTCGCAGCGATGGCCTGCAGGCCGGGGCAGGCTGCCCAGAACAAATGGGTTTTCCAGGAACCGCCTAAGACTAGGGAACCCCAAGGGAAGAGGGAGCCTAAACCCTATCCGCAACAGGGTGGGTTGGGAGGGCCGAAAAAGCTGAAGAGTCGCGCGTCACATCTCACTCCGGACGGTATACTGGCATACCGTGCCTCCGCTCCTTTTGTCTGTCTCGCGAAGTCTCGGATCTCGGAGCTGCGTTTTGCAGCGATGGCCTGCAGGCCGGGGCAGGCTGCCCAGAACAAAGGGGTTTTCCAGGAACCGCCTAAGACTAGGGAACCCCAAGGGAAGAGGGAGCCTAAACCCTATCCGCCTCTGCATTACTTGGCCGAAGGTCACCAACACACGCAGTGTGAAAAAGAAGAAGAGCACGAGAATGCTTGCTGAGCGTCTCGATTCGGCGACGGTTTGGCTGAGATAAACGCTGAAGAAGCAACTGAGCAGCAACTTCCTGTAAGTAGAACTCAACCGTCTTGACTTTAGCCCAACGGCCCTCCAGGCTACCAGAGGCAGATCCTCTGTTTCGAGGTACAAGAAGGTAGCCCCGGAGCCTCGTAAGACTCCCGGGGTCGCCCCCTTTTGTGCAAGAGTGCACGGCACACCTAGTCGCGACATAATCGCATTCCACTGATTGCGATACACATGTAAGGAGCCACGAAAAAGCTTTGCAGACCAGGGAAGCTTGACGTACAAAGCTTCCAAGAACTCGAGGGACACCTGGTCGTCGAACCTGCAGTGCTGGCGCCTGGCAAAGCGAGCTGTTTTCGGATTCCTGATGTGGACGTAACCAATGCGATCGTGCGACAGGGCGTCGGAGGGGAAAATTAAGTCTCCTCGAGTCAGAAAGATCAGTTCGGAGGGGTGCAGCATGCGCAGAAAGCCCAGAAGAGTCACGGCTGCCCAGTCGGTCCAATTCCACAGGACCGCAAGTGCAATAGCTGCTTGTAAGATTGGTTGGGAGATAACCGGTCGACACTCGCCGGGTTCTGCTGCCTGCCACTTCTTGTCGATCTGCCAAGCCGGTGTCAGTTGCATACGAAAAGCGGGGTATGCATCCTGCACCGCCGTGATGGCGTAAACGAGAAGGTACCGCGGGTGCCCCGCCTCGTACAGGTACAAGCCGTAACCCCGCAGCGCCAGAGCGGCTGACTCGGCAGAGGAGAGCGCGATGGCCGGAGTGAGATTCATCACAGTCTCCAACCAAAGTGTAAAACCAGAGAAAGCTTTCTGCATTTTGTGCCTCGTGGAGGCTGCAAAGCCGGATTGCAAATCGAGAGGGCCTCGAGGCGCTGGGCGCGGCCCCGGGTTTCTCTCAATGTCACCTCCCAGCAGTAGGAGCAGTCTGAGCCAACGCCCCGGCAGTTTCGGCACCGAAGCTGATGCTAGCATGACATCGAAAAGGAAGGGGTCCCCATCGATGAGCTCCTGAAGCCATCGAGGGGTATCCTTCGTAGGCTTCGGTACGGGCTTCCAGCGTGAAGGTCCGTCGCTCCTGTTCTGAGCCGAATACACATGAAGCCCGGTTGGATACAGCTGAGCCCCAAGAATATAGGGAAGAGCTCCTTGAAGTACTCGCGTGATCGCAAGGCTGCTCGAGCGCCCTTTGGCCGCTGCTCCAAGGATGACACGGCTGTCGAGCATGCAGAGCAGTCGGCAGCAGGAGTGATGCCTCGCAGCCCATTTTAACCACGTCTAATAAGCCCGGCATTCAAGAACATTGATGTGCCCAGGTTTTCCGAACTTATATCGCAACAATTCCCTGAACTCAACACACTCAGCAAGATCCGAAATCCACCCCGGGTCGTCGTGAAACTCGCGAACCTCTGCAGCCTCCAAAGAATCTGAGTCAATGTGCACGGCCTCGTCTCCTAAGTCCTAAGCCTAAACCCACAAGCGTCCGAAGTTGCAAGGAAAGCGGCAGAACTGGTACCGTCCCATGCTTCGCTCGAAGGCTGCCGGAAGCAACCCTTCGCAGTAACGGCAGTGGGTGATTGGCTGCACAGTGTACGAGGCTCTCGCCTGAAGCGGGTGCACGGCCGAAGACTTCAAGGGGTGAAGGGTGGCATCGCGCCGTAAAGGCCTTTAGGGTCTTAGGGGTAAAGTTGCCCCGAACCGAAAGATGCCCACCGGGCTGTTTGCACGAGCAGCCGCCACCTAAAGAACACAACCAAGGCTTATTGTGCAACCATTGCAGGGGTTTCTTGAAAGGTGACCCGAAGGAGCAGCAGCAAAGTTTAGTCACGACGGCTCCTAAGGCAACCAGACACTGGAAACAGTGCAAATGAAACAAAACCGAAGAGCACGGCTGTTCCACACTGAAGTACCCGCCTCCGGTGGCCACGATTGCGCAAAGAAAGGCCACACGACGAGCTAATCGGTTGTGCTGCGAAGTCCGGCGCTCGCCAGGTGCGAAACCGTAGGGCTGCAAACGAGACCGCAAGCGCGGCCGACTCCAGGTAGCAAAGGATAAGCTAGGCATGTCGAAATGCCAGTGCCGTATGACCCGCTCGCAGCAAGCTGCGCTAAGCTGCGGAAGTCGCCATCGCAAGCCAAATCAAAGCGCCTGCCGGCACCATTGGTTGCGGGATGGACCTTCAGCCCGACCTGTGCATGAACCGCGGCCCAATTTGCGTCTCTGCTGAACACCTCAATGCAGTCAAAAGGAAACCCCCGTTGATAGCGCGGCACGGCTGCAGATTCTCAGGGGCAGGTACAGTGATCCCGCCGAAAGCTGCCTCGGTCTCCAGCCCGAGCTCGCGTAAGGTTGCTGCAGCAGGAGCCTCAAGCGAGGTATAGTATCCTCGCTGCTCCCCGTGCCTCCAGAATTCCTTAACGACGTCACGAGGTAGATCGCCGATGCAAATGCCTGCGCCATACGGCGAAGCGTCAGTGCAGAAGATATGCGGAGCGTAGTCGGCCCGGAGGTCACCCACAGAGGCGCCAACCAAGTCAAAGCCTGTAGCTCGCACAACGTTTCGCGAGACAGACGGATGACGCAGTTGGGCGGGTGCTTTCTGGCGTCCCGAAAGGCAGCGCTGAGAAGTGCCAGCCCAGGGCGTCGGAACAGCAGAACGTGAATCCACAAGCCAAGTAAAGAGCTCAACAGGGCAGGCGAAGCCAAAGCCTTGTAGCAGATAATGGCTGTGAGAACCATAAGTACGCTGATCCTGTGCCGGGGTGCAGACACAAATCCCGCGATCCCATCAAGCTCGGCACCTAGAAAACTTCCAACAAACTCATTACGCTTACGCTTATCAGCATGCTGGATCAGATGCACCTGGGTGTACGCCCGGCCGGCGGCTCCGAAAATCTCGGTGTCCCTCTCACGAACTTCCTTATGCAAAGCCTCCCGCCCGACCTTCTGCAA